AGGGCTGGTTTAAACTAGCAGTAATTCTCTAGAGGCTCCAGCAGAGAAGAATCTGTTGCCATCCTCTGCTATCCGTGATATTTTAAAGTGGAGCACTGGGAATTGAAGCTGGGGCCTTCTATATACAAAGTAGATGCCTTGTCACTGAGCTACAGCCACCTCTCTAGCTGAAAGTATTGCGAATATAAACCCAGAAGTAGGATCTGGTGCTGAACCTATTACCAACATCTGGAGTAATCTAAAAATACTTCAGAGGAAGGAATCACCCTAATAGGCTATTAGAGAATTGTTGCTATGGCTCTAAATCAACACACATCCGACTCCTTCCATGGGGCTTGGGAAAGTTACTTGATTAGACCACTATGCTCCCTTCCATCTAAATCCCTCAATTAACCCGCAGACACCAAAAGTCAGACATAGAAAGTTAGCAGGGCAGATTGGGAGTGAACACATATTCCTATAGGCCAGGGACTACACCAGAGTAAGGGAGTGCTGCTACACCATGGGGGAAATCCCCCTTCTCACACCACCATCCAAATCCTCTAAGAGAGAAGTTTAGAATTTAGACTTAGAGCAGATTCTATGACCCTATACAGATTTTACTCAGAAACAATTTGAATACTAGATAAATGCATTATTGGAACTAGATGGGCAACCCACCCACCCAATCTACAGCTCTACATTTCTATGCCCCAAGGGAGATACATTTGCCAGGTTCTTCCTGAATTGTTTTGAAGTGGATCCTTCTTGGATTTAACCTACAAGTTTCCAAAGTCATTTGAAACTCCATGCAGACCACCGGAATCACCGTCTGCAGGTAACACTGCAACATGACCTCATCCCTCCACACTCCAACAAATCATCCAGGATTACCCTTAACCTGGGATAACATTTGGACTTTGTGGTTTAGACACCCATCATCTCAAGCAGGGCATCACAGGCCAGCACAAGCTAGAGTGTGCCCTATTGTCAAAAGCTGGGGTTTTGTTTAAATAAAAGATCATCCTTTGGGTTTATTTGGGATTACTTGCTCTTCCAGAGCCTCAGTCCCTAAATATCCTTAACTGAAGCTAAGCCTTCTTCATACCTTTATGGGAGAAGACTTATTTCCAAGTAAGAACACCTAGGAAAGCTGCACTACCAAAGACCTGTCCCAAGCAATGTGCCTCACGCCCCCAATGTTGTTGTCTTCTGTTACAAATTACTCTTAAAAACAGAGTTAAAAAATCACTGGAGCTTTCCTTGTAACCCTCTTTTCTTCTGAACCACAATTTCGGATTTTTATTAACATCGACACATTTGCCTCCTTGCTACACACTACAAGCAACTCTTTGCAGAGCTGTGTAAATATAGACCTGTAATAAGTGAAGTCACAGTATGGCAGGTGTCAGGCAGAAGGTGAGTGGGGATTTGCTAGGAAATATCTATGTCTTCAGAAGCTGGCTGCAGTTAATGGACTCTAATCATCCTTCAACAGCAAGTGAAAAGAGCCATTTATATCAAGTAGCCCTAAGCTTGTATGGGTCTTCTCTTAGCCCTTAAGCTCCCGTGTTTGCATAATACACATTTTGTGTCATTCCAGGGAGCTGGAAAATGGCATGGTCTAACAGGGCATTTGCAAAATATAATCGCTTGGTTGCATTTCTGATTCAAAGTAACTCAGAAACCCATTTGTATGTGGCTAGCACAGCTTTTGAGCTATGCAATGAGTTTTGTAAACCTTGCTTTTAAATCACTATAGGGTTATCTTGAGGGTATATATCATTCTCTCTGCCAACTCCTCCAAGGTTTTTTCTTTTGTTGTGTCAGGAGCAACTTGAGAAACTGCAAGTCGCTTCTGGTGTGAGAGAATTGGCCGTCTGCAAGGACGTTGCCCAGGGGACGCCCGGATGAATTGATGTTTTTATAATCCTTGTGGGAGGCTTCTCTCATGTCCCTGCATGAGGAGCTGGAGCTGATAGAGAGAGCTCATCCGCCTCTCCCCGGATTCGAACCTGCGACCTGTTGGTCTTCAGTCCTGCCAGCACAGGGGTTTAACCCACTGCACCACCGGGGGCTTCTCCTCCAAGGTAATTACTTCAGATTGATACGCCAGATTGTTTTAGGATATTACCCTTTGTCAGAAACTGGGGTAACGTGATTCAAGATTTCTTTTAACCTTTCTCTGCTAAGAGTTTGACATCTCTTTCAACCATGCTGGCTTTCCTCTTACCCCAAAACACAGAAGAGTCTGAAGATACACAGCTCTCTGTCAATACAGTATCCAAAAAAACAAAACAAAAACAAAACCCTGTGCCAGGTTAGTCACCTTGGATTGCTTTGTTTCCCTTCCACATGAGAAATATATTGGTTTATCTGAAATCAATGTTAGGAAGGGTCTGGCAGACATATATCCCTCTTTCTTTCTTTGCCCTGAGGTAGTTTCCACCAAATCTTCTGTCTCACTTGAAATTACCTTACGGCTAGCTACAAATTTGCCACTAGCATGAAAGGATGATGATGATAACAATAATACAAGGGTAGTTACTCCCAATCTTCTTTTTCTTTCTTTCCTCCAGATTCAGCAGAGATGAAATTCTTGATCCTTCAATGAGAATTATCAGTGCACACTGCCATCCAACACTACTCGTGGGTGGCTACCCCGGTGGCGCAGTGGGTTAAACCCCTGTGCCGGCAGGACTGAAGACCAACAGGTCGCAGGTTTGAATCCGGGGAGAGGCGGATGAGCTCCCTCTATCAACTCCAGCTCCTCATGAGGGGACATGAGAGAAGCCTCCCACAAGGATGATAAAAACATCAAATCATCCGGGCGTCCCCTGGGCAACGTCCTTGCAGACGGATAATTCTCTCATAGCAGAAGCGATTTGCAGTTTCTCAAGTCGCTCCTAACACGATAAAAAAAACAACCCGGATATTTCTCTCTTTCCCACATTTCAATGGAAAGGGAGATTAGAGGACAATTGCTGAACACTTGCTTATACTGTCCCTATCCCAAGGTAATTGTTTCTTATCCCTACCCTATGGTAACTGTCCCTTGTCCCTATCCCATGGTAATTGTTCCTTGTCCCTATCCCAAAGTATTTGCTCCTTGTCCCTATCCCAAGGTGTCTCGCTAACTACTTCCGATTTCTCTCCTACAGAAACTTTCAGGATGAGAAGAGTCTTCTGTCTCTTCTGAATTTACTCTAAAGCTGCCTCTTTCCAACAGACCTCACAACCTCTGAGGATGCTTGCCATAGATGCAGGCGAAACGTCAGGAGAAATGCCTCTAGAACATGGCTCTATAGCCCGAAAAAACCCACAAGAACCTACTGCCTCTTTCTTACTTTGTGGTGTTCCTTCAACTTATGGTGACCCCATAAAACAAACTTATCACAGAGTTTTCTTGGGCAAGTTGTCCAAGGAAAGTACTTCCTCCATCACATTCATATCTTTCATGACTCTGAAGGCACGCTCTCCGATCCCATTTCCCTGAATTCTTGTAGAATACCAACGCAACAAAGCTTTGCCACTACCTGAGGTTATTTCCCCAAGTTAAAGAAGTCCAATCTTTGCAGAGTGACAAACTAACCGGAGGCAATCACTCAGAGGCAATGCCCCCAAACTCCTAGTTCCTCAATGGAGCCGCCACTCCATTGAGGAAATGCCCAGTTTCCGCACTATCTGAGGGACATTTCCCCAAGGAAGAGTAACTTCCATGTGGTAAAATGTCCAGAGGCAATTCTACTGAGGTAAACATCCCAGAGGTAATTTAACTTCACAGAGGTAGAATGTCCAGAGGGAATCCCCCTGAGATAATTTAACTTCCCAGAGATAATTCTCCTAAGGTAATTGAACTTCCCTGAGGTAAAATGTCTTGAAGTAAATTTCCCTCAGGTAAATTCCCCAGGTTAATTTGACTTTCCAGAGGCAATTCTTCTGAGATAAATTTAACTTCTCTGAGGTAATTGTTGTGAGGTAAATCTCTCTCAGGTAAAATGTCGAGAGGCAAATTTGACTTTCCTGTGGTAAACTGTCCTGGGGTAATTCTTCTGAGGTAAACTTGGGGCAATTTGACATTCCAGGGGGGAACTTCACTGGGGTAATGTAATTCTCCTGATGTAAAATGTCATGAGGCAAATTGTTCTGAGGTAAACTTAACCGAAGTAATATGCCTTTCCAGAGGTAATTCTCCTGAGGTAATTTAACTTCCATGAGGTAATTCTCCTGAGGTAAATCTCTCCTACATAAAATGTCCCAGTGCAATTTGACTTCCCTGAGGTAATTCTCCTGAGGTAAATTTCCCTGAGGTGAATTGTCTTGAGGTAAATTTCCCGGAGGTGAATTGCCCTGAGGTAAATGTCATGGAGGTGAATTGTTCTGAGATGAATTTCCCTGAGGTAAATTAACTTCCCTGAGAAGAACTGTCCCAAGGTAGATTTCCCTGAGGTAAATGTCATGGAGGTAATTCTCCTGCAGTAAATTGTCCTGGGTAAATTTCGCAGAGGTGAATTCTCCTGATGTAAATTTCACAGAGGTGAATTTCCCTGAGGTAATTCAACTTCCCTGAGATGAATTACCCTGAGGAAAATTTCCCTGAGGTAACTGTCCTGAGATAAACTGTCTGGAAGTAAATTTGCCTGAGGTAATTTAACTTCCCTGAGGTGAATTCTTCCGAGGTAAATTGTGCTGAGGTAAATTTCCCTGAGGTAAATGTCATGGGGTTAAATTCTCCCGAGGTAAATTTCCCTGACGTAAACTTCCCTGAGGTGAATTGTTCCGAGGTAAATGTCCCTGAGGTGAATTGTCCCAAGGTGATTTTCCCTGAAGTAATTTGACTTGCCAGAGGGAATTCTCCTGAGGTGAAATGTCTCCCAGGTAAAAAGTCCCCGGGCCATTTGACTTCTGTCCCTGAGGTAATTTAATTTCCCCAGCGAGGGGAATCTGGCTGGGGCGAACGTGACTCCCCGAGCCAGGCCTTCTTCCCTCCCTCCCTTCCCTCCCTCGCTCCGCTTCCTCGCCTGAAGTCGCTGTAGGGGTGGATGATCCAGGCGCCGGCGGACTTGACGCGCTCCTGCTCGCGCTCGACGGCCTTCTGGGAGCCGAACATCCGCAGCGAGAACTTGTTGACGCCGGGCTGGAGCATGGCGCTGAACTGGCGCTGCATGAAGGTGGGCCCTTGGTTGGTGCCGCTTCCGCGGGGCTCGCCACCCTCCTCGCAGGCCCCGGGCCCGGCATCCTCGCCCGCCTTCGGGGACGAGCCCGAGCCCCCGCCGCCCCCTCCGTCGCAGGAGAAGGAGACCTTGGGGGGCGCGGGCTCGGCTCCCCCGCCGCCCCGCCGGCACTCGCCGTTCGGGGAGCCGCCTTTCCCGGCCCGCGAACCCATCGTGCTGTCCTCCACCGCGACGCCGCCGCGACTGCCGCCCGCCCGCATGCCGGAGAGGCCAGGCGCGCCAGGCCCCGCCCACTCCCCCGCGCACGCGCACTCCGCGCCCGGCGCGCCCGGCTCCTGCGGCAGCCGCTCTGGAGAGGAAGGGGGAAAGGGGCGGGGCCTCCGGGGAAAGGGGCGGGGCCAAGGAAGGCGGGAAAGAAAAGGGAAGGTCAAAAGGGGGAGGCTGAGGAGGAGAGGAAATGAGGAGAAGGAAGTGGGGAGGAAGGTCAAGAGAGAAGGGAAAAAGAGAGGACAAGGAAAGTCAAGAAGGCATTGCAGGAGGAAGAACAAGAGGATGAGAGAGGAAAGGTCAAAAGAGAAGGACAAGGGAGAGGGAAGAAGGAAATGAGTAAGGAGAGAGAAAAAAGGGAAGAAAGGTCAAAAGAGAAGGAGAAGATAAGAGGACGGGAGAAGGAAAGGGAAGAAGGAAATGAGAAAGAGAAAGGGAAAAGAAGGGCACAAGGAGGAAAAGGAAGATGGAAGGAAGGTCAAAAGAGAAGGAGAAGACAAGAAGACGGGCGAAGGAAAGGGAAGAAGGAAATGAGAAAGAGGAAAAGAAGAACAGGGAGAAAAAGGAAGTGGGAAGGAAGGTCAAAAGAGAAGAAGAAGACGGGAGAAGGAAAGGGAAGAAGGAAATGAGAAAGGGAAAAGAAGGGCACAGGGAGGAAAAGGAAGCAGGAAGAAAGGTCAAAAGAAGAAGACAAGAGGATGGGAGAAAGAAAGGGAAGAAGGAAATGAGAAAGAGGAAAGGAAAGAAAGGAAGGGCACACAGAGGAAAAGGAAGAGAGAAGGAAGGTCAAAAGAAAAGAAGACGATGGGAGAAGGAAAAGAAAGAAGGAAATGAGAAAGCGAAAAGAAGGGCACAGGGAGGAAAAGGAAGATGGAAGAAAGGTTAAAAGAGAGAGAAGGGAAGAAGATGAGGGAGGGAGGGAGGAAGAAGGGAAAGACAAGCAGGAAATGAGAGGGGAAGGACATGAATGGGGAGAAAGGACACGGGAAGAAAAAGAAATGGGGAGGAAGGTCAAGAGAAAAGGAAAAGACAAGGGGAGGGGAAGTGGAAATAAGGGAGGAAAAACAGGAAGATGAGGGTATGAAGGTCAAAAGGGAGGGAAGAAGGGAAGAAAAAAGAAAGATGGAACAAGGAAGGGGAGAAGGAAATTAAGAAGGAGGGGGACAGGAAGAAAAGGAAGCGAGAAGGAAGGTCAAAAGAGGGAAGGACAGGAAGGGAAGAAGGAATGGAAAAAAAGAACTAAAAGAGGGGAAGGGAAGGAAATGAAGGAGGCAGGAAGAAGGAAAGGAAAAATAAGAGAAATGAGGAAGGAAAAGAGGGAGAAAAGGGAAGGAAGATCAAAAGAGAGGGAAGGGGAGAAGGAGAGGGGGGAGAAAGAAGAGGGAGAAAAGGGAAGGGCACAGGAAGAAAAGTAAGTGGGGAGGAAGGTCAAGAGGGAGGGGAATAAGGACATGAGAAAGAAGATAGAGAAAAGGGAAGGAAGGGCACAGGGAGGGAAAAGAAGTGGGAAGAAAAGTCAAAACAAGGAAAGTGAAGATGAGGAAGAAGGGAAAGACAAGAAGGAAATGAGGAAGAAGGTGTTATAAAAGTAAAGAAGATTAATGGGGAGAAAGAGCACGGGAAGAAAAGAAAGTGGGAAGGTCAAGAGAGAAGACAAAAGGAGGGAGAGAAGGAAATGAGGGAGAAAGAACAGGAGGGTGAGGGAAGGACAAGGGAAGAAGGAGAAGAGGAAGGAAGAAGTTAAGGGCCATGAGGGAAGTTAAGAGCACATGAAGAAGATGAAGTGGAGAGGAAGGTCGAAAGGAAGAGAAGAGGGGAAGGGGAGAAGGAAATGAAAAGGAAGTGGGAAGGAAGGTCAAAAGAGGGAGAGATTGAGAGAAGGGAGGGAGGAGGAAATGTGGGAGGAAGAAGAAAAGGATGAGGAAAGGGAAGGAGGAAGAAGAGGACGATGAAGGAAGGAATAGCACATGAATCAAAGGAAGTGGGAAGGAAGGTGAAGAAAGAAGGAGAAGATAGGAGGGGAGAAGGAAATGAGGGAGGAAGAACAGGAGGATGAGGGAAGGAAGTTAAAAAGAGAGAGAAGTGGGAAGGAAAAAGAAGAGAACAAGAAAAGGAAGGAAATGAGGGAGGAAGGGCACAGGAAAAAGGAAGTGGGAATGAAGGTCAAGAGAAAGAAAAGGACAAGGGAGGGAAAGAAGGAAAAAGGGGTAAAAAAAATAAAAGAGGGCAAGGAAAGGGAAGAAGGAGATGAGGGAGGAAGAAGGGAAGGAAAAAGAAAGGACAAGAAAGAAAGAAACGAAGGAAAAGGGAGAAAAGGAAAGGAAGGTCAAAAGAAAGGGAAGGACAAGGGATAGGGAGAAGGAGAGGAGGGAGAAAGAAGGGAAGGAAAAAGAAAGAAGAGGGAAAGGGAAGAAGAAAATGAGGGAGGAAGAAAAGGGAAGAAAGAGCAGGAAGGTGGGAAGGTCAAAACAGAGGCAAGGTTAAAGAAGGGGAAGAAGGAAATGAGGGAGGGAGGAAAGATTAATGGGAGGAAGAAGGTTAGGAAGGGCACTGGAAGGCCAAAAGAGGTAAAGGAAGAGAAGATGGATGAACGAAAGAAGATGTAATCAAAAGGAGGGAAAGTGGGATGATGGGCAAAAGGGAGGCCTAAAGAAGAGGATGAAAAGTTCAGATGAGAATGAGAGAAGAGCGGAAGGGAGAAAATTCAAAGAGGATTTCAGTGGGGAGGGAAAGCATGGCAGTCAAAAAGGGTCTCTAACTGCATGAATTCTACAGTGTAGATGCACGCAATGACTGCTCAAGCAGTGGCCCATTATCTTCAGCAGCTATTCATAAGTGCATTCAACCCGCTGGATCCCTCCAGTGGCAAATGAAATGCTTTCTCAGTCTCCCTAATTTAGACTGCCGGCCAGCCTTGAGGAGAGATGGCATGCGGAAATGGTATTAATGTCAAAGCCCATTTAGACTCTGGTCCCGAGATGCAGCTCGGCCTGATTTGAAATGCAGATAGGCAACCCTTCCTTTGGAAATGTGGATAATCATCTCAAACGTTTTCCTTCTGGGAAAGCATCCGCTTACATTAAGGTTTAGTGCTTAGGTTTCGCTTTAACGAAGCAAGACTATTATAAAGGAACCCAAAGAGGCCGTCTGTGGTTTGTCTTGGGGTTCAAAATCCCGTTTTACAGATAGCATCATTGTGATTTTTCAAAAATGTGAAGAAATAAAGAAACGGGAGGGAAGGCAAAGGATGGAGGGATGTAAGGGATGGAGAAGGAAAGAGAGAGAAGGGGGCATATGAGGACAATGGAAGGAAGGACGGAAAGAAAGAGCCACAAAGAGAGCCTGCCACAGCTTTGCCACAGAAGCATTGCAAAGTAGGCCTTCTTGGAGCTGCAGAAAGGAGAAAGTAGGCAAAGAAGGGAAGAAGAAAGGAAAGAGAAAATGATAGGAAAGAGTGGAAATGAGGGAGGGAGAAATGAAAGAAATGGGAAAGAAGAGAAAGCCGGTAGGCCACCTTAGAGCTTGAGAACGGAGGCAAGGAAGCGAAGAAGGAAGGCAAAACAAAAATGATAGGAAAGAAAGGAAACAAGGGAAGGACACAAAAGAAAAAGAATGGAAGGGAAGGGAGAGAAAGGAGGTAGGACATCTTAGAGCCGGAGAAAGGAAAAAGCAGGCAGGGATGGGAAGAAATGAGAAAAATGATAGGAAAGAAAAGAGAGAGAGAGATGGAAGAAAGAAAAAGGAAGAAAGAGAATGCAGGGAGGCCACCTTAGAGCTGGAGAAAGGAGGCAAGGAAGAAAAGAAGGAAGGCAAAACAAAAACGATAGGAAAGAAAGGAAACAAGGGAAGGACACAAAAGAAAAAAACAGAAGGGAAGGGAGAGAAAGGAGGTAGGGCATCTTAGAGCTGGAGAAAGGAAAAAGCAGGCAGGGATGGGAAGAAGAAATGAAAGAGAAAAATGATAGGACAGAAAAGAGGGAGAGATGGAAGAAAGAAAAAGGAAGAAAGAGAACGCAGGGAGGCCACCTTAGAGCTGGAGAAAGGAGGCAAGGGAAGAAGGAAGAAAAGAGAAAAATGACAGGAAAGAAAGGAAAGGGGGGAGGAAAATGGAAGAAAAAGGAGGGAAGAGAAAGTTCAGCATAACAGAAACTTTTTAACTATTTCAGTGGCTCCCAACTTTTTTTTAACCAGGGACCGCTTTGATTTTTTTGTTGTGAGCAGGGACCACAAGGTTCAAAAATAATAAACTGTGTTAATCTAAAAATAAACTTTAATCAAAACTTTTAACATATTCGTCAAACTAAAAAAGTAACATGAATTAAGAGTACTATTATAAAAAAGAAAATTTTAATAGAAAATTAAATTTGGTTTGCATCTTCTTTACAAGTTGGGTAATCCTCTGGCTAATATTATTGCTCAAGGGAGAAGGGAGAAAGGAAGCGGGGGGGGGGGGGGGGGGAAGAAAGGAGGGAGGGAGGAAGGGAGAAGGAAGAAAGGAAGGAGGAGGGGAGGAGAAGGAAGAAAAGAAGGAAGGAGGGAAGAAAAGGAGGAAGGGATGGGAAGGAAGGAAGGGAGGAAGAAAGGAGGGAAGAAGCAAGGAGGGAGGCAAGGAAGAAAGGGAGGGATGGGATGGAAGGAGGGAGGCAGAGAGAGGAAGGGAAAGAAGGAAAGTGCAAGGGAGGAAGGAGGGAGAGGAGGAAGAAGGGAAAAGGAGGGAAGAAGGGAAAGAAGGAAGAAGAAGGGAGGAGGGATGGGAAGAGGGAGGGAGGAAGGGAGAGAGGAAAGAAGGAAAGAGCAAGGGAGGAAGGAGGGAGAGGAGGAAGAAGGGAAGGAGAAGGAAAGGGAGGGAAGGAAGGGGAGGGAGGAAGGGAGACTGAGGGAGGGAGAGAGAGGGGAAGAAGGAAGGAAGGAAAAAGGAAGAAGAAAAGGAGCAAAGAAGGAAGGAGGAAGCAGGGAGGGCGGAAGGAAGAAAAGAGGGAAGAATGGATGGAAAGGGATGGAAAGAGGGAAGAGGAGAGAGGGAAGGAGAAGGAAAGGAGCAGGGAAGGAAGGAAGAAAAGAAGGAAGCAAGGAGAGAGAAGGTTGTAGAAGGGAGGATGGGGCCAAGGGAGGAAGGGGAGAGAGAGAAGGAAGGAAGCAAGAAGGGCTGGAGAAAGGGAGTGAAGGAAGGCATGGAGGGCGAGAAGAAAATGAGGGAGGGTAGGAAGGAAAGAAAGGAGGGAGGGAAGCAGGCTGCGCCTCAGGCTCCTGGGGCTCCCTCGGGCCGACCTTTTCCATCTCTGGTATTTTGCGTAGGAGGCATGCTGTGAGTTTAGGAAGAAGGGGCAGGCTCCATGCAAAGGACTCCTCCTTTTCCTCCTTTTTTCCTCTGCTCCTCCTTCGTGCTCTTTCCCCTTCCCACCTTTCCTGGCACAGAGTTGCTGTTGGCTTTGGTCTAAAAGTCAGCCATGGCAAACCAGGATACTTTTTGCTTTGTAAACACAGGTTGCATCGACACTGTGAAACTGAACTGTCCTGGCTCAGTGCGATGGCATGCTGGGAGTTGTATTTTACAAGGTCTTTGCTTCGCGGCCCATATTTTAGTTCTCGTGGTTCGTGGACCACAGATTGGGAACCACCGATCTATTTGATCTTTAGGATTTTTTCCCCTCAGGGATTGCCTTCAGCAGCCTCAGGGGATTCTATTTCAAGAGGAGAAAAGTTATGTGTGCATGTATATATATATATACAAACACACACACACAGAGTAGAGTCTCACTTATCCGACCGACCTTCGCTTATCCGACATTCCGTCTTATCTGATGCTCTTATCCAACGCCCCCCTTTTCCTCCAGCATTTCTCCTTCAATTAAAGGAGCGCTCCCCAACTCTCTCTCTCCATTCCCAATAAGTGAAAAGGGCAAGACAAGGAGGAGGGAGAAAAGAGGCAGGACCGGAAGCAGAAGAATCCTCCCTCCTTCCCTCTGTGATTTCCACGCTCCTCTTCTGCATCTGGTCACTTCCTGCTGGGCCGCTCTAGCCCCAAGGCATTGCCTTGACTTAACCATTTGACTCCCTGTTGTTAGTATTGTAGGTGTCTAGCGCCATGTTGGATGGGTAACATTAGGAGACTCTGTATTATCCGACATTTTCGTTTATCTGATGTTCTGACAGCCCGTTTATGTAGGATAAGCGAGACTCTACTGTATATACACACACACACACACACAGAGGCAATCTCCAAGTTATAAACATCCGACTTACAAACAACTCCTAGTTAAGAATGGGGCTGAGACAACAGGAAATGCGATAAATCTTCCTCTCGGAATGGAAATCCACTCGTGGAAGAGTTATTATCATTCCCCTAAATAGGTAGACACAAAGGCATGGGCCAGATCTCAAACCATTCATGTTTTATTTACAGTCGCTGGCAGGGGCTCTTGAATGCACGGCGAACCAACTCCGGCCCAAAACACAATCACAGAAGTGAGTCTGCAGCCTTCAGGATTTTGCTGGACTACAACTCCCGTCAACTTTCCAAATGGGAGGCTGCAAATGGTGTTTTTGCTGTCCAGAATCTGGCCCCAAGTAAATGGAGAAAGAGGGGAAGTTCAATGAGGTGAGGACTGCCATTTGCTTCCACCTCGTCCCATTCGATCAAAGGAAGGAAGCGCCATCCTGTTTGATTGAAGCCAAGTCTGAGACATACCCTCTCCAAGGTCAGCTGAAGAAGTAGGTAGATTCCTTCACCTTCTCTAGATCGAAGTCACCTGGAAATGCAAGAAAGGATGTTGGGATGGGATGCTTGGTTTCAAACACTGCTCCCTTCTGGGTTAGGTACTTTTAAAGGCTGGCAGGGAGCGTTGCCATTAGCACCACATCATTCTGAAAGATTGTTTAAATCAGGTTGCCTCGGAACAGTCTACCTGTGACAACAATTGTCGTGGCTTGGTTCTTGCCTGTGGGGCTGGACTGAATGGCCCTTGGGGGGCCCCTCCAGCTCTATGTTCTCTGTATTTCAATATATATATTTATAGAGGGTTTTTAATGTGTATCTTTTATAGAAATATGTATATTTATCAAAATATTTATATATACATAATAAAAGTGAATATATGTATGTATAAATAATTTTATAGCGATAGATATTCAGTACAATGCCCCACACTTCCCTCAGCAATTTAAGAAAGCAAAAAGCCAGTTGCGGACAATGCATAAATTTCACCCTCCACAAAATTAAATGCTGCACCGAACGCCTAAGCATTCAGAATATAATTGAGCCAACCTTTAAAAATATGTCCTCTTTGGAGCCCTGTTGTTGTGTTTGTAAAGTCCTTAGAAAGCAACTGAAACTAAACCGGGCAACCAGCCATGGTGAACCTCAGGAGGGCCGTGTTTGAGTGCTGGGATGTGAATAAGAACAGTGGGGAAGAGAGGGCAGGAGGGCCGATGCTGCCTTTCAAGCCCTTTGGAGGTCTGCTCCTATCCTCTATGGTGGCAAATCCTATCACAAGGGGGGGAGCTTTGATACCGCTTAACGTCCAGGTGTGGTTTGACAATACTGCAAACACCTTTGGAGGGTGATGGAGGAGCTGGATGAGGCATCTTAGTTGCCATCTCTGGCCCGCTTTCCAACTTGTCAATAAATAACCTTCTGTATAATATAGTAACCATGACATGAGAGAACCCTGAGCATCTTGATTGCCATCTCTGGCCCACTTTCTAACTTGTCAATAGCCTTCTTTTGCAATAAGTCTATGCACATAATAAAAGTGAAAATATGTATGTGTGTGTGTGTGTGTGGCTGGGGTGTCTGCTTACACAGGCAAGCTCCTGCCTCCAAAAACAGCTATAGCTCCCACTACTCAGGAGACACCAATGGCCCTCCCTCCAATGGCATTGCAGGTTATATTGAGTGCCATGAACATGTCCAAGAGCCCTGCCAATGTCCTCCACAAACACCATACTGCCCACCACCCAATTGAAGGCTTTCATAGGGGGACAATTTCATTCTAGATATTATGTGTTTCCATCACCATAGACATCTTAGCTTTTCTTACTCTCTCCATTGATGTGGAATTTGAATGACCCCAACTACTGACTCTTGCATAACACTTTTCTTTTCTATGGCACACAGCAAACAGAGAAATTGATCAGCAACAGAACATACTAGAGAGGTTTGGGGAAAATTCACCATGATTTATAGGAGTTCTAGGTCCTGGAATGTATAGTTCACCTGAAATCTAAGAGCACTCTGAACTCCACCAACAATGGACCTGGAACTAACTTGGCACACACAACCCCCATGACCAACAAAACACACTGGAGGTCTTTGGAGGGATTTATAAGAGTTGTAGTTCACTTACATCCAGAGCACACTATGAACCCAAACAATGATGGATCTGGACCAAACTTGGCATGCATACCTGATATGCCCAAATTTGAATCCTGGTGCATTTTGAGGAGAATTAGCCTGGACATTTGGGAGTTGTGGGTACTGGGATTTATAGTTCACTTGCAATAAATGAGCACTCTGAACTCCACCAAAGATGGATTGGACCAAACTTGGCACACAGAGCCCTCATAACCAGCAAAAATGCTGGAGGTCTTTGGATAAAATTCACCTTGATTTGGGGGAGTTGTAGTTCACCTACATCCAGAGAGCACTGTGAACCCAAAAACTGATGGACCTGGACCAAACTTGGTACACAGAATGGCAAGACTAGCTCAACCTTCTGGAGGGGTTTGAGGGGACTGATTCATCATAGTGGGAGTTCTAGTTTACCCTACAGCCAGAGAGTATGCTGAACCCAATGATTCATCTAGAGCAGTGGTTCCCAAACTTATTTGGCCTACTCCCCGGATATCAATTTTTCTAAATCTTCTCTTCTTTCTTTTATGCTTTCACCGCCCCCTTACAGTTATTCATCACCCCCAAAAGCACCTGTGGCCATTACCGCCCCCCCCCCCCCCCCCCCCCCCCCCGGATCGCTGCAGCACCCACCAGGGGGTAGTAACGCCCACTTTAGGAATCACTGATCTAGAGCAACTTACCCAACATAACAAACTTTAAGTACCAATGGAGTTTTTCAGGATTAACCTGGCATGATGTGAGCTGTAGTTCACCCACATCCTTATGCATTTTGTACAATTAAAAAATGACTTTTTCAAATAACCCGGGCAACACCAAGTACCCAAGCTTGATCACTATGCTGGCTTTTGCATTGGATCACACGTCCAAGACTTCCCAAGTGTCTAGGACTATGTGATGTATAAGTGAATAATGCAAATAATAGTAATAATAATTTTGTTGTGCTTTGGAGTAAAATGTTTTGGCATTTGGGGTGGTCACCACAAGGGCAATGGCTAGTTGCCCGGATCAGTGAACAAGAGGATTTAGCCGTGATAAAGGCCATCCTTCAAATTTACAGATAGGAAACAGAAGGTAAGGATCAGCTTAGGCTTTGGAGGACAATACTCTAAATTGAGTCTTGTGTGGATCCAGGCAATTACCTCGCCAGGCATTGTATATATCCGCTAGGAAAAATAAAAGGCAGCTGGGAGGTGAAAGCAGTGAAAAGAGCTTACAATATAAGATTAAAGATGAGAGCAATGAGACAGGAGGCAGCGGGAAAACAGCAGGGATAGTGGATGCGTATCTATTGCATCTCTAAAAACAATTCCACCCTCCTGGAAGGGGAATTCTGGGCCTGGCATTCATTGTGTAGTCTTGAAAGCGAGCCCTCCTCCTCCTCTCAAGTCAAGTCTGGAGCATTTGAGGTTGAAATGGCCAAGATAACAAATTTTGTGGAATATAACAGGAGAGTCCTGCAGAATATATATGGTTTAGGTAAATATTTTATGTCAGAATCAATTTATTTATGAATCTGTGGTTAAGAAAACTATGAATAGACAAGGAAGATTACTGGAAGTGAGAAGGTAGATGCTGAAGGAGTCTGAACAATATTATTGTTTTAGTGGAAAGCTTTCTAAAGTTATCATGTTGGGAACAGGCTTTTGAGACATGCTTCCTTTTGCAGCACAGTCATTCAGTTTTACTAACAATTTGGAGGTTAAACCAGACCTATACAAGAGTTTCATACAATATAGCTATATATTCATCACAAACATCATTGTTTTTCTTTGCCTAGTGAGAAACTTATCCATTTTGTCGCAAGTACTGCAACTCAATCAATATATTGTGCAAATCTATATACCGAGTAAAAGTGAAAATATGTCTGTGTGGATGTGGCTGGGCCCACTTTCACAGACAGGCTCCCACTTTCACAAACAGCTTTAACCCACAGTTCTGAGGAGCCATGAAAAGCCCTCCCTCCATTGACATTGCAAGTTATAGAAAGCCACTTGAACATGTAGCCCAGCCCCTGCCAAAGTCCTCCCCAAACATCATACTGTCCACCACTCAAGGAATGCTTTCATTCGGGACAATTTCATCCTAGATTTTATGTGTTTCCTCCACCGCAGGCATCCCAGTGTTTCGGACTCTCCATTGATGTGGAATTTGCATGATCCCGCCCACTCCCTCTCCCATAACCCTTTCCTACTCTTTTCAATTCACAACAAATAACTGCACAACAACAACAACAACAACAACAGAGCTAATCAGCAACTCAACATGCTGGAGGAGTTTGGGGGATTGACTCCACATGATGGAAGTTGTGGTTCACCCTGCATCATGTCAGAGTACTGTGACCCCCACTGACAATGGACCTGGACCACATTTGGCATACAAAATCCTCATGACCAAAGAAAGGGGGGGGATTCACCTTGATTTATAGTCGTTGTAGGTATTGGGATTTATAGTTCACCTGCTATCAAACAGCACTCTGGACACCACCTAAGATGGCCCTGGACCTTACTTAGCACACAGAACTCCCATGACCAACTGAAAATCCTGGCAGGGACTGGGGGGAACTGGCCTTCCTTTCTGGAAGTTGTAGTTCACTTACATCCAGAGACACTGTGACCACCACCGATGGCAGATCTGGACCAAACCTGGCACATAGAACCTTATGACCAACTGAACCTACTGGAGGAATTTGAGGGGACTGGCCCACCATGGTGGTAGCTGTAGTTTATCCTTCAGCCAGAGATCACACTGAACCCCACCATGATGCATCTAGTAGTTCTCAACCTGTGGGTCCCCAGATGTCTTGGCCTTCAACTCTCAGAAATCCTAACAGCTGGTAAACTGGCTGGGATTTCAGGGAGTTGTAGGCAAAGACACCTGGGGACCCACAGGCTGAAAACCACTGATCTAGACCAAACTTGCCCAACATGATAAACTTTAACTCTGATACAGATAGATAGATATGTTTTATTGATAAACTTTAACTACTGATGGAGTTTCATGGGGTTAATCTGGCATGACGTGAGTTGTAGTAGTTCACCCACGCCCTTATGCATTTTGTACAATGAAAAATTATTTTTTCAAATAACCAGGTACCCAAGCTAGTTATATAAAAAATTTATAACAATATCTACTTCTGTAGTGAATAAGCCTCTCTGTAGGTTCTGAATTGAGGCTGGATAGCCATCTGCTGGAAGAGCTTTGACTGTGTCTTTCTTAATGGCAGAAGTGTGTTGGACTAGATGCCCTTCCAGTGGAGTCTCCTTTTCTGGAGGTTTTTGAATTGGGACTGGATGGCCACCCGTTGGGAGGCCTTTAACTGTGTCTCCCTGCCTGGCTGAAAGGGTTAAAGCTCTGTTTTAGCGGACAAAATGTTTATTGGTAGATTTTTTAATTGGATAATTACTAAAAATGATTCCTAAAGTAAGTAAACTGTATGGATTTGTGAACAGTCAACACAACAATGAGCTTTCCGGAAGAAATGTTATCCACAAACCACACAAAAATGCTCCAATTCAAGACAATTTGCCCTCATACCTTTCTTAGGGACACTGGAGAGCAGCTGTAAGAGCTTCTGGTATTCGAGAGATTTTTTATTCTTCCATTCAACCCTGGGAAGAAAGAAAGGGGGAAGAGAGAAAAGGACAGCCATGAAAGATTAGCTATATATGCAAGAAATAACCTATTATTATTATTATTATTATTATTATTATTATTATTATTTGATAAACAACAAGATTAGTACACAGAAAACAAGATCACTATGCTGGCTTTTGTATTTGATCACACGTCAGACATGTTTGTTATTATTGTTATTATTATTATTATTATTATTGCTGTTGTTGTTTGCATGTACATAACATGTCAGTACACATGCATATTAGGTCCAAGTATTTGGGAATCACCTTTGAATATCAGGTTCTTCCCAAGAGCCTAGGATATTAAAGGTATTTTCGTAGAATGTGCGCAGTTCTGAGAAGTACTGCCAACTGCAGCATAATAATAATAATAACAATAATAATAATAATAATAATAATTTTCTCGCCTGAGGGCTGAGAAAAGTGGTATATAAATAAAGTAAATAAATAATAGATCATATCCTCAGCTGCTGCAAGAAAATCACCCAGACAGACTACAAACAGAGGCACAACTCTGTGGCCCAAATGATTCATTGGAACTTATGTCACAAGTACCACCTGCCAGTAGTAAAGAACTAGTGGGATCATAAACCTGCAAAGGGAAATGACCATGCAAAAAGTACTGTGGGATCTTCGAATCCAGACTGACAAAGTTTTGGAACACAAAACACCAGACATCACAATTGTGGAAAAGAAAAAAAATTGGATTGATGTCGCCATTACAGGTGACAGTCGAATTGATGAAAAACAATAGGAAAAACCAGCCGTTATCAGGTCCTCAAAATTGAACTGTAAAAGCTCTGGTATAAACCAGTACAGGTGGCCCCAGTGGTAATCAACACATCGGGTACCATGCCAAAAGATCTCAGCTGGCATTTAAAAACAATATACATTGACAAATTCACAATCTGTCAGCTGCAAAAGGCCACCTTACTTGGATCTGAATGCATCACACAGTCCTAAACGCTTGGGAAGTGTTTGACTTGTGATTTTGTTATACGAAATCCAGCATATATATCTCGTTTAATGTGTCATATTGTGTTTTTGTGTCAGTAAAATAATAATAATAATAACAACAACAACAACAATAATAATAATAACAACAACAACTAGCCGTCCCCTGCCACGCGTTGCTGTGGCCCACATGGGGGTTCTGTGTGGGAGGTTTGGCCCAATTCTATCGTTGGTGGAGTTCAGAATGCTCTTTGACTGTAGGTGAACTATAAATCCCAGCAACTACAACTCCCAAATGTCAAGATTCTATTTCCCCCAAACTCCACCAGTGTTCACATTTGGGCATATTGAGTATTCTTGTAGAGTTTGGTCCAGATCCATCATTGTTTGAGTCCACAGTCATCTTTGGATGTAGGTGAACTACAACTCCAAAACCAAAGGACACTGCCCACCAAACCCTTCCAGTATTTTCTGTTGGTCATGGGAGAACTGTGTGCCAAGTTTGGTTCAATTCCATCGTTGGTGGGGTTCAGAATGCTCTTTGATTGTAGGTGAACTATAAATCCCAGCAACTACAACTCCCAAATGACAAAATCAATTTTTTTGAGTGAAGGACATACACTGGGTTGTTAGGTGTCTTGTGTCCAAATTTGGTGTCAATTCGTCCAGTGGTTTTTGAGTTCTGTTAATCCCACAAACGAACATTACATTTTTATTTATATAGATAATAATATTTTATTTATAGATTGCCCTATCTCCCCAAAGAGACTCAGGGCGGTTTCCAACATGTACGGCAAACATTCAATGCCAAAAAGGGAAAACAATTCAGAACAGATTACATCAGGACAAATCATATTAAACAGAATAACAGCAACCAAACTCTAAACTTTATAACAGACAAAATAACCGACAATAAGAACTTAAATGACCTATATGAATAAAATAATTAATGTAAATTTGACACTAAATAAAAGCGATTAAGAACAATGGCTAAAACCATTATAAATAGATGACAACAACCAGCGGGCTGAGATTAGTTCCAGTCTCTAGACAAGGTTTAACATGTCTCGGTGAGAGTATAAGTTAGTCATATTAGTCTTCCTTTTCTCTATATGCCAAAGTGCATAGGTGGATTTTCAGCAATTTTTTAAAGCGAGGAGAGAGGGAGCAGTTTTTAATCCTTTTGGGAGGGAGTTCCAGAGGTGGGGAGCAATCACAGAGAGAGCCCCTCTCTCATTCCCACCAGCCGTGCTTGAGACGGGGTGGGACTGAGAGGAGGGCCTCCTCTATGGATCGCAAGGCTCGGGCTGGTTTGTATACAGAGATGTGGTTCTGCAAATAGTCTGGGTCTGAGCCGTTTAGGGCTTTATAGGTAACAACCAGCACTTTGTATTTAGCCTGGAAGCAGATCAGCAGCCAGTGAAACTGCCGCAGCATGGGAGTTGCCCTCTCACAGTATGGCGTTCCAGTTAGCAATCTGGGAGCCGGTTTCTGCACTAATTGCAGCTTCCGAACTATCTTCAAAGACAGCCCCATGTAGAGAGTGTTGCAGTGGTCCAGGCAGGAAGTAACCAGGGCATGGACTACTATGGTCAGATCTAGCATCTCAAGGTACCTGTCCGAACATATCTCCCTCTGCAAACCACCAAGGATGTTAAGATCATCCAAGGAGGCCCTGCTCTCAGTCCCATTACCTTCGCAGTCACGTCTGGTGGGAACGAAACACAGGGCCTTCGCCGTTGTGGCTCCTCGGTTGTGGAACTCCCTCCTCAATGACATTAGATCTGCCCCCTGACCTTTTGTTAAAAACTTAGAACCTGGCTGTGGGATCAAGCCTTTGAACAATAGATGGAATAACTGGAAAGATAATGTTTTAGTGACCGCAATGGATTGACCTGGACTATGATTTGAACGTGCGAACTGTTTTTAAATTGAATATTTTATAATTGTTTTAATTGTGTTTAACTCTATTTATGATTTCTAATGTACTGTGTTGGCACCTGATGGTTGTATACTGTAAGCCATCCTGAGTCCCTCTTCGGAGGTGAGAAGGACAGGATATAAATACTCAAAATAAATAAATAAATACAGGCACAGCTGGAACACTGGTTTTAATTGTGCGAAGACACTCCTGGCCACCTGTGTCTTCAGGGGGAGGGCGAACCCGTCCAACACAGGCTGTAATCCCACGCCTTGATTCACCTTCCCACTGACCAGGAGTACCTCTGTTTCGTCTGGATTTATTTTCAACGTATTAGCCCTCTTCCAGTCCATCACTGATGACAGGCACTGGTTCAGGGGCAAGACGGCATTCTTGGCACCCAGTGGAAAGGAGTAATAGAGTTGTGTGTCATAGGTGTAAATTTGACACCAAAACTCAGAATGATCTCTCCCAGTGGTTTCATGTAAATGTTAAACAGCATGGGAGACAGAACTGAACCCTGAGGGACCCCACAGGCCAATGGCCAGGGAGTCAAACAGGAATCCCCAGCACCATCATCTGCATCATGTTGTTGTTATCTTTTTTCTACCCCATCTTTTTCCCCATAGGGACTCAAGGTGGCTTACAATATTGTTTTCTAATAACAGAGCAGGGCAATGGGAACACTCACGGAAGACTGGTGCAGTATTTCTGTAGCATGAATCTGGACAGGAACTCAAGGATGGGTTGACTATGGAGCGCCACAAACTGGTCGCGACAGATCTGAAAAACGTTGACATGCACAGGAAGGTATCAGAAAAGGGTGAGAGAGAGCCATGCTTAAATATATGAAGGATTGACATGTAGAAGGATGCAAGCTTGTTTTTTTTACTGCTCTTGAGACTAGAATGTAAAGCGATGAATTCAAATGGCAAGAAAAGAGATTACATGTAACGTCCTGATGGTAAGAGCCATTCTACAGCGGAATATGTTACCTTCCATGGAGGCAAATTCATCAACAAATTGTTCATATTATTCAAGTTGTAACAGTGTCTATGATGAATGACACTCCACTTCTGTAGTGACTAAACCTCTCTGGAGGTTTTTGAATGGAAGCTGGATGGCCATCTGTGAGGAGGGCTTTTGTGGTGTCTTCCTGCCTAGCAGAAGAAGGGTTGGACTGGATGGTCCTTGAGGTCCCTTCTAACTAGGATTCTATGACAAATATTTTTAACAAAAGCTGGATGGCCATCTGTCAGGAGGGATCAGATTGGGCTTTTCCTGCCTGGCAGAAGAAAGTTGGAGTGTACGGCCCTTCAGGTCTCTTCCAACTCTAGGATTCTGTTTTTGTTTTTTTGTTTTTTCATGTCAGGAGAATCCTGTTGTGAGAGGATTCTGTGACATGTATGTTTTAACTGAGTCTGGATGGTCATCTGTTAGGAGGGATTTGATGATCTCTTCCTGCCTGGGGGATTGGACTGGATGGTCCTTGGGGTTCTCTTCTAACTCTAGGATGTGACAATTCTATAGCCCTGTTCCTCCATGAACCTTCTAATGTCTACGAGGCCAGATGGCCATCTGTTAGGAGGGCTTTGATGGTGTCTCTTCCTTAATGGAAGAAGGGGGATGGACTGGATGGCCCTTGGGCAATGCTAGGATTCTATGATCTCCTAGGAAAGAAAGAAAGTGTTAAGCTTCCAGAGAAGAGTTGTTTTGGGAGTTGAGGAGGACCTCTTACCCGGTTCATGACATCGACAGTGTGCGCATGAGTCCAGTAGCAGTCGTGCACCGAGACAAAGGTCAGTCCCTGCCTAGGAGACCAAGGAGTAAACAAACAGGTCATCAATATATCCCAAGGACTACAAAAAGTGTGGCAACACACAAAGCCACCCCAAAAATTGCTTTGCAGGACTAGACCACTCTCCATAACATATTTTGACACAAATGTCCCATCTGTTAAAGAGCTGGGAGCCATCCTATGAAAGTGCGCAACTCAACAGCCCTTCCAAGATGCCCCCACCCATGCTCCCTTTCATTCTTCTTACCTGTGACAATGTAAAGATGTCAGCATCATGTGCGTGGAGTCCAAGGAATGGATGAAATTGGGAGGGAAGGCATTTTTCTGCTTCATTGTGTCGGGTTTTCTGTGGAGGAACCACAAAGGAATTGATGCTGGGAAAAACAGAGAGCTCCAGTCTGCACTATGGCCACTATTGTGGGGGCTGCTATGGCACAATGGGCTAAACTCTTGTGCTGCTGAACTGCTGATCTGAAAGTTGGCAGCTCGAATCCGCAGAAGGGGTGAGCTCCCACTATTAATCCTAGCTCCTGCCAACCTAGCAGTTCGAAAACATGCAAATGTGAGTAGATAAATAGGTACCGCTTCAAGGGGGAAAGGCAAAAAGACGCTCCAAACAGTCACACCAGCCACACAACCAGGAGGTGTCTATGGACAACACAGGCTTAAAAATGGAGAAGAGCACCTCCCCAGAGCCAGAGATGAGCACCACCTCCAGAGCCGGAAATGAAAGGAGAAGTCTTTGGCTTTGTCTGTGTATTTGTGTCTCACAAGTTCATTGTAACAAGGTATTGAATGTTTGAATGTGTCTGTTTATATGCTGTAATCTGCTCTGAGTCCCCTCGGAGAGAAGGGTGGAATATAAATAAAGTGTTGGTGTTATTATTATTATTTCGGATCAGCGTGTCCTAGACCCATGGTTAGGAGGTGGGGTCCACACAACATACGAACCCTGAGCCGAAAGTGGTTCACATATGCCGTGGGTGTGGCCTGCCACCTGTTACTCTAGGAAGGAAGGAAGGAATGAAGGAAGAAAAGGGGAGGGAAGGAGGAAGGGAGGGAGGGAGAAAAGTGAGAAAGAAAGAAAGAAAGAAAGAAAGAAAGAAAGAAAGAAAGAAAGAAAGAAAGAAAGGGAAGGAGGAAGGAAGACAGGAAGGACAGGAGGAAGGGAAAAAAAGAAAGAGAAGGAGGGAGGAAGACAGTGGGGGAGGGAGAAAGAGACAGAAAGGAAGAGAGGGAGGAAGGAAGAGAGAAAGGGAAGGAGGGACAGAGGAAGGAGGGGAGAGAGACAGAAAGGAAGGAAGGAAGGAAGGAAGGAAGGAAGGAAGGAAGGAAGGAAYGAAGGAAGGAAAGAAGGAAGGAAGGAAGAGAAACAAATAATGGGAGGGAGAAAGATAGATGGAACCAGAAAGGGAAGTAAGAAAGGGAGAAAGAAAGAAAGAAAGAAAGAAAGAAAGAAAGAAAGAAAGAAAGAAAGGGAGATAGAAAAAAGAGGGAAGGAAGGAGGGAGACAGAAAGAACAGGAGGGAGAGAGAGATAAAGAATAGATAGATGGAATCAGAAAGGGAAGGAAGAAAAGAAAGGGAGGGAGGAGGGGAGGGAGGGAGATAGAAAAAAGGGGGAAGGAGGGAGGGATGGGTAAAGAAGAGAAGGAGGAAGGGGGAGAGAGGAAGGAAGGAAGAAAGAAAGGGAAGGAGGGAGGGTCTAAGACAGGAAGGAGGAGGGAGAGAGAAAAAAAAATAAGGGAGAGAAGGAAGAAATATAGATAGGAACCAGAAAGGGAAGGAAGAAAAGTAAGAAAGGGAGGGTAGGAGGGAGGAAAAAGAGAGGGAAGGAATTCAGAATCTAGAAAGTGTGGCAGAGTGGTTTGAACCTCAGACTCTGAACCCTCTTGGTGACTTTGGGCCAGGTCCACTCTCTCAGCCTCAAAGGAAGACAGCGACCGATCCCCTTGGAATGAATCTCAACAAGAAAACTCAGTGAGACAGTCGCCCTAAGTCTGAAATGGCAGCTAAACTGGGCTCCACAGGCCAATGGAGACTCCACCACTGACATCGGAAGAGCAGCAAGACCAAGAACAAGCCACAAGAGGAAAAACAAAGATCCACCCAGAGGAAAAGTGTTCTTGCCATATATCAAGGGAACCACTGACTGCATAGGTAAGCTGAGGAAGAAACCCAATCTACAAACTATCTACAGACCCAGTAAAAAAAACCAATAAATGCTACGTTTAGCAAATGAAGAAGGACCCTCTCACCACTGCAGGAGTCTACCGTACACCATGCAGCTGTGGACAAGTCTCCATAGGGACAGCCAAATGCAGCAGCATTGCCCAGACAGAAATCAAGGAACATGAAAGGCACTGCCGACTAACTCAATCAGAGAAATCAGCCATAGGAGAGCACCCGATGAACCAACTTGGACACAGAAATGCTGAATCACTCTGACAACCACCATGTCAGATGACATAGAGAAGCCATTGAAATCCACAAGCACATAGATAATTTCAACAGAAAGGAGGAAACCATGAAAATGAACACAATTTGGCTACCAGTATTTAAAAAAAACTCTAAAGCCAGGACATTAAATAAAGAGCAACACTCAGAAAACAGGGGAATTCCAGACAGGAAACAACCAGGACCAGCTAACACCCCCTCCCAACAAAAAATTCCCCCAGGCAGGAAGCAGCCAGGCTTTGCAGATGCAAGGTCATTCAATGCTCATCAAGGTGGTCAACTGCAAACATTCACACTTGTCTCCAGCAGACAAGAGTTCTTTCTCCCACCCTGGACATTCCTCGGATCTATAAACCTCATTTGCCTAGTTGCCAACAGGCCTCTCAATCTTTGAGGATGCCTGCCATAAATGTGGGTGAAATGTCTGGACAGAATGCTTCTGGAACATGACCAGACAGCCCTGAAAACTCACAGCAACCCAATGACAACTGTGCTAATGAATTATTATTTAGACCTTCCTTAGAAAGTGAAATCCTGTGGCCCCAAAAGGATTGGCCTGTTTAATTTTGGCCCCCTACTGCTGCCAAGTGGTGTAGGCCAGGGCTGCAGGACTCCCCGCTCCTGATTTTAAGAGAAAACGTTTCCTACTAACGGATACTCACTGGCTGATGTCGTGGCGTGATTTCAAATTAACCGTCTGCATGCTGCTATTCACCTGGACACAGAGAAAGAAAAAAGGGAAGAAATAAACCCCATTAAGGACCAGGGGATCTTTAGCTTGGAGAAGAGAAGGTTGAGAGAAAAGGACACAATCACCATGTTGAAATATTGGAAAGGATGTCCCATTGAGGAGAAGGGGGCAAGCTTGTTTTCTACTGCTACGGAGACTAGGACCCAATGGAGCCATGGATTCAAATGGCAGGAAAAGGGATTCCACTGAAACATTAGGCATTTCTGGGTCCTCCAGCTTGATGATACGGGAGGACCTATACAGCCAAAGGGGGAACTCCTTGACCACAGAACATCCAAATGCCTGCTTTTGTCTTGCCCTTTGGCTACAAAATCCTTTGATTCATCTTACAGTGATGGAAGGGGAAGTGATATTTTCCTCAAAGCCCTTAACATTTCTGCTATGTTACTCATCACCAGGGTTTATGATTAATGGCACCCTTCCGGATGCCAGAACCAAAATGTTTGATGCTTTAAAAGAGGGGGAGAGAATCAGAAACTTCTTTTTCTTCTTCTTCTTCTTCTTCCTACTACTACTACTACTACTACTATGGACTATTATTATTAATAATAGTCCTAAATCTAGCTATCTATCTTCTTCTATACATGTAATAAAAGTGAAAATACAAATGTGTGTATGTGGCTGGAGTGTCCGCTTACACAGACAAGCTCCTGCCTCCACAAACAACTATAGCTCCCATTACTCAGGAGGCATCAATGGTCCTCCCTCCAATGACATTTCAGGTTATAGAGAGCACCAAGAACATGTAGTCCAATCCCTGCCAATGTCCTCCCCAAACACCATACTGCCCACCATCCAAGGAATGCTTTTATTCGGGGACAATTTCATCCTAGATTTCAGATGTTTCCTCCACCACAGACATCCCAGTGTTTCTTACTCTTTCCATTGGTGTGGAATTTGCATGACCTTGTCCACTGCCTCTCCTTAACCCTTTCCTACTCTTTTTAACTCCGTCTGCACAAAAACTAAGCAGAACTAATCAGCAACTAAAGATGCTGGAGGAGTTTGGGGGACTGACTCCACATGATGGAAGTTGTAGTTCATCTTGCATCAAGTCAGAACACTGTGACCTCCACTGACAATGGACCTGGACCACATTTGGCACACAGAAGCCCCATGACCATGGAAAAATACTGGAGAGGTTTGGGGGGGAATTCACCTTGATTTAGAGCCATTGTAGGTACTAGGATTTCTAGTTCACCTGAAATCAAAGAGCACTCTAAACCCCCAATACCAACAAAAATACAGGGGGGCTTTGGGACAAATTTGCCTTGATTTACAGGAAATATAGTTCTCCTACATACAGAGAGCACTGTGAATGCAAACAACGATGACTAACTCAACCTACAGGAGGGGTTTGAGGGGACTGACTCACCATAGTGGGAGTTGTAGTTTACCCTACAGCCAGAGAGCACACTGAACTGCACCGATGCTGCATCTAGAGCAAATTTGCCCAACATGACAAACTTTAAGTATTGATGGAGTTTCAGGGGGTTATCCTGGTATGATGTGAGTTGTCGTACACCCACAACCTTATGGATTTTGTAAAATAAAAAATGACTTCTTCTAATAACCCAGGCAATGCCAGGTACCCAACCTAATAAATAAATAAATAAATAAATAAATATTTTAGAAAGTAGTTGGAGCTTTGGGGCTATTATCAATAATAATAGCAGTCCAAAAACAATTATAATTATTAGAATTTTTAGTCCAAAATAATTAATAATAATAGTAATAATAATAATAATAATAATTCAATTTTTTAGGAAGTAGTTGAAGTTTTTGGACTATTCATAATACTGCTACTACTACTAATAATAACAATCCAAAAACTTCAACTACTTTCTCAAAAGGTAATTTCTAAGGAATAAAAGGACACAGCCACTCTTTACTTTTCCAGGAGAAAGGTTACAGTTCCATTTTGAATTACCCTCTTCAAAAATAAGTTATATTTTAGAAGTTCAATCCCCCCCCCCGCCAAATACTGGAATGTTATTGGCCCAAAAAGCCAAGCCAAAAAATACAGAAGACTATAAGAATCACTGAAAAGGACATCATATGTAACTTTGCTGCCATTGTTACATAGCTATAGTTACATAATTACATAGTTATAGTTTTATAATTGAGTAGTTCCATAACTAGTTCCATAGTTATATAATTACAATTATGTAATTACATGGTTACATAGCTAGTTACATAATTACATAGTTACATAACTATAGTTTCCCCCCTTGTGGGAAAGCTTGATTCCACAACCCCCGCTATAATGAGCCCTCCTCCACGAATAACCTGCTTCTCCTTTATCTCACCCGAGTTTTTAATTAGCTTTTTCTTTTAATCATTACATGTAGCCCGCCCATTGTCACTGTGATTGTGTTTATTGTAATTTTATATTGTTATGCATTCACATGTTTTATGTAATTATGATGTTGTTGTTTATTGTCTGCGTTTTTGGTTTACATTTTCGGTTTTATTTGCTGTAATTTGTTGTTTGGGCTTGGCCTCATGTAAGCCGCCCCGAGTTCCCATCGGGGAGATGGTGGCGGGGTATAAATAAAGATTATTATTATTATATAATTACTTAGTTACATAGTTATTATGCAATTATAAAGTTACATAGCTATAGTTACATAGTTGAAGTTATGTAATTACATTGTTACATTGTTACAGTTACACAATTACATAATTACATTACATAGTTATAATTATGTCATTACATAGTTACAGAGCTATAGTTACATAGTTACATAGTTACATAATTACTCCTCCATGTTTGCTAGGGTTAGGGCTGTTGTTCAAGTGACTACAAGATGACTACAAAGTCTTTTTTTAAGGTCCTCTGGCTGAAGTAGACCACAGAATCACGACAAATGGCTAGGAATCTCTGAAGTCCTTGAGCATGCTTTTTTTGGACCAATGTGCTAAAATGACCTAGAGAGATAATGTATTCAGCCCAACCCGTGAAACCTGCAAAAAGAAGTCAGATCCACAAACGTGGAAGTCTGCATTATTTTTTTAATAGGATGGGCTCAGCAGAGGGTTGCCTGCAACACGTTGCTGGGTATAAAAGGCGGAATCACAGCATCTCATACATTTTGGGAAGAGGATGAACAGACGGAAGTGGAGCCCGGCTGCTTCAGCCCTCTCTCGGCAACGAAGCACAGCAATTCTCTCTTGTTATTATTCCTGGCAAAATGTCACCTTGACTCTCCCCTCCCTGCTTCTGCTGACTCACTCCCCTCCACCTGCTGAGTCATGCTTTTGCCACTGCAAAGCCCTGACTCACCCTCTCCCTCCATACGCCTCCATTGGCTTTTCCTCCAGGTGAGCATCCAATCCTAAGAGTTGGAAGGGACCCTCAAGGACCACCCAGTCCAACCCCGTTCTGACACCATCCAAGCCCTCCGGACAGATGGCCACCCAGCCTCATAGGCATTAGAAATTCCAAGGATAAATAGGGCTGTAGAATCATAGAATCCTAGAGCTGGAAGGGGTACCAAAAGTCTATCCAGTCCAACTCCTTTCTGCCAGACAGGAAGGCACAATCAAAGCCCTCCTGACAGATGGCCATCCTGTCGGGGTGCTTTGATTGTGCTTTTCCTGTATGACGGAGAGTTGGACTGGATGGCCCCCCGACTCTGGAACGCCCTCCCCAAAGATCTTAGACAGGCCCCTACACTGGCAGTCTTCAGAAAGAACTTGAAGACCTGGCTGTTCCGATGTGCCTTCTCAGATTAGGAACCTCCAATACCAAGTCCTAGAAGCACTTTAGTAGAACTAAGATCACTGCACACCGCACACTGCACTTACTTTATAATCCTACATACCTCCTGCCACATCAGCACTTTTAATCTTGTACCCATTACTCTGGCCTGGCCCAGTTTTATAGTGTCTCGATGTATTGTTATTGTTGTTGTGTATTCTGCTTAACTGTTTTTAATTTGCTTTAGGTATTGTATTGTTGTATTGTGTTTTGAGGCCTTGGCCTATGTAAGCCGCATCGAGTCCTTCGGGAGATGCTAGCGGGGTACAAATAAAGTTATAATAATAATAATAATAATAATAATAATAATAATAATAATAATAATAATGGTCCTTTGAGTCTCTTCCACCTCTAAGATTTGATGATTCTATTAATAAATAATAATACTAACAATAATAATGAATAAATAATAATGAATAAGAATAATGACTAATAACAATGACTAATAACAATGAATGAATAATAATGAGTAATAATAATAATAATAATAATAATAATAATAAAATAATGAGTAAATAATAATAATAATAATAATAATAATAATAATAATAATATAAAAATAGGATAGCATAATAGCAGCACACCAAATAAATCACAGGAAGCGCCCAGAATTTCTTTTCAAAGTCCTCCCGACAGATGGCCATCCAGCCTCATAGGCATTAGAAAATCCATTCAGAAATAGGGCTATAGAATCATAGAATCCTAGAGTATAAGGGACCCCCAAGAACGATCCAGTCCAACCTCTTTCTGCCAGACAGGAAGACACCATCCAAGACCTCCTAACAGATGGCCACCCAGTCCCGTAGACATTAGAATGTCCATGGAGAAATAGGGCTAAAGAATCATCACATCCTAGAGCTGGAAGAGACCCTAAAGACCATCCAGTCCAACCCCATTCTGTCACCACCCAAGCTCTCCTGACAAATGGCAATCCAGCCGCATAGGCATTAGAAGATCCATGGAGAAATAGGACTATAGAATCATCACATCCTAGATCTGGAAGAGACCCAAAAGGACCATCCAGTCCAACCCCCTTCTGCCACAAAGGAAGACACCATCCAAGCATTCTTCACCCTTCACTCCGCTGCCTGGGATTGCTGGGAGTTGCAATCCAACCATATCTGAACACAAAAAGGTCAGTTGCATTGCTGACCAGTGCTGATGTCCACCTTCCCTTCAAAACAACAATACAATTCATAGCATTACAAACCCAGTTGATCAAAAGGATAAAACTCTCAAACAAACTGTCAAGAGTTAGATTTTAATCCTTGCAAAAAGAGTTAAAAATAAATAAAACATTCCAGACTTTTTCCAAGGACTTACCATTGTGATTTTGGAACGATGGTAAGGCTGAATGATGGGCAGGCCCAAAGGGGTGACCCACTCCACTGTCCGGCCAGACTTGGCTATCAGCCGGGCACAATCAGTCAGCCAGCCCTGAAAGAAAGAACGGAACAGAGAATGAATTGGTAGGTGGGAGAAAGCACTGGCTGTTTAAATGAAAAGAAAACTGGGATTTACCTGAATTTCTCGGGTTCCTGAAAACATCTCCTTGAGGCTGCTGAATACTTGTTGCACCAGGTAGTGAGATGCTTCCCAGACATACTCCTGGAGGAAAGGAAATGGAGGTGATTCAAACCATTATCTTTCTTAAAAAAACAAAAACAAAACCTGACATTGAGACAGTTCTACTTCTTGATCACAAAAAAAACCACAAGATTATAAGGATAGGTTTAAGTAGATGCCGAATGGCCATCTGTCCGGGGTGCTTTGATTGTGCTTTTCCTGTATGACAGGGAGTTGGACTGGATGGCTCTTTGGGTCTCTTCCAAGATTTTATGATTCTATTAATACATAAATAAATAATAATAATGAATAAATGATAAAAACTAAATCATTAATAATTATAATAATTAATGAGTAATACTGTATATACTCGAGTATAAGCCTAGTTTTTCAGCCCCGTTTTTTAGGCTGAAAAAGTCCCCCTCGGCTTATACTCGAGTCAAGGTTATTTATTATTTTACTCTGTTATTATTATTATTTTCATTTCATTTATTATTTTATTCTATTTATTATTATTACATTTATCATTTTACTCTATTATTATACATTTATTATTTTACTGTATAATTGTTGTTATTGCTACATTAATTATTTTACTCTTTTTATTATTACTGTTATTATTACATTTATTATGTTACTCTCTTTATTATAATTGGAAGGATATGTAAGCACATTTACACTGAAGAAGGTAAATAATCATTCAATCAGAGTCGGACAATCTTATCTTAAATTACCATTTTTGTAAATATTCAAAAATATATAATCTACTGATTCCTCAATTAATGTAATTTAATTGGTATGTATTTTTATTTTGCAATTTACCAGTAGCTGCTGCATTTCCCACCCTCGGCTTTTACTCGAGTCAATCTCTTTTCTCAGTTTTTTGTGGTAAAATTAGGTCCTTCGGCTTATATTCAGGTCTGCTTATACTCGAGTATATACGGTGATTATAGATATAATAATACATAATAATAAATGATGATGATGATGATAATAATAATAATAATAATATAAAAACTTTATTTATACCCCGCCACCATCTCCCCTCAGGAACTCGGGGCGACTAACATGAGGCCAAGCCTGACAAATACAATAAACAAAATAAAATACATACAGCAGATAATAACTCAAATAAAATACAAACAATTAAAGAAAAATCACACAATGGGATAAAACACAGGGTATGAGGTAAGATGAAAAGTTAAAACAAGGGTTGAACAAAGTGGGCCAAATGCAAGGATAAAAACAGGGGAAATTGGGTGAGATAGGGAATATTGGGTGAGTAGTTTATCTGGTGGGAGATATGGATGAGACAAGCTATGGGGTTTAATTTTCCTGCTAGGGGATGAGATAAAGTGCATCTTTCTCCCACACTCTATTATTCCTTTCCACCTAAAGCCAAGGATGCCGTCCTGACACTGAATCGGTGCCTGTCATCAGTAATGGACTGGAAAATGGCTAACAAGTTGAAATTCAGTCTAGACAAGACGGAGGTATTCCTGGTCAATCAAAAGGCAGAACAGGGTGTAGGGTTACAGCCTGTGTTGGATGGGGTTACCTTCCCCCTGAAGACGCAGGTTTGCCACTTGGAAGTGCTTCTGGATTAATCACTGACCCTGGAACCCCAGGTGTTGGAGGTGGCCAGGAGTGCCTTTGCACAATTGAAACTTGTGTGCCAACTGCGCCCGTACTTTGAGACGCCAGACTTGGCATGGTAGTCCACGCCTACTTAGTCACATCCCATTTGGACTACTGCAATACTTTCTACATGGGGCTGCTTTTGAAGACGGTTTGGAAGGTTCAATTGGTACAAAGATCGGCAGCCAGATTACTAACAGGAGCTCCTTACAGGGCGCGGACAATTCCCATGTTGTGGCTGCTGGTGTGCTTCTGGGCAAGATACAAAGATTACCTTTAAAGCCTTGAACAGTTTGAGTCCAGGCTATTTGAAAAACCACATCTCCCCCTACAGACCAACTCAGACACTGCGATCAACAAAGAAGGCCCTGCTCTCAGTCCTACCTCCGTCTCAAGGTGGGAACAGCCCTACTTGAGTAGCCTTCTCTGTGACCGCCCCCACCTCTGGAATGCCCTCCCTAAAGAGATAAAAACAGCCCTTCCCCTCATCTCCTTCAAGAAACAATTACAAACTCACTTGTGCTCTCTAGCATATGGAGAGGAGGGGAATTAGAGAAAGACAGTCTACTAATATACCTCTGAATGGATTTTATCATTTCACTCTGGCCCTAGCGGGTTGGCTGGCACCATGGACATCATTGAAATTTAGTTAATTTTAAATTTTTAGTGTCCCCTTAGGAGAAGTGAGGTTCATGTTTTTATGGTTAGATATAATTTTAATGTTTAACTGCTTGTGCAATTTTAAATTTATGTTATAACTAGCTGTCCCCTGCCACGTGTTGCTGTGGCCCAGTCTGTTGATCTGGAAAATAAAGTAATGAGAAAGTGTTGGTTTCTAATATATGTAATTTCTTTATGCTTGTGGGTAAACAGTATTTCTTGCTGTTTCTTTGTCAGTGTTGATGTGGAGAGTGTCTCGTTTGCATACTCTGGAACATGCAACTTATAATTGTCCTTCTTCAGGGGTCCCTTTTAAATCTATACTATATCTCTGTATGTGTGAATCATATATAACATCTATGGCTGGATGGCTCTTTGCCAGGAGGGCTTTGATTACATTTTCTTGCCCTGGTGAAGGGAGTTGGACTGGATGGCCTTGAGTATTTTCTGTTGGCCATGGGGGTTCTGTGTGGGAAGTTTGGCCCAATTCTGTCGTTGGTGGGGTTCAGAACGCTCTTTGATTGTAGGTGAACTGTGAATCCCAGTGACTACAACTCCCAAATGTAAAGGTTTATTTCCCCCAAACTCCATCTGTGTTCATATTTAGGCGTATTGAGTGCTTGTGCCAAGTTTGGTCCAGATCCATCATTGTTTGAGTCCACAGTGCTCTCTGGCTGTAGGTGAACTACATATCCCAAACTCAAGGTCAATGCCACCAAACCCTTCCAGTATTTTCTGTTGGTCATGGGAGTTCTGTGTGCCAAGTTTGGTTCAATTCAATCCTTGCTGGAGTTCAGAATGCTCTTTGATTGTAGGTGAACTATAAATCCCAGCAACTACAACTCCCAAATGACAAAATCTTAATTTTTGAGTGATGGTCACTCCTTGTGTTGTGAGACATTTTGTTGCCAAATTTGGTGTGATTTCGTTCATTGGTTCTTTAGTTTTTAAGGCACTCATTATGCACAGAGCATTTATATATATATATATATATATATATATAGATTTGTTGTTTGATGTTGGCTTGCTTTGGGATTGGCTGGGCCGTTAATATATTCATGTTTATACCTGTACTGAGGCACTGAATGTTTGCCACTGTGTTTTTTGTTTGTTGGAATCTGCCCGGAGTTCCTCTGGCAGAATATTTATTTAGTTATTTACAACATTTCTACCTTGTCTTTCTCCACCCCGGGGGGACTCAAGGTGGCTTACACTTAGGCAACTATTCCATGCCTTCAAAAACAATGTACAATTAAAAACATTTAAATAGAATTATAAAATACATTAAAACATTTAAAACATGTAAGACAATGCTTTCACTGTTAACCACGTTATCCAAAGTGACAGTCTGGGCTGTTCCAATAGTCATTGCACATAATTCCATATTTATCTATTGCACAAGATCTCCAAAGGCTTGATCAAAAAGCCACATTTTTACTTTCTTATGGAAGGTCAGGAGAGAGGGGGTGATCTAATATCCTAGGGAGGGAATTCCACAGCTGAGGAGCCACCACTGAGATGGCCCTGTCTTTCGTCCCCACCAGTTGTGCCTGTAAAGGAGGAGGGACCGAGAGCAGGGCCTCTCCAGACAATATTAACCTCTGAGGTGGTTCATAGGGAGAGAGCAGTTTGGACAGGTAATCTGGGCCAGAACCATTTAGGGCTTTATAGGCTAAAGCCAGCACTTTGAATTCTGCTCGGTAACAGACTGGCAGCCAGTGAAACTGACATAGCAGGGGGGTTGTATGCTCCTTGTACACCGCTCCGGTGAGCAATCTGGATGCTATTCATTGGACCACTTGAAGCCTCCAAACAGTCTTCAAAGGCAACCCCACTTAGAACACACTGCAGTAGTCTATTCAGGATGCAACCAGAGAATGGACCACTGTGGGCAAGTCTGACTTCACAAGGTATGGGCACAGCTGGCACACAAGTTTTAATTGTGCAAATGCTCCCCTGACCACCACCGAAACCTGGGGTTCTATGCTCAGCGATGAGTCCAGGAGAGCTCCCAAACTGCAAAACTGCCTCTTCAGGGGAAGTGCAGCCCCGTCCGGCACAGACTGTAACCCTATACCCTGTTTGGCCTTGCAACTGACCAGGAGTACCTCTGTCTAGTCTGGATTCAATTTCAATTTGTTCGCCCTCATCCAGACTGTCACAGCTGCCAAAACGGGGGTTCAGGAGCTGAACAACCTCCTTAGCAACAAGTGGAAAGGAGTGATAGAGCTGAATGTCATCTGTGTACAGATGGCATCGGACTCCAAAACTCCAGATGATCTCTCCCAGTGGCTTCATGTAGATGTTAAACAACATGGGAGACAGTACTGAACCCTGTGGGACTCCACAGGACAATGGCTGTGGGGCCAAGAAGGTGTCACCGAACTATGCCTTCTGGGAATGGCCCTCCAGGAAGGACCGGAGCCACTGTAGAACAGTACCTCTGAGACCCATTCCTGCCAGGTGTCCCAGAAGGATACCGTGGTCTACGGTGTCGAAGGCCATTGAGAGGTCCAGCAGAACCAACAGGGACACACTACCCCTGTCCAGTACAAATAAAGTCTTATACTATTATATTATAGGTAAGTTGGATGTTTGTAACTCGGGGACGGCCTGTATAGGGGGAAAAGATAGAGGTGTGGCACCTGAGGGAAGTCGTCTATCTCCTTGAGGCGCTTCTCAATCTGGAGGCGACCCCCGTAGCGCGTCACGCCATACACCACTGTCATCACCGTCTGCTTCACCACTTTGCGGCCAATGAAGCCCTCCAGGAGCTGGGCGGTTTTGATCCCTGCGGCGGCGTCTCGCTTCCGGAAGACCTCCACCTTTTGAGAGCACCCAGAGAGAAGGCCAGAGTAAGGGAAGGCTATTGCAGAGAGCCAAAACCACTTCCTGTCCCGAGATGCTTCTACCCAGAACTCAAATACCACATTAAAAACATTGAGAAAACAAACGTTTTTGAAATGATTGAAATGGACAAATTAACTTTAGCTCTACAACAAAACAAAACAAAATACACAAAAACTTCACAAAGAATGGAAACCCTTTATGGAATGTGTAAAGAACCAAAAGAAGGCGACCTCAGCAGGATTTGCTGACTAAAAATAGTATTAATAATATATAGATACATTTTGGACTATTTATATATATTACATTCAAGAGACTTTAGGCTATCACCTCCTGCTAGGAGGACTGGCTGCATGGTGATGGAAGAAAGAAAGGGAAGGAGGAAGGATGAAAGGAGAAAGAGAGAGAGAGGGAGGAAGGAAGGAAGGAAGGAAAGACAAAAGGGAAGGAGGAAAGGAAGGAAAAGAGAACGAAGGATGAAAGGGAGAAAGAGGAAGAAGGAAGGGAAGGATGGAAGGAGAAAGAGTGAGGGAAGGAGGGAGGAAAGAGGGAAGGAGGGAGGAAAGAGAAGGGAGGAAGAGAGAAAGAAGGAAAGACAAAAGGGAAGGAAGGCAGGAGAAAGAGGGAGGAAAGAGGGAAGGGAGGAAAGACAAAAGGGAAGGGAGGGAAGGGAGGGAAGGAGGAAGGAAAAAGAGAAGGCAGGATGGAAGAAAGGGAAGAAGGAAAGAAAGAGAGAAGGGAGAAAAGACAAAAGGGAAGGACGGACGGACGGACGGACGGACGGAAGGAAGGAAGGAAGGAAGGAAGGAAGGAAGGAAGGTGAAAGAGGAAGAGAGGGAAGGAAGGAAGGATGAAAGGGGGAAACAAGACAAAAGGGAAGGGAGGGAAGGAGGAAGGAAAAAGAGAAGGCAGGATGGAAGAAAGGGAAGGAGGAAAGAAAGAGAGAAGGGAGAAAAGACAAAAGGGAAGGATGAGAAGGAGAAAGGAAGGGAGAGAGGGAAGGAGGAAGGTAGGACAAAAGGGATGGAAGGATGAATGAGTGGAAGGGAAGGAGGAAAGAAAGAGAGAAGAAAGGATGAAGGGATGAAAGGGAATGGAGGGAGGGAGAAAGAGGGAAGGGAGGGAGGGAGGAAAGAGAGAAGGAAGGAAAGACAAAAAGGAAGGAAGGATGAAAGGGAAGGAAGGAGGGAGTGAGAAAGAGGGAGGAAAGGGAGGGAGGAAATGAAGGAGGAAGGAAAGAGAGAAGGATAGGTTGGTGAGAGAGAGGAGGGCCTGAGAAAAGAGCCCAAGGGACCACATCCGGCCTTGGGCCTGGGTTTGCCCATATCTACTTTAGATGATTGACCTGTCAGTACTCTTTAATTAGAATAGAAAAAACTGATTCATAACCCTTTTGGTACTAATGTTGGAACGTGGTCCCTGGTCAAAGTGGTCTTGATTAAAAAAAAAAGGTTGGGGACCACTGGTGTAGACTCATATAATCCAGTACAATCTGGATTCAGAAATTGGATTTTATGGCAGTGTAGATCCAGCCTGAGCAATGCTCCCCCTTCATGTCCACCTATTGATGTGAATCAGGCTTTTTTTAGCTTATGTTTCTACCAAAAACAAATTTAGGAGTAAATTGGATACTCTCCCAGGGTTATGTTTGTTGGAATTTCAGAACTTATTTAAGTACAAACACACACAAAAAATAATTTTAGGTGTGGATCAAAGATTATCCTGTCCCAAGATAAATGTTTTTGTTCACATCCAATCTTTTCTGGTCCCAAAATAAAGCTTTTTAATGTTTTTCTTTAATTTCAAAACTACTGTACAAAACACCCAGTAGACGAAAGAAGGAGGAACTTTGCAGGTTCACAAAAGTCAGGGATAAGGATCTGTGGAGAAATCAGGGCCAGAGTTGGGATTCTGCTGAGGAAAATATGGTGGCAATTTTTGGACCTTGGGAGGTATGTAAATGCTTATGGGCTGCCACATGGGGTCCCATGAATGACATTTGGCCTAAATGGAGATGTTGACAATAGGCTCTGGGAGCTTCTGAATATCTCACATAAGGATTGGATCATTTCAACCCCAAATCCTAAGAACTTGGGTGGGGGGAGCACCTATGTTGAACCCTTACTTGCTGAGCCACCACGTTGTAGACATCCTGAGGCACATCACACGGTGTGAGGTTCACGGAGGCGGCTCCCACCACATCGCGGCCAAGCGCGGCATAGTGCTGCAGCCCATTGCAAGACCCGTCCTGGGAAAGTGGCAGAAATACACGGGGAGAAATAACAACGTTATAAACACTTCATTTACCTCTTTATTGTAGTGTCAGGGGTACCTCCTGTTTACCCCAGAAGTTCCCAGATCAGTTATGTCAGCAGTTCAGCTATCTCCTCCATTTGCACTTTTCATGTCACAAGTTAATCTTCACCTCCTTTGTTTCTCCATAATGCCGTTTTCCATGTTCCAAATTGCTTAGGATGGTGTCTTCTGCCTAGGGAAGCCTTAATAGGCCCTTAGCCAGACCCCAGTCATACAATTTCATTTATCCATCCACACATCACAGTAGCAATTAAGACAAAATGGGGCAAAACACAACCTTCCACTATTACTCCAATCAATTTTTATCCTGGATTCCTGGCAAAGAACTGCAAGAGCTGCACATTTGAAACCTCTGGATCATCCAAGGCTTCCCTATGTTCCTTCTGTGTTCCGTATCCTGGCCATTTTATATCCCTGCGACAAACTACCCCTTTGTGCGGAAGATGACATACTTTCCCTTCTGAAAACAACACAGCAACCCGCAAAACAAATCATGGGCAAGGTCAGTATTAATAAAATAATAATAATAATAATAATAATAATAATAATAAAACTTTATTTGTACCCCGCTACCATCTCCCGAGGGACTCGGTGCGGCTTACATGAGGCCGAGCCCACAATACAACAATAACAATAACAGCAATAATACAAAAAAAAATAATAATACAAAAACTCATAGCAAAATAAGCAAAAAACAATAACAATAACACGACGCATTTAAAAACCAATGGCTGGGCCAAATGTAATAATTTAAATTTTTTAAAAAAGAATGCTGGGCATGAACAGGTAACATGTAATTGGGATAAAGATATATCGCAATGAGAAAGCTTTTTTTCAATCTACTAGGTATGCAGCAGGGCCTTTCCACCCAATGATAGATGGGGCTACTGAATGGGTCCAAAACCTCTCAAATTGTTTCTATAATGCGACCTAAACTATCAACAAGATGATTGGGTAGAGTTCCTTCCTTTCGCAGAATCTGCATATAATAATGCTGTGCATTCTAGCACAGGTCTCACCCCTTTCCGAGCTGTACATGGATCAGTCCAAACCTCAAACAGATGTTTAGACCCCTCTAAGAAACGTTGCCACGTCATGAGTGTCCCTTTTACTGCAAAAGCCTCCTTCTTCCACACATGCCTGTATTTTTTTTGTGAATGGAAGGGATGGGATTTCAGGGGGTATTGAACGAACAGCTTGTCTCCATTTTCTTTAGTCGTAGCATTGTTGTAGTGTAATAACCTGGCATTAAAGATATTTCCAAGCATCTCTTATGAGTGCCTTTGACTGCTATCAAGGTTCTGCCAACATGGCATACGGTCCGTTTCATCTTCACCAACAATATCATGATGATTATCTTAACTAAATGCCTTCGGCTCAATCAGACCAAACCAGAATATTCACATACCTGATGGACGGGGAAATGGGAGATGAACGCAGTGGGGTCTGGAGCCCGTGTGGCTTTGGCGATCTCCATGCAGCAGGCTAAAGCTTGCCACGGTTCGTCAGTATTCATCCACCACTTCCTGCCCTGTATGGGAAGGTGGGAGTAGAGTTAAAAAGGTGGGAAACTAATCTAGTAAGACCCCGATGTGGACAGGAGACCCCTATTGCCTGAGACCATGGATACCATCAATAACCAGCTTTCTGTATCAACATACTTTAGTTCTATGGCAGGCCTCTTCAACCTGTGGCCTTCCATCTCCCAGGAGACCTACCTAGCTTGTTCAATGGTCAGGAATTCTGGGAGCAGACGTCCAAAACACTTGGAAGGCCACATGTTGAAAAGGACTGCTTTATGGTAACTTACTTCTGGGGGTGGGGGAAGTATACTACTACTACTACTACTACTACTACTATTCAAACACAGTAGAAACATATCCAACTATGTGTCTAATCAAACATGTACACCTATGGAGAAAAAGGGTCTTTGGACCATAATAAAATGTTGTTGTTGTTGTACTACTACTACTTTTGACCCAAATATGATAACATACGGATGAAATATGGGAATTCCATTTTTCACAGTGTTCTCAATAGCAAGGGTGTTGCCATTGAACAACTGTGATGCAATCTTTTGTGAGACTGTTCCAAATTTTATTCTTGAGATGAATAACTTTCAAGTATATTTTCCTTTTTATTTGTGACTTCCTTTTGTTGTATATGCCTGTGCTGTGATTTTGTTGTTGTATACGAGGCCCGGAGGCTGCTCCCTTGAAGCCCTAAAGCCGTGGACTCTTAACTCCAAACGCTCTGAAGTTGGGATGTTCTTAAGTTGAGGTTACACTGTAAATAATGCAGAATAATAATTACACACCGTCAGAGGATGGTCTGCTGAGTCCAGGATGTCGGCCATGATCTCATTGGCATAGGTCAGCCTCTCCTGCAGGGAGTTCCTCTTCTTCAGGCCAGTGAGGTTGATGAGGTGGATCTTCAGCCAGTCCAGGCCGTGGGAGCCAAGGGGCCTCCCCTCAGCAAAGAGAAGAAGGGCCCGTGTGAGGTCACTCCCCAGGTGGTTGAAGTGAGGTGGGCAGGGGTAGGTACGCCCCCGGAAGTCCATGTTGTGTGGGAACCAGAAGACCCGGTCCTTCATGTGCTTGGCAATGGAGAGCTTGTAGAGGGCATCCATCCGAAGGCTGTACATCTCAACCGCCTTCTTGCGGCACCGGGCCACCTCCCGCTTCAGGGCTGCCTTGCTCAGGGGGCCTCCAGTGCTAGGCTGGGGGGCCTCCGACGGGGGCGGTGGAATGTCCAGCTTCTCGTCGCCCTTCTCGTTGAAGATGGAGATGACAACGTCCAAGATGGGGCCATTGACCTTCCAGGGACAGTTGCCCAGCTGGTTGAGGGAATCCATGACGGGGTGTAGGTTGCTGGAAGGGCACCTGTCTAGCAGGATCTGATGCTGGTGGGCCCCCTCCACGTAACGCATCAGCTTGGTGGGGGCGAAGACATAGGCCCCAAAGTGCGGGGAGACCCACGGCACTGGCGGGCACAGCATGGGGATGACGAAGGTCTCAAAGGCGAGGCTGGTCTCGGCGGCATCCAGGAGAAGGCGGGTGAGGATGGGGTGTGGCCGGATGAACCCGATCTGCAAGGGAAAAGGGAAATGCAGACCATGCCACTTCTTTCAATCCTGGTCTCCTTCCAGCAGCAAGTCAAAACAGGCCTTAGGGTCTACACAGTTTTATCCAATTCATATGAAACTGAAATGTGTTTCAAAGGCAGAACCATACAGAACACATCACAAGGGATGCGATTAGGGCATATGTCACTGAAGCCAGAACTGAGTTTGCAAGGAATAGTTGCAACTGCTAATGTGGCCCTCCATGAAAATGGACTTGACACCTCTGACCTAAAAAATGTACCGTATATACTCGAGTATAAGCTGACCCGAATATAAGCCGAGGCACCTAATTTTACCCCCCAAAATTGGGAAAACGTATTGACCTGAGTATAAGCCGAGGGTAGGAAATGCAGCAGCTACTGGTAAATTTCAAAATAAAAATAGATATCAATGCAATTACATTAATTGAGGCATCAGTAGGTTAAATATTTTTGAATATTTACATAAAACTGTAATTTAAGATAAGACTGTCCAGCTCTGATTAAACCATTATTCTAACTTTCTTCAATGCAAATGTGCTTCCAATAATCCTTCCAATAGCCACCACAGTTTACTTTAACTATACATTTTGGGAGAAATGCTGTATGTATATGAATAAGGAAAAGTTGGAAAGACTGGCTTGGGAAGGGGGTAACTGGAGAGGGGGGAATGACTGAGGTGTGAAAGAGGGGCTGGAAAAGTGGGAAAGACCCCAGTCTAGAGTGTGAAAGGGGAGTTGGGAAAAACTGGGGAAATTGGGGTGGGAAAGAGGGCTGAGAAAGCGGGAAAGACTGGGGTGCGAAAGAGGTGCTGGGAAAGTGGGAAACTGCAGTTTGTAATTAAAAAGTAGCTGATTTTAATATTTCTGACATTTTCTGCTCTTTATGCAATGATCAGATGACTTTAGGAAAATGTTGAAGATGAAGATAATTTATGGTCATAGGAGCCCCTGGTGGCGCAGTGGGTTAAACCCCTTGTGCCGGCAGGACAGGTCGCAGGTTTGAATCCGGGGAGAGGCGGATGAGCTCCCTCTATCAGCTCCAGCTCCTCATGCGGGGACATGAGAGAAGCCTCCCACAAGGATGATAAAACATCAAATCATCCGGGCGTCCCCTGGGCAATGTCCTTGCAGACGGCCAATTCTCTCACACCAGAAGTGACTTGCAGTTTCTCAGGTCACTCCTGACACGACAAAAAAAAATTAAAAAATTATGGTCATAGCTTGCAGAATCTAGAATGTGGATATATTACTTTTGGGGTTAATACAATGGTGGCTGGAAAGTCACGTAGGTGGATCTCTTTGAAACTCCCTCCTAAACTGTCTTTGCACTTCAACTACATTTCACACTTCCAGTAGCAAAGGAAAATTAATTTCCTTTGTTCAAAGCTTAGTCTGACTTCCATTATTAATTCCAATAGATTTAACCTGGGGGAGGGAAAAACATCTATTGTGCTAGCTATCAGCTTTTAAAGCATGTATAGTTTTTTGGGACACCTTGTATGTCTTGTGGTGGTATCCATTTCTGATCGTTAGCAATAAAGTCACTTTGGAAGGCAAGAGACAGCTAGGACGCCAGGAATCCTGACCCTGACTCCACTTTACCCTCCTTCTACTCACCTGGCGGCCGCTGCGGAAGGAATACACATGATACAAAACAGGGATGAGTTTTTGCTCCAGCGCCGGGTTTAAGATGTTGCTCTCCATCTTCAGGACCTGGACCAGGAGCTCCACCAAGTGAAGGCCGAGTTGGACCAGCACCGAATGGGGCCAGATGCACTCCTTGCTCACCAGCGAAGGGGCACATCCAGCCTCAGAGGCCAGCTTCTCCCAATATTCTCGGGGTAGAAGATCATCCGGCTGTAGGGAGGAGAGGAAATAGTAAAAGATTTGGTCCTCAGCTGTTGCACTCTAGCCTTGAGACACCTTTTAACTCAGCACCACAACAGAGTTCAGTAGTACTAACTACAAAAGTTTTTTATGAAAAGTATGTACAAAGGGAAAAAAGGCATTTCCCAAAAGCGCAGTAGAGTAGAAAATACAAAATAGCAGCAATCCAAAAATGACAAAGTACATGAAGTCAAGAGAGCCAAGATCCATGGCAGTCATTCAAACATAAATCCATAAGTATGAACACAGGAGCTTTTTTCAAGGCAAACTCTTCAAGGAACAAGGGCAAAGAAAGGAAACGTGAATCTTGAACTTGAGAGTCAAGACAGGAATACCTTTCTTATAGCAACGTTGTCTCCTCTGAGAGGCACAAAGTAAACACTCAATTTAAGCCCGACCAAGAAGCCACAAGATCATGCCGAATGCACCTGGGCTTCAAAGACTTCTCACAGATTCTCTCAGAATGTCTAATTAGTCTATTTTTCACTCCCTCTGTACTCAAACCTAATTTGGCTTCTCGGGAAAACTCCCCATCAGCTGAAGGCCGTTTCACAAGGGAACTGAAATCTTCGCTTTCTGTTGCCTGGGAACAGCCAAAGGAATCCCAAACAATAGCCTTCTCAACCTGCAATTCTCTCTGATCACTAGCAGACTCTTCACTTTGAAACCCATCAAATCCCTTGTCCTCTGAAAAATCCTCTGCCGTTTGCTGAGCCATATCAACAGCTCCTGGAAACAGCATAAGGCCCCAGTATCCAAGGGGGATACTGTTAAAAAATTTATTGGGGTTAATGGAGTTAATTTATGCCTAGGGCAAAAGTACCTGGAAGTTTCACCATGATTGCCTTTAATCTGTTTGAATCTTATTGGCATAAATGAGCAGAGTAAGCAGACAGCCACAAGATTGGCTTTATATAGCGTACGCTTCAAACCGTTCCAGCACCCCGTTTCCTCCCATTGATAAAACAACAGCAAATAACACCCACCAGTAAAATATATATCAGAGACCAAAATAAAAACAACATCAACCAAACTGATGAGATTTAAAGAACTTTACTGACACAAAAACTAGTGTAAGTCATTACCCAGGCTTAAAACTTGTGTGGGTAGATAAATCAAATCCAGATAAAGTTATAAGTCCAATAGACAAATGTAGAGTAAAAATAGGATTTTTCCTTTCTCACTTTTTTTTGTGTCAAAATATTTGCATAAGTAAGTATAAAACTGATAAAATAGAGGGAGAATAAGCGGCTAAATAATTTTTGACCAAAAACAGGCAACAGCAACTGAACTGTCTATAGCTTTAAACAATTCTTCCTCTGTGCATGAGGCAGGGCATTGTGGGAAAGCATACAAATGTGGAGTTGTTTGTTCTGCTACACAGTCGCACAAGGTGGAGAATTCTTCTAGGTAGTACCATTTTGTCAGGTTGTCTTTTGACCTGCCCACTACACTTCTGAGTCTGTTCAGGGACTTCAAAGTTGCCCACTTTTGCTTTGCCCCTGGAGGAAGACCCTCATAGGGGGCCATTCAATTGGGATTTCCTGCCCAGAGGGATACTCTTGCTATTGCTGGGGGAACATTAAGAGGAGGCTTTTAAGTCTACTGGAAGGAGGCTGATAGCCATGCAGTGAGTGGCTTTCACAGTGTTCAATCTTATTTCTCTCACAGGGCGGGGGGGGGGGGGGGGGGGGGGGGCGCGGGGGGGGGGGGGGGGGGGGGGGTGCGGGCAGTGCCAGCAAGCTTATAGAGTGTATCAACGGGTGTAAGTTTAGAGACATCCTGTGATTATTCTGCATGTTTCGTTCAGTGCTATATTCACTTGTTTTGCATGGGCAGACTTGAGCCAAACAGGGCAGGCAGACTCATCAGTTGAGTAAGACAAGGCCAGGGCTGATGTTCTTATTAATTTTGGATCTGCACTCCATGCGCTGCCAGTAAGTTTCCACAGGATGTTATTGCATGCAGCTACTTTGAGCTTGGTGTTCATACCATGTTTTGTAAATGCCCCACGTGTGTGTGTATCTTTGAGATTAGGTAAAGGTTCCCCTGACATTAAGTCCAGTCATGTCTGACTCTGGGGTGTGGTGCTCATCTCCATTTCTAAGCCGAAGAGCCAGCGTTGTCCGTAGACACCTCCAAGGTCATGTGGCCGGCATGACTGCATGGAGCGCCGTTACCTTCCCGCCGAGCGGTACCTATTGATCTACTCACATTTGCATGTTTTCAAACTGCTAGGTTGGCAGAAGCTAGGGCTGACAGCGGAAGCTCACGCCGCTCCCTGGAATCAAACCTGCGACCTTTCGATCAACAGGCTCAGCAGCTCAGTGCTTTAACCCACTGCGCCACCGGGGGCTCCATTAATATTCATATATAATATTAAATATTACACACTACTGTTTACATATTAAGTTATGTAAAACTGGTAAAGCACCTGGCCTAGATGACTTAATGATGGAGCAAATCAAACGCTTGGGCATCAAAGCTGAAAATCAGCTTTTGAAATTTTACAGTCAATGCTTGGCACACAAACAGATTCCCAGGCTATGGAGGAAAATTAAGATCATTGCCATTTGAAAAACTGGTAAAGACGCCTCTAATGCCAGGCACTACTGACCAATCTCTCTCTTATGTCATCTATATAAAGTGTATGAGAGGATGCTATTAAATCGATTAGGACCTGTTATTGAACCCCAGCTGATTGCACAATAAGCAGTTTTCAGACAAGGGAAAAACTGTACAGCCCAAATTCTTAATCTGACTGAGTATATTGAGGAAGGATATGAGAAAGGTTACATTACACAACAGTTTCTGTGGACCTTAGGGCATCCTATCACACGGTGCAACATAGGAAAATGCTGCATAAAATCTACCATATTACCCAGGACTATGATTGTACAAAAACAGTCCAGACCCTCCTAGACAACCACGGCTTCTATGTAGTTCCAAGGCAGGAAAAGTAGAAGGAGGAGGCAAAAAAAATGGTCTACCACAAGGCAGCATTCTTGCACCAACTTTGTTTAACACCTTTACTAACGATCAGCCACAGTCACCACTCACAAAGAGCTGACAACCTTGCCCTAAAAACACAAGCAAAATACTTTGAAACAGTTGAAAACCAACTTCTGAATGCCCTGAAAGATCTCTCCAGCTACTGCAAAGACAACCACCTGAAGGCTAACCCTGCCAAGACACAAGTGTGTGCTTTTCACCTACATAATCGTGAAGCCAACAGGAAATTGAAAGTTACTTGGGAAGGCCAAGAGCTTGAACACTGTTTCCATCCTAAATATCTTGGTGTCATCTCTCTCATGGTGAAACAAAGAGAGGGGAATCCCACCTTGTTAGCATCATGCAAACAAAAATGAAAGAGACCAGCAAGTTGGCATTTTGACACACACAGGCCCAGAACAAAGAAACCAACAACTTTTAAAACTCTCTATTTCAAAGGAGATGTCCGCCATGGAGAAAGGGGAATGCAAACGGGACTGGGGGTCATAAAAACAGACAGTGAGAAAAGCATGCAAGATTATTAATTCTCTAACAGATGCACTCCCAGCTGGATCAGGAAGATAATAGAGCACCATTCAATACAATGCAATGCAATCCAATACAGAACTTTATTATGGTCACCGAACAGCACAATGCGGGACACAAGCGCCCTGGGAGGGGAAGCACAGCTCCCGTCCCCTATGAAGCAGTTATTTAAAAAGTACATTAGAAAACAGTTTAAAATCACAGTTTAAAACATAGGTTATTGTAACATAGGCCCCCAGCCTATAGAACGCACTCCCAAACGAGATAAGGTCGACCCCATCTCTTCTGGCCTTCAGGAAGAAATTAAAACCCTGGTTTTGGGGCCAGGCTTTCGGACAACAGACATAAGGAGCACTGCAGCTGGATATGGACTGGATATAGACTGGATTAATGTTATGGCTACGGATATTGTGATATTGTTTTATGGTTTTAGTTATTTTTTAAAATATTTTTATTGTGCATTTTTCTGTGTATTTACATCGAAAGAGTGAGAACATAGGATTTGTAAGAGAAAAAGTGTAGAAGGAAGTGTAAGAGGGGAGACCGTAGTGGGGGGGGGGGCATAGTAGGGGGGGAGAGGGAAAAAAAAGAAGAAGAAAGGAATTGGGTTTTATATGGTTTTAATTATGTTGTATTTACTGTTTTAATGTTTGCTATTTTATATTTAACGGTGGCGCAGTGGGTTAAATCCTTGTGCCGGCAGTACTGAAGACCGACAGGTCGCAGGTTCGAATCCGGGGAGAGGCGGATGAGCTCCCTCTATCAGCTCCAGCTCCTCATGCGGGGACATGAGAGAAGCCTCCCATGAGGATGATAAAAACATCAAATCATCCGGGCGTCCCCTGGGCAACGTCCTTGCAGACGGCCAATTCTCTCACACCAGAAGCGACTTAACAGTTTCTCAAGTCGCTCCTGACACAACAAAAAAACCAACAAAACTATTGTAATTCTTATGTAGCGGTATCATACCACTACTAAATGTAAGCCGTCCTGAGTCCCCCTTCAGGGGTAGAGAAGTGACAAGATAGAAATACTATAAATAAATAAATAAATAAATAAATAACAGGTATGGAACGGGGGGGGGATCGATGGGGGGGGGATCGATGGGAGGGGTCAAAACATTGGGGGGGACGACTAAAGGGGAAGGGAGGCACATTGCGAGTCTAGTAGCATTTCAACTGTAACATGTTGCTCTAACTACATTCCCAACAAGGTGTTGCCTTGCGGGGTCAATCATTATCCATCTAATTTTAAGTGCTGCTGCACAAAACTTAGCAACATTGTAAATTATTGTAGTGCTAGAGTCCGAAAGCAGCAGGGTGGAATAATATTTTTCGCTGTGCCCTGGGTATTTTAGAAGCCATGCTGTAATGAGATTAGTTCTAAGGTCTCTGTAGAACATGCATTGCAGAAGCACGTGCTCAGTTGTTTCTACATGACCAGACTCACAGGGGCATAGTCTCTCCTTGGACGGGGTCTTCCGATATCTCCCCTCCAATACAGCCAATGGGAAGGCATGGCATCTTACCAGGGTAAAAGACCATCGGTGTTTGGGCACCTCCAGGTCTGTTAGGTATGCCATGGGGGCAGTAAGGTATCTACTGGCTTCCCTAATAATGAAGGCTGGGGAGCAAGCTAGGTCCGACTGGCACTCTATGTTCAGGATCCGTTGCTTAATGAGATCTTTGGCTTGGTCCCATCTCATTCTTAGCAATTGTCCTTGGGAGAAACCTAGAGTTGCGATCTTTGCTGCCACTGTTTTAGTCCATTTGTCATGGTTAGGAGGGCAAGACCATGTGAGGAGGATAGGTGTAGCCAGTAGTTGAGAATAGCTATCCATATTCTCACCTCCACTTTCACAAAGCCTGTCTCCAATCGCAGGGTGGCGTTAGAGACACATCTGGGACCCTGTAGAGCTGCTAACCATTCAATTCACAGACTTCCTGTTGCATTGGAGAAATTCCTATAGGGAAGTAGTGTCTTTCCAAGTGTTTTGGAAGCCCAAACATTTAGAGGGCCATAAGTTTGACGCTTTTATATTCATACCTCTGCAGTACAGAGGTATCATCTCTATGGATTTCCTGCATCCTCCAATACAACTCTATGCAAACCTTTGGGGAAAGCAAAGCAGAGAATAGCCTTCACATTCCTGCAGAGACCTGGGTAAGTGAAACTGTGGATACAGGTTCCACAGGTACGGGACGGCCTTGCTCTAATTCATTCCTTTCAAGCATTGCCCTTCTGTTCTTCATGCTTTCAGCCATCATTAAGTTTATCATTAGGCGCCAGCAATGTTAATAGAGCGGACAAGAATTCCAGTTTCCCATGATTTCAATTTGTTACAGGAGGATAATTTTAGAAACGGCGGTTTCTATTCCGGGCCTGTTTTAATCATCTTAATTGATGCTCTTATTTGAAAGCTAATGCATTAGGGAAAAGGAAGCAAGGAAGGCGTTTGCAGGTGGGTTGAATCAATCAACGCAGCCCTGAGTTTGCAAAGGCTCTTAATAACAAGGGCTGGGATCCTGAAATACCTGAGGTACACATTAAGCACTGCTGTTAATGATGCTTCCCAGTCCAATATACCCAATTCCTCGCACCAGAGATGGCCAACAAAAGGGAAATCATAAGGACAGTGGCAGCTGGTGAAAGAAAACAATTTTGGAAGAATCCTTCAAGTCATTTCCAGAAGGTTCAGATATTGTGGCTCATGCAAGGCTTATCCAAATTGTGTTGTCAAAGTCTTTCATGGCCGCAATCACTGGGTTGCTGAGTTTCCGGGATGTCTGGCCATGTTCCAGAAGCATTCTCTCCTTATGTTTCGCCCACATCTATGGCAGGCATCCTCAGAGATTGTGAGGTCTTTTGGAAACTAGGCAAGTGGGGTTTTTATATATATAGTAAAGGTAAAGGTTTCCCCCTGACATTGACTAGTTGTATCCAAGTCTGGGGGTTGGTGCTAATCTCCATTTCTAAGACGAAGAGCTGGCGTTGTCCATAGACACCTCCAAGGTCATGTGGCCGGCATGACTGCATTGATCTACTCACATTTGCATGTTTTCAAACTGCTAGGTTGGCAGAAACTGGGGCTAACAGCAGGAGCTCATGCTGCTCCACGGATTCGAACCTGTGACCTTTCTGTAAGCAAGTTCAACAACTCAGCAGTTTAACCCACTGTGCCACCTGGGCCCTTTATATATTTAATATCTGTGGAATAATGTCCAGGGTGGGAGAAAGAACTCTTGTCTGTTAGAAGCAAGTGTGTATGTTGCAATTGGCCACCTTGGTTAGCATTGAAGGGCCTTGCAGGTTCAAAGCTTGGCTGCTTCCTGCCCAGGGTGTTTGGGTGGTTTTAGCTGGCCCTGATTGTTTCCTGTCTGGAATTTCCCTGTTTTCTGAGTGTTGTTCTTTATTTACTGTCCTGATTTTAGAGTTTTTTAATACTGGTAGCCAGATTTTGTTCATTTTCATGGTTTCCGCCTTTCTGTTGAAATTGTCTACATGGTTTCTATGAACAGAAAGATGGAGTAGCCATGGGGAGTCCTCTCAGCCCAGTCATAGCAAATTTCTACATGAAACACTTTGAAAAACAAGCCTTGGAAACATCAACAAAAAAGCCCGCTGTATGGTTCCAGTATGTGGATGACACTTCCACCATTTGGAGCCATGCAGAAGAAGTTAACAAGTTCCTGGACCACCTCAACAGCATTCATCCAATCATCCAATTCACCATGGAAAAAGAAAATGAAGAAAAACTGCCACTTCTAGATGTACTAGTCAACTCCATTGAATCAGACAGTTTACAGAAAACCTATACACAGAGATAGATAGATACCTACATAAAAACTCCAACCATCACCCAAGTCAAAAAAGAAGCACAATTACAGACTGTGCAAAAAGAATCGGCGAAGCCCACCTCCCCCAAGGATAACTGAACCCCCTCAACTGGGCTCTACAGATCAATGGAGACTCCACCACAGACATCAGAAGAGCTGCAAGACCAAGACCAAGCCGCAAGAGTAAAGGCAAAGATCCACCCAGAGGAAAAGGGAACCACTGACCATATAGGGAAGCTAATGAAGAAACACAACGTACAAACCATCTGCAGACTCACTAAGAAAATCCAACAAATGCTCTGTTCAGCAAAGGGCAAGGGGGATCCTCTCACCTCTGCAGCAGTCTCCCGGAAACGGTGCAGCTGTGGACAAGTCTACATAGGGACCACCAAACACAGCAGACATGAATCAAGCAACAGGACATGCACTGCAGGCTAATTCAACCAGAGAAGTCAGCCATAGCAGAGTACCTGATGAACTAACCTGGACACAGCATATCATTTGAGAACACAGAAATGCTGGACCACTCTCAGAACCACCATGTCAGAATACACAGAGAAACCATTGAAATCCACAAGCATATGGACAATTTCAGTAGAAAGGAGGAAACCATGAAGATGAACAAAATCTGGCTACCAGTAATTAAAAACTCTAAAATCAGGAAAGCAAATAAAGAGCAAGACTCAGAAAACAGGGGAATTCCAGAAAGGAATCAATCAGGGCCAGCTAACACCTCCCAACAAAGGATTTCCCCAGACAGAAAGCAGCCAGGCTTTGAAGCTGCAAGGCTATTCAATACTAATCAAGGTGGATAATTGCAACATTCACACTTGCATCCAACAGACAAGAGTTCTTTCTCCCACCCTGATCATTCTTCCACAGATATATGAACCTCACTTGCCTAGTTTCCAACAGACCTCACAACCTCTGACGATGCCTGCCAAAGATGCAGGTGAAACGTCAGGTGAAAATGCTTCTGAAACATGGAGAGACAGCCTGGAAAACTCACAGCAATCATTACCCAAATTGATTATTTCCTTAACCGAGATAATTGAAAATTACCTGTGTGTCCTTAGCGAGAAGCTGGACGTAACTGTCGTAGATGGCCTTGATCTTCTTCACCAAACGGCTCCTGGATTTCTTCTTGATGACGTACTTGTTGTAAACCTTGGTGCCCAGCTCCCGAGCCAAGATCAAGAGGGACTCTCCATGAGGAGGGAGGACAGAGAGGCTCTGGGAGGAAAACAGGGAGGAAGGAAAAGGGGATTGGAGAAAGCAGGAGGTGCTCAACATCCCTTGCCTACAATCTCAAAATCCAAAATTTGTCCACTGAGAGAGTGACCCTTTTGTTTTTGGATGCTTCAACTGTACACAATGCCACAAAATTCTTTAAAATTGTATACAATAACTTTTAGACTACATATATGGTATAAGGTGTTGATGAAACATCAGTGAATTTGTGTTTTGAAACATGTAACACTACTACTACTACTACTAATAATAATAATAATCATCATCATCATTATTTGTATCCCGCTACCATCTCCCCGAAAGCACTAAGTGTGGCTCACAGAAAGAACTCAATTGTCCAACAAAATACAAATTTAGCAAAATACAGAAAGGTAAAATTAGTAATAATAAAATTGACCCAATTATACTTAAAACAGCAATAAAAACCTTTTCAATTTGGAAGGTATTATAAAACCCAGTAACTATAAAAATAGCAGCCATGTAAACATCTGTCCCGATAACATGTGGAAGTGAACACTCACTAAGTCCTCGAATATAGTGATTAAGGCCATAATCCATAAACATGGTCAAAAGATTGTTTTAAAAGCCATGTTTTCAGGTTTTTCTGGAAAAATTGGAGAGTGGGGGTTATCCTAATCTCTTTAGGGAGGGCATTCCAAAGCCGAGGAGCCACCACTCTCTCTCGTCTCCACCAACCGCACTTGAGACAGAGGTGGGACCAAGAGGACGGCCTCCACGGCAAATCTCAGAGCCTCTACTGGTTCCTAGAAAGAGATGTGGTCTCAAAAATAGGTTGAACCTGAACTGTACGGGGCTTTATAGGTGATAACCTTCACTTTGAATTGGGACCGGAAACTTGTCAGTAGCCAGTAGAGCTGCTTTAACAGAGGCGTAGTATTCTCCCTATAGCATGCCCTAGTTGGTAGTCTGGGTGCCGACGGTTGAAAGGCAATCCCACACAGAGTGCATTGCAATAGTCCATTCTAGATGTAACTAAGGTGTGGAGCACTGTGGCCAGGTCAGGCTTTGAGGCTGGCACGTAAGGTTTCACTGTGCGAAGGCCACCCCAATCACCACCGACACCTGAACTTCAAGTGCCGAGTCCAGGAGGACCCCCAGACTGCAGACCTGTGTCCTCAGGGGGAGTGTAACCCCATCGAGCACAGGTTGCCCTATACCCTGATTGGCCCTGTGACTGACCAGGAGGACCCTTGTCTTGTCTGGATTAAACCTCAGTTTGTTGGCCCTCATCGAGTTCCAACGGGGACTCGGGGCGGCTTACATGAGGCCAAGCCCCAGCAACAAATTACAGCAAAATAAAACCAAAAACACAAGCAACAAACAACAACATAATTACATAAAAACATATGAAAACATTAGCAATATAACATTACAATAACACAATCACAGTGACAARGGGCGGGCCACATATGCAGAATAAAAAAATTAAAAAACTTGGGTGAGATAAAAGGAGGAGCAGGTTATTTGAGAAGGGGAGCTCGTAAAAACTGGGGTTGTGGGACCAAGCTTTCTTACAAGGGGGGGGGGGGAGGGGAGGGACATGTATTCCAGTGACAGAAACGTTGAGGGTGAGCAATAATGTGAGGTTGTGTTACCTACTCACCAAAGGCGCAGCAGAAGAGCCAGGTTTTAAGATTCTTTTTAAAGGTTTCTAGGGAAGGGGCTTTCCTAATCTCTACAGGTAATGAGTTCCAGAGTTGGGAGGTCACAGAGGAGAAGGCTCTCTCCCTTGTGCCCACAAGGCAAGCCTGTGAAACTGGCAGGGGCAAAAGGAGGGCCTCCCCCAAAGATCGGAGGGCCCGGGCTGGTCAGGGTTAGATAGAAGATTAATGTTCTGTCAACCTAGGGTATCTCATGAAGCACAGGGAAGGTCAGTTCGCCTATTAACAAAGAAGCCCATATCAGTTTTGGAAGAGCAACGGTGTGGCTTTCTGTCTATATTTGAAAGGCCAGCAGAGTATTCCCTCAGTCCAGAAAATGTTGATTTTGTAGTCAAGTCAAGTCTTCCAAGGGATTTTTAGTTCCAGGTTTCTTTGTGTTCATGCTTTCTGGTTCTATGTTTCATGTTCCTGAGGACAGTTCTTGTGTTGAACGTTTGGAGTTTACCTGCTTTTGTATTCCTGGTTTTTGAAGCATTTCATGTACTTTGAACTCTGAGAATTATTCCTATTTTTTCGACATTGATTTTACACTATTTTGCTGGATTGCTTCATATATATATTCTTCAATAGGCTACTTTGCTACTTTGTTAAGCACAAAGGTGATTCCCAGCCTTGAAGTATAACAAAACCTGATCAGGTGATGGTCAGTCAATGACAATGGAACAATTGATAGTTCCTCCAACCTGACATTTTCATCCCCATCCACAATAAATACCAAGTCAAGAGTGTTTCCAGCCACATGGATGGGCCCAGATATTATTTGGGACAGCCTCATAGTTGTCATGGAGGTCTGGGAGTGAAAGGCCAGTAATGAGGGGGCCAATCCCACATCCTTGAAGAGGGAGTTCCAGAGCCATGGGGCCACCACCAAGAAGGCCCTCTCTCTCGTTCCTACCAACCATACCTGCAACTGTGGTGGGACCAAGAGAAGGGCCTCTCCTGATGATCTCAGGGCTCGTGTGAACTGATAGGAGATGCAGTCCCTCAAGTAGACTTGGCCCAAACCGAAAAAATCCAAAATCCCAAACACTTCTGGTCTCAAGCACTTCTGACAAGGGATGCTCAACCCATAAAAAGGCTTTTTGGAGTAAAATAAAACTGGTTTGTAGAGGAACATCATCGGGGAACTTCCAGAGACTTCTATCTCACCCAGAGGGGCTTATGGTTCGGTTTTATGTCTGCTTATTACTCCCTCCTATGGCAACAAACGTGTCTCACCTGCATCAAGATGTCAATGTACTCCTTGTCATCCAGGACACAAAGGAAGGGGTAGAGGGTCATCTGCCCCGATTTCTTCCTGTCCAGATGGAGCCTGGACTCTTGCAGGCTCTGGAGGAGAGAGGCCCTCCAATGTGAACGGAGTTCGGCTAGCAGGGCACGCTGAGGAAAGAGAAGAAAAAAAGGGGGGAGTCACACATTTTCGATAAGGGAGGTGAACGAAGGCTTAGGAGAGTTTCCTGACTTTTTACCGCTTGGGCAGCCTTCTCCGTCAGGGGCTTCTCGGCTTCCACAGAGTCAATGGTGACTGTGTCGGATGCCTCCATCGCCAACTGCTTCCGGAACTGTTTCCGTAGGTATTTCACAGTGAAATCCAGCTTGGGGTAAGAAACGGGCTTATCCTGCGGTGAGAAAAAAAAGAAGAATTGGGGCATAGCTGTGGAGCAAAGACAGGCAAAAACTGGGCAGAGCTAGAAGTGTATGCAAAAAAAAAAATGCCCAAAATAATAATAATAATAACTTTATTATTGTATTCCACAACTATCTTCCCGAAGGGACTCGGGGTGGACTACAAGCAGGACCAAGCCCAGTAATAACAAGTTAGCCAATGAACATGTAACAATTAATTAAACAATTAAAACATCATTTCAACAGATCAAAAACCAATCTTTATAACCAGCCTGGGATGTGTCTGCACTGCATACCGACACCACTTTTGTTGGGACCTTTAGTTTGGTGTGGTATTTAGCATTCTCTGTTGTGTCCCAGCGAGGCAGACTAGACCTCTTTAGTCTCAAACAGGAACCCGTAACTCTCAAGATCCTATAGGATGGAGTCATTATAGTGAAAGTGGGATCACAGCAATGTAAAGTGAGTACTCTTGAGATGTTTAAATAAGATACTTGATGGAACAGAGGCATTTTTAAAGGTCGGGGTGGTGAGGTTCACAATAGGACCACCCGAAGGAAATAATTCAGCAGGAAAAATATCATTCTACAGTAACAAATCTTTTCGGCACTGCATCAAAAGGACCCTCTAGCTATCTTTGCTTCACCTTCTTGTAGAAGTCCTGGAGCAGAGGAATAGTGCAGATTTCCGCTTCTTGGGGATGTGGCGGGAGCTGGAAGCCTGGCCTGGCCTTCCGGATGCCTTCCAGAGCCATCTCCACTTCGTCTCCCTCCCTCACATAGTTTTGGAAGAGCTCCTCCAGGCGGAAACCATCTTCTTCAAGTTGCTGGAGGCATCTGCAGAAGAAGATACGGAGTCAGGAGACAAAGCTATCAACACAGAAAAGCAAGGAAACCAAACACTGATGGTTTTCCCTAAAGCACATTTGTCAAACTCAAAGCCCGCAGGCTGAATCCAGCCCTCAATGTGTCAAAAATACATATTCTTGATGATAAATTAACAGGGATAGGACAAGAAACAGACAAAATTAGCCTGTTTGCCAACAATACAATTTTGACTTTAAATGGCATAACAGATAAAATGAAGATAATAGGAGAACATATAAAGAAATTAGGATAAATAATTTGGCTGAAAATAAACTGGAAAAAAAATCAGAAATGATTTTATTTAACTATACAAAACAAGAAGAGGAAGATTTCAAAAATCAGAGGGAGATAAAAATAACTCTAAAAGAAAATATAAAATATCTAGGAGTAGTAGTAACTAAGGGACTAAGTGAGATGAAAAGGAAAAATTTAGAGGTATTAAGGAAAGAGACAGAGACAAGATAAGTTGAACATAACAATGCACGCCTATCCTGGAATAGCCTTATTTAAAATGACAATCCTAGCAAAAGTAAACTTTATATTTAGAATGATACCCCTCAAAATTTCAGAAACGGAATTGAATAAATGGCAGCAATTAACAAATTAAATTTGTAACAACGGGAAAAAGAATAGAATAAATAAATTCTACTGGTACAAACCACAGAAAGGAGGACTAGGACTACCCGAAATCAAAAGTTATTATGGAAGGGATGCTAAGCAAAGCTGACACAGACTGGATGGAAATAAATAATAAAGATATAGAAATGATATTAGAAAATATATATTTTAAAGGAATACTCAAAAAAGGAAATTAATCAAATGGGAAATGTACCATTGAAAAATATACAAACAATATGGAACAAATATAAGAAAAACCTAATCAAAGAGAATTCTAAAATAATGCCAGTTATAATGGTGGGGAAATTTCCAAAAATCCTGAAAAATGTAATGAATAAGGAGTTGAAAAAGAAGAAATTAGACAAAATTGGAAGTTGGATGGAACAAATAAAGGAGAAGAGCAGCAGTAAGGAAATCCTAGGTGAATCAAATATATCATGGCTCCATTTGGTCCTACTGGACCAATGGCTCAAAAATTGGAAAGAGCTCAGGGCAAAGAAAACCAACTAAATTTGAAAATATAATATTAAAAGAATAGGCTAAAGAAGAAAATGAGCAGCAAAAAGGGATAACAAGTATGATATACAAAATATTAATAGAGATTAAAGGGGGAGGGGGGAAGAAAAGGGATACAAACAAGGGAACTAGGGGAGGAAGAATTGGGAATAAAAATAGGAGAAAGGAACTGGGGAAAATTATGGAGAGCAAGACATCTCAAGAATTTATCAATTACGATAAAAGAAAACTACTACAAGATGGTATGGAAATGGTACCTGATTCCAAAAAAGATACACAATATGGATAAGGGTTGTTCGGAAAAATGTTGGAGCGGTTGCCAAGAAAGGGGTACGTATATCCACATGTGGTGGCAATGCAAATATGTACAGAGGTTCTGGGGAAAAGTTATAGTAGAAATAGGAAGTATTATGAAGAAAAAAAATAATATAAATCCGGCGACTATACTGTTATATATTTATAATACAGACGCTGGCAGTCTTTAGGAGGAGTTTGAAAACGTGGCTGTTCTAGTGTTCCAGGGTGCCTTCCCAGAATAGGAAACCCCAAAGCACTTGTCCCAAATGTACTTTACTAGAAATCTAGGATTGTCTGCACGCCCTATCTTCTCCAAAAATACCTATCCATTTCACCCGGTCATGCCCAGTTTTTATATTTTTTAACCCATTACAACTGGCCCTGACACGGATTTTAAATTGCGTCATACTGTTTAATGTCTATTGCTTGAGTTATTTATTGATGTATTGTTAAGGAAAGAAGATGGGAACCAGCCCCTACCAGAAGAAATGAGGTTCTGGTGGGAGCATAAAGAAAAGAAGAACTCCGCAGATGGGGAGCACAAGGGATAGCACAACTGGGGAAAGGAGAAGAAATAATTATATGAATTGCAGAGATGGGGTTTTTTTTATAATGAAATGAATATAAATGCAATAAAAAGTATTTAAAAAGAAATACATATTCTTTTATCCATTTTCAGTGGGTGCCCTCGGTGGCGCAGTGGGTTAAACCCCTGTGCCGGCAGGACTGAAGACCGATAGGTCGCAAGTTCAAAACTGGGGAGAGGCGGATGAGCTCCCTCTATCAGCCACAGCTCCTCGTGCGGGGACATGAGAGAAGCCTCCCACAAGGATGATAAAAACATCAACTCATCCGGGCATTCCCTGGGCAACATACTTGCAGACGGCCAATTCTCTCACACCAGAAGCAACTTGCAGTTTCACAAGTCGCTCCTGACATGACAAAAAAATGGGTAAAATAAATCCATATATGATTCCACAGCAAGCTGGTTTCAGGAAAGGCAAACGCTGCACATCACAAGTGCTGAACCTGACTCAGCACATAAAAGATGGTTCTGAAAGGCAGCAGATCACAGGAGCTGTTGTCATAAACCTATCAGCAGCTTATGACACCGTAAATCATCACTTTCTCCTGAGAAAGAAGTAGGTTAACAGGACTGGTAATGGTTTTATACTAGCTGTACCCTGGCCATGTGTTGCTGTGGCCTCAGAAAACAGGAATCCCGGACATGAAGCAATCTGGGCTAGGGAACTGTAGGCAGGAAGAAGCCAGGCTTTTAAGCTGCAAGGCTTTTCAAAGGTTATGAAGGTAGGCAATGTATGTGTATATGTATATGTGTATATGTGTGTGCACTACTTTGTGTCGCCTGAGGGCTGAGAAAAGCGGTATATAAATAAAGTAAATAAATAAAATAAATATATATGTGTATATTTGTGTGTGCTTGTGTATATGTATATATGTGTGGTTTGCATGTGTATATACATGTGTGTGTATATGTTTATATACGTGCATATGTATATGTGTGTTCATGTGTATATATGTGTTATGTATTTGTATATATATATATGTATTCATGTGTGTATGGATGTATATATGAGTGCATATGTGTTTTTGTAGATATGTGCATGTGTGTGTTGTTTGTATATGTGTGTAGGCCTGGGCTTACTTGGGCCCTCCAGACATTTTGGACTTCAGTTCCCACAATTCCTAACAGCCAGAACAGCATGGCTGTTAGGAATTGTGGGAGTTGAAGTCCAAAATGCCTGGAGGGCCCAAGTAGGTCCAGGGCTGGAGTATGAGATTTGTTACTGAACCCTGTGTCTCTTTTGAGGCCTCCTCCTGGCGTGCCTCCACCTCCCTTCCTCTCTCCCTTCCCTTTCCCCTCTCGCCTTCCTTGCCAGACCGATGCAAAAGGTTTGCTTGCTTCTTTACTTCTTCTGTCCCTCCGTCCATCCTTCTCCCTCTCCCTCCCCCCCTCTGAGAAGGCTAAAGGCTGCTTTTCAGAGCAGCTTTGCTGGGCTGTTCTGGCTTCTCGGCTTGGCTCCCAAAGCAAGGACGGCCAGCTGCTTTGGTAGGGATGGCTGTTTGTTTCTCCCTCTCGCACAAGAGGGGGCAGGGCTAGGTTTTGCACATGCGTGGTAAGGTATTTTTTATTTTTTAAGAATTGTAAAGCTATTTTCACGGTTTTTGGGTTTTTTTAATTGTTGGTCATACCTTGCTGTATGAGAAGTTTGGAGACCAAATTTGATGTCAGTTGGGCCCATAGTTTGTTTGTTTTTAGGCTACTCACGACGACCAGAAGCTTTTTATATATTAAGATAGCGATATTAAAGAACCTATGCTGGATGAATGCTCTTATCTAGGGTTGTGAGTGGCCCAGGGACCACAGTTTCCCTGGTCTCATACACTATGTTGGATCTGTGTTCCTTATTCCTTCCTTTTAAACATCTGGATAACGATGGACAGAAATGTTACCTAGTGATGATGTTAGGACGCACGTCAGACCGCCCCATGCAGCTAAGCGCAGCGATGTAGGAGTCCTGGTTGGGTTTCACTCCGGCCTCGTCCATCAAGCGGAAAAGTGAGCCAATTGGAGCCAAAGCACGCTGCCAGAAGGAACAAAAATACCGTATTTCTTCAAATGTAATGCAAATCAAAATTTCAACCCCCCCCCCCCCCCCCAAAGCTGCCAAACGTAATGTGAAGCAGCAAAAAGTGCACTCTGCCATTAGGTGATTACAGTGGCTGCCTGCGTAGGATTCCTTCTTTAAAAATAATTGTGTTAGAACACCAAAGCTTCCAGCAATTGAAAGAAAAACCTTGGGGTGCATCTATGGATGCTTGGTTCAATGCTATGGAGTCATGGGAGTTGCAGTGTGACAAGGCCTTGAGCCTTCTCAGCCAAAGGATGCTGATGCCTCACCCAACTACAAATCCCAGGATCCTGTAGCACTGAGCCACGGCAGCTAAATTAGAGATGAGGCCCCTCAAATAGGAACTCCTGAACCAGTTTCCCCTTTAGCTTTGGCTCAGCATTAAGACAACCATATTATGCAGATCTAATGTGCACCCTAATTTTTGGCAAGGTCGTTTAGCCCCAAAAGGTGAGCATTAGCTTTGAGTAAACAGGGTAATTTTATCAGTGAACAATCAAGTGAGAAAAGTACCTTCTTGGCATATTCGTGCATGACCAGGTTGTACATTCGGACGTCCAGCTGCTTTCTCCGGGTGTGCGAGCGGTGGTAGAACATCAGGCACTGAAGTGCTTTCTCTGGTTGGCGGAGGAAGAGGCAGGTATCCAGGTAGGACAAGATACTGAGCTGGAGGTTCCCATGTTGGTGTCCATCTTCTTCAAAGGGCAAAGGAAGGTCTGGGATGCACTTTTCCAGCTCTTCGGTGTTGCCAGAAGGAAGGGAAGGGCCTTTCGTCACAGCAGCCTTCTTGCGACCTCGGAGGCCTCTGGTGCTTTCCAGAGGCTGAGATTTCACCTTTCTTCCCGCACTTCTCTCTTTAGCCAGTCGTTCCAATCGATCCTCAGCCCCTTGAGTCCGTTTGGAAGTAGGTTTCGCCACAAGGTTTGATGAAACTCTGGCAAGTTTGGCTTCTAACCTCAGCAGGCGCTTGTGTTTAATCGACTTCTCCTTGTTCAGCTTCTCCATCCAGCGGCTGGGCTGGGGACCAGCTCCTTCACTGCTCGTTGCAGTTGTTTCAGTCCGAGCCGGGCTTAGCGTGGCTGCTTTCCAGGGAGGGCTGGGTTGAAAGAAGCTGTCCTTCCCCAGCTGAGAGAGGGGAACCGTGTTCATCCCTACTTCAGTCTGCAGTTGCTTCACTCTAGCCTCCAGCACTGCAAGAGAACAAAATGAAAAAGGTACCAAAGAACACTGTTATGGAGTATAATTCAGTTTTCTTGAGCTTTTCAAGATGGAAATGATCCTAGACCAGCAGTTCTTACAGGTGTGCTCCAAAGAGCCCTTGGGGCTCCACAAAGCATACTGATGGGCTCTTGGGGGTTCTATTATTATTGTTACTAGCTGTCCCGTGCCACGCGTTGCTGTGGCCCAGTTTGGTGATCTAGAAAATAAAGTAATGAGAAAGTGTTGGTTTCTAATATATGTAATTCCTTTATGCTTGTGAGTAAACAGTATTTCTTGTTGTTTCTTTGTCAGTGTTGATGTGGAGAGTGTCTGGTTTGCCTACTCTGGAATATGCAACATATCATACTCCTTTTTTAAGGGTCTCTTTCAAATCTATGATACTATATCTGTGTGTGTGTGAGAATCATATCTATCTATCTATCTATCTATCTATCTATCTATCTATATTTATGACTGGATGGCTCTTTGTCAGGAGGGCTCTGATTACATTTTCTTGCCCTGGTGAAGAGAGTTGGACTGGATGGCCTTAAGTATTTTCTGTTGGTAGTGGGGGTTTGGTGTGGGAATTTTGCCCCATTTCTGTCGTTTGTGGGTTTCAGAATGCTCCTTAATTGTAGTGAACTATAAATCCCAGTAACTACAAATCCCAAATGTCAAGGTCTATTTCCTCCAAACTCCATCTGTGTTCATATTTGGGCATATGGAATATTTGTGTCAAGTCTGGTCCAGATCCATCATTGTTTGAGTCCACATTGCGCTCTGGATGTAGGTGAACTACGACTCCCAAACTCAAGGTCAATGCCCATCAAACCCTTCCAGTATTTTCTGTTGGTCATGGAAGTCCTGTATGCCATGTTTGGTTGAAATCCATCATTGGTGGAGTTCAGAATGCTCTTTGATTGCAGGTGAACTATAAATCCCAGCAACTACAACTCCCAAATGTCAAGGTCTACTTCCCTTAAACTCCATCTGTGTTCATATTTGGGCATATGGAATATTTGTGCCAAGTTTGGTCCAGATCCATCATTGTTTGAGTCCACAGTGGTCTCTGGATGTGGGTGAACTATAATTCCCAAACTCAAGGTCAATGTCCACCAAACCCTTCCAGTTTTTTCTGTTGGTCATGGGAGCCCTGTGTGCTAAGTTTGGCCCAATTCTATCATTGGTGGAGTTCAGAATGCTCTTTGATTGTAGGTAAACTATAAATCCCAGAAACAACAATTCCCAAATGACAAAATCAATTTTTTTGAGTGGAGGACATAAATTGGACTGTTAGGTGTCTTGTGTCCAAATTTGGTGTCAATTCCCCAGTTAGTTCTGATGGTAGCACGAACTAACATTACATTTTTATTTATATAGATTATTATTACCATTATTACTGTTATTATTATTAGAAAGACTGGGTGGACATCTGTTGGGGGTGCTTTGATTGTGCTTTCCCTGCCTGGCAGAAGGTGGTTGGACTGGATGGCCCGTAAGGTCCTCCACTGAAATACTGTTAAATTTATGTTGGTTAAATTTACCCACAGCCAGTGAGCACTGTGTACCCAACCGATGATGGATCTGGACCAAACTTGGCACACAAACCCCAGTTATGACTAACTTAAAAATATTGACAAGGTTTCACAGGAGATTGAAGGGGGATGATGGGAGCTGTAGTCAACCCACATCCAAGGACCCATGTGTATCCTACATCCAGAGAGTCATACGTATTTCTAATGGGACTATTCACAAAACCGAAAGCAAATGACTATTTTGGGGACTAAGCTAGTTACGTATAACACTAAACCACATACATAATCTACACACATAATAAAAGCGAACATGTGTGTGTGTGTGTGTCTGGGGTACTCACTTCCACTGACAAACTCCCACTTCCCCAAACAGCTTTAACCTACAATGCTGAAGAGCCACCAAAAGCCCTCCCTCCAATGACATTTCAGGTTACAGTGAGTGCAATGAACATGTAGCCCAACCTCTGCCAATGCCCCCCCCAAACACCATACTGCCCACCACTCAAGGAATGTTTTCATTTGGGGACAATTTCATCTTAGATTTTACATGTTTCCTCCCCCATAAATATCACAGTGTTTCTTACTCTCTCCATTGGTGTGGAATTTGAATGATCCCGCCCACTGCCTCTCCTTTAACCCTTTCCTATTCTTTTCAACTCTGTCTGCACAACAATCAGAGAAGAACTAATAAGCAACTAAACATACTGGAGGGGTTTGGGGGATTGACTCCATATGATGGAAGTTGTAGTTCACCCTGCATCAAGTCAGAGCACTGTGACTCGTACTGTCAATGGACCTGGACCACATTTGACACACAGAACCCACATGACCAAAGAAAAATACTGGAGATGTTTGGGGGGAAATCATCTTGATTTATAGCCATTGTAGGTACTGGGATTTATAGTTCACCTGCAATCAAAGAACACTCTGAAACCCCACCAACAATGGCCCTGGACCTAACTTGGCACACAGAACCCCCTTCACCAATAAAAAATACTGGAGGTCTTTGGAGGGATTTATAGGAGTTGTAGTTCACCTACATCCAGAGAGCACTGTGAATGCAAACAACGATGGATCTGCACCAATTTCGTCACACATACCCAATATGCCAAAATTTGAACATTAGTGAACATTGGGGTGGAATTGGTCTTGACATTTCTTAGTTGTGGGTACTGGGATTTATTGTTCACCTGCAATCAAAGAGCACTCTGAACCCCACCAATGATGGAGGGATTTGACGGGACTGATCCACCATGGTGGGAGTTGTAATTCATTCTGCAGCTGGAGAGCATACTGAACACCACTGATGATGCATCTAGAGCAAACTTGCCCAACAAACTTTAAGTATTGATGGGAGTTAATCTGGCATGATGTGAGCAAACCACAGACCACTTACTACAATGCAGCCTGAGCCCTGCCACATGCACAATGGAGGACCTTCTCACAGCTACACCAGAGGCACTCCAAGTGGCCAGCTTATGGTCAAAGGACATTTAGCATAATGCCAAATGTGTTTGTCTTTTTAAATACATTATAACTGTATTCTCAATTTGCTTCTGACATGATAAATAAATATTTGAACTTTTCAGTTTTTTAATGCCTCTCCCAGTTTAAAATAAATAGTGAAGAGTAGAGACATCAGACTGGCAACAAAGATCCGCCTAGTCAAAGCCATGGTATTCCCTGTAGTAACCTACGGATGTGAGAGCTGGACCTTAGGGAAGGCTGAGCGAAGGAAGATTAGATGCTTTTGAACTGTGGTGTTGGAGGAAAATTCTGAGAGTGCCTTGGACCGCGAGAAGATCAAACCAGTCCATCCTCCAGGAAATAAAGCATTGCTCACTGGAGGGAAAGATACTAGAGACAAAGTTGAAGTACTTTGGCCACATCATGAGGAGACAGGAAAGCCTAGAGAAGACCATTATGCTGGGGAAAGGGAAAGGCAAAAGGAAGAGGGGCCGACCAAGGGCAAGATGGATGGATGGCATCCTTGAAGTGACTGGACTGACCTTGAGGGAGCTGGGGGTGGTAACGGCCGACAGGGAGCTCTGGCGTGGGCTGGTCCATGAGGTCACGAAGAGTCGGAGACGACTGAACGAATGAACAACAACAAACTCCCTAAATTACCTTGTCTGCTTTATTATTATTATTATTATTATTATTATTATTATCTTCATTTGTACTCCGCTAGCATCTCCCGAAGGACTCGATGCAGCTTACAAAGGCCAAGGCCTCAAAACGTAACATAACAATACACAACTTAAAGCAAATCAAAAGCAATTAAAGCAAGATTAAAACAACAAAGCAATAAACAATACACCAAGACACAATAAAACTGGGCCGGGCCAGAGCAATGGGTACAGATTAAAAGTGCTAATGTGACAGGTGGTATGTGGGATTTTAGGGTAGGTGCAGTGTGCCAGCAATCTTAATTTCTACTAACGTGCTTATGGGACTTGTTGTTGGAGTTTCCTATTCTGGAAAGGCACATCGGAACAGCCAGGTCTTCAAGTTCTTCCTAAAGACTGCCAACGTAGGGGCCTGTCTAATATCTTTGGGGAGGGTGTTCCAGAGTCGGGGGGCCACCACAGAAAAGGCCCTGTCTCGCGTCCCCACCAGACGCGCTTGCGAAGCAGGCGAAATCGCGAGCAGGGCCTCTCCGGATGAATGAAGCAAGCGCGTGGGTTCATAAACGGAGATGCGGTCACGCAGGTAGGATGGTCCCAAACCGTTTAGGGCTTTGTAGGTAAGCACCTGCACCTTGAATTGGGCTCGGAAAATAAACGGCAGCCAATGGAGCTCCTTGAACAGGAGGGTTGACCTCTCTCTGTAGGGAGCACCAGTTAACATCCTGGCCGCCACCTGTTGGACCAGTTGAAATTTCTGAGCCGTTTTCAAGGGCAGCCCCACGGAGAGCGCATTGCAGTAGTCCAATCTAGAGGTGACCAAGGCATGGACCACCCTGGCCAGATCAGCCTTTGCGAGGTACTTTACAGTTAATGTAAATCCTCTTGTGGTTGTTTCTTGGTTTTCTTTGATGTCCAACTATAACCTTTAAACTTTCTCCATTTACTTTCTTAAACGATACACATTAGTACGAAAAAGGAAGAAAGTAGTGTGTAGAAAGATTGATGTGCTCACTAATCTTGCGCTGCGAGAGTCTGCCTTCACCAATTCTTCTAATATATTTGATAGCTTTGTTTTGTGGAAAGACTATACTTTGTTGAGTATTCTCTTATTTCAACTTACTTTTTGTTCTGGCTTTGAGAAGAAAAGTGGAGTTATTATTGTTGTTGTTATTATTATTATTATTATTATTATTATTATTATTATTATTATTATTATGTCACAGCATGAACTTACCTTCCAAGAGCTCTGCCTGTTCTAGCACCCATCTTTTCCTGGCTTCTTCCTTCACCTTTGCTGAGGAATACTTTCTTAACCCGATCCATAGACTTTCTGGGAGACAACAGAAACAATAAGGGTTTGAAGCAGATTGACTTAGAGGTTGGGAGTTGTGGTTTGCCCAAATCCACAGAGAACTGTGCACACAACTGATGATGTTTCTTGACCTAAATTGACACACATACCTGACATGCCCAACTTTGAATACTGGTGGGGTTTGGGGGGAATAATCTAAAATAAATAAATGTCTAATTAAAATAAGAATTAAAAAGTAAAATAAACACTAAAATAAAATAAAAATAATATAAAATAAATAAATGCTAAATAAAATTAAAATTAAAATATACTAAAATAAATATAAATAATAAATCTACATATATATATAAATGCTCTGTGCATAATGATTACCTTAAAAACAAAAGAACCAATGAACGAAATCACAGCAAATTTGGCAACAAAACATCTCACAACACAAGGAGTGACCATCACTAAAAAAAATATGATTTTGTCATTTGGGAGTTGTGGTTACTGGGATTTATAGTTCACCTATAATCAAAGAGCATTCTGAACTCCACCAACGATGGAATTGAACCAAACTTGGCATGCAGGACTTCCTTGACCAACAGAAAATACTGGAAGGGTTTGGTGGGCATTGACTTTGAGTTTGGGAGTTGTAGTTCACCTACATCCAGAGAGCACTGTGGACTCAAACAATGATGGATCTGGACCAAATTTGGCACGAATACTCAATATGCCCAAATATGAACACTGGTGGAGTTTGAGGGAAATTGAATCTTGACATTTGGGAGTTGTAGTTGCTGGGATTTATAGTTCACTTACAATCAAAGAGCATTCTGAACCCCAACAATGATAGAATTGGGCCACATTTCCCACAGAACCCTCATGCCTTGAAGGGACTTACTGGTGGGTTTTTTACCCCCCTGTAACCCCCCCCCCGGGTCTTGACTCCAGGTTGAGAAATGCTGCGTTAAGGCCATCCAGTGCAACTCCCTTCACCAGGGCAAGGAAACATACAAAGGGCCATCCAGCAATTCACACATACACATATATGTGTATGGCAGATATAGTATCCTAGATTTGAAAGGGACCCATAAAGAAGGACAATTATATGTTGCATGTTCCAGAGTAGGCAAACCAGACAATCTCCACATCAACACTGGCAAAGAATTTATTTATTTATTTATTTCGAGGTTTTATATACCGACCCTCTCACCTTCAAAGAGGGATTCGGACCGGTTCACAACATGTGTTAACATACAAAAATATACAATAACAACACAATGCCACTTCATTACACGATTAAAATATCAGCACCATACACATTAAAATATTAACATCCCAGTTAAAAGAGCCAAATCGTCCAACACCATCACAATCACATTCATCATCAAGAAATACTGTTTACCCACAAGCATAAAGACATTACATAGATTAGAAACCAACACTTTCTCATTACTTTATTTTCCAGATCACCAAACTGGGCCACAGCAACGCCTGGCAGGGGACCACTAGTAAAATATAAATAGAGACTAAAACAAACAAAAAATTCTAAAAAACAAAATAATATAACACAACTAAATGCGTAATTAAATTAAAATATAAAATCAATAAAATATATAAAGAAATAATAACATATACAATAAGTAAACACTAAACCATACACAATAAATAAATAAATAATAGTAAATAATTACTAAATGTAAAGGTTTTCCCCTGTCTAGTCGTGTCTGACTCTGGGTCTCTCAAAGTGTTGGCCTCTCAAAGTGTGAGTTTTCCGGGCTGTCGGGTCATGTTCATTTAATGGTCTTTAAAGCTGCAAGACCATTAAATGCTAATCAAGGTGGTCAATTGCAACATTCCCACTTGCCTCCATCAGACAAGAGTTCTTTCTCCCACCCTGGACATTATTCCACAGGTATATAAACAAACCCCACTTGCCTAGTCAATAAGAGACTTCACAAGCTCTGAGGATGCCTGCCATACATGTGGGCGAAACATCAGGAGAGCGTGCTTCTAAATCATGACCCGACAGCCCGGAAAACTCACACTTTGAGGGGCCAAGACCTCGCAATTGAAAAGTGTGGGAGTGTGCCCAGGACTCCATCTTTGTTGAGGGAAAGCATGGAGAAAGGGAAAAGTGCCCCCCCCCCCTCATTCTGAGTTTAAAAGGGTCCCCCATTTTCCCTCACACCTTGTGGCTTGGCCTCACCTGTCCTCCAGAAGAGCGCCCCCTGCAGTTTCAGGAGGGACATCCTCCCTCTAAGCCCCCTTCAACATTTCTGCCTCCTTCTCCCCTCAGAGTTGCTCGCGCTGACCATTGCGCACGCGCTCTTCTTTCTCCGCCCCCTTTCCCCCACCCCAGCCAATCCGATGCAACACCCATCTCCCCTTTTCTCATTGGTCCGCCTTGCCTTGCCACTCCGGCTCCCCGCGCCTTCCGGTTGGATCAGAGCTCCGAGAGGGGAGGGGGTGGAGCCTGAGGGAGGCGGAGAGACCCCTGGAGGCGCCGATTGGTCAGGGAGGCGTTGGCAGGACGGGGTTAAAGGCGGGGCGGGGGAGAAAGGGAAGGGCGGGATGAGTTTGGGCTGCTTGTTGAGGCGGACGCTGCTGTTGGGAGCTCTGACGACGCGGGGACTGACTCGGACCATGGTGAGTACTAGGCCTCGCAGGGCTTTTGGGCTTCCAGCTCGGAGAAGGCCTTTCTCCCTTCCCCAGGCTTAGCAGGGCTTCTTTCTCCCTTTTCCAGCTCTTAGGTGGCCTAATTTCTCCCTTCTACCTTTCTAAAGCCTACTTTCTCCCTACTCCAGGTCTGAGGTTTATTTCTCCATTTTCCATCTTACCGGTGGATTGATTCCTCCCTTCTCCAGCTCTTAAGGCCTACTTTCTTCCTTCTCCAACATGGAGATGGCCTAATTTCTGCATTATTCAGCTCTAAGGCCTATCTTCCCCCTTCTCCCTCTCTAAGGCGTACTTTTCCCCTTCACTATCTCTGAGATGGCCTAATGCTGCCATTCTCCAGCACTACTTTCACCCTTTTCCAGTCCTAAGGCCTACTTTCTCCCTTCTCCAGCTCTAAGGCCTACTTTCCTTTATTCCAGCTCTGAGAGGGCCTAAATCCTCCATTCCCTGGCTCGAAGACTTACTTTCTCCCTTCTCCAGTTCTGAGATGGCCTAATTCACCCGTTCTCCAGCTCTCCTTTCTCCAACTCTAAGGCCTACTTTCCTCTTTCTCCAGCTCTGAGAAAGCTGAATACCTCCTTCTCCAGCTCTACTTTCTCCCATCTCCAACCCTAAGGCCTACATTCTACTTTCTACAGCTCTGAGAAGGCCATTCTTTGGCTCTAAGACAGTGGTTCTCAACCTGGGGTCCCCAGATGTTTTTAGAGTTGGAGAACGGAGAGCTGGAGAACAGATGAATTTGGCCATCTCAGAACTGGAGAAGGGAGAAAGTAACAGCTGGTAAACTGGCTGGGATTTTTGGGAGTTGTAGGCCAAAAACATATGGGGACCCCAGGTTGAGAACCACTGCTCTAAGACCTACTTTCTCCCTTCTATATTCTGAGATGGCCTAATTCCTCCATTCTCCAGCTCTACTTTCTTCCTTCTCCAGCTCTAAGACCTACTTTTATCTTTCTCCATCTCTGAGAAAGTTGCATACCCCCATTCTCCAGCTCTGCTTTCTTCATTCTCCAGCTCTGTCCTACTTTCCCCCTTCCCCAGCTTGGAGAAGGCTTACCTTACCATGGCAACATGACTCCTTTCTTCCTTCCTCTCATGCACAAGTCTCCTTTCTTTCCTGGTGGCATCCCAGGGGCCACATCACCTGGCAACAGCCTTTGTGGTACAGACAGAGACCCAAACAGATAAACATACTTGGACTTAGATATATCTAAGGTGTTTATTGTTAATAATTTTGTGCAAACATGCAAACTTAGCCACATAATGAGAAGACAGGAAAGCTTAGAGAAGACAATGATGCTTGGGGAAAAAGGAAGAGGGGCCAACCAAGGGCAAGATGGATGGATGGTATCCTTGAAGTGACTGGCTTGACTCTGAAGGAGCTGAGGGAAGTGATGGCTGATAGGGAGCTCTGGCGTGGGTTGGCCCATGAGGTCACGAAAAGTCGGAAGTGACTGAACATACATACTTTGCACTTTTAAATACATAGTTGGAGAACAAATTGGCAGGTATTTGAACATGGCAGCTGAGAAATCACCCCAAAGTGAATTCATGCTTTGGAGTGGTTCCCCACCATTGTGATCTCCCGGAATTGCTTTGCAACGTGATGTTATTTCCACCGTTGTGTGGGGCAACTGCTTTCTCCTTCTCTCTGTTCTTCCGAGCCAAAACCGTTTGCAGTTTCCCTTCTTTCCTCCCATCGTTCTTTCTCCTTGCATTGCTGTGGGGCTGATCCCATTCTCACTGTGGCCTTGGAAATTTACAGTGGAGCCCAAATACTTAACCATGGGGGCTTGTCTTCATGTTGTTGGCCTTTGGAAAGCATCTACAAACAATCCGCCTTCCAGCGAACATCTGAGTCACTTTGAAGCCTTGGCGTGTGCAAATAATTGCCGTCCAAATGCCGTCTTGCAATTAGCCGAGGTGCAGTGAACCCGCAGGTACCTTTCTGGGGATGCCTTTGTTGCGTGGGCAATTGTGCTTCCCTTGCCCCCGGGGCCAGACAAATCAAAGTAAGCGCAGTCAACGGAGTGAAGGCACAAATCCTGGCTGACTTGATCAGTCTTAGTCAAAGGAGAGTCCCTAGGCTTTCCTAGAGATCATTGAAGTAGTTTTCTTCTTCATTCAGAATACGTTGCTGCATCTCTTGAGTTGCTATGCCATGCAAAGCAACAAGAACACCTTGCACATTTTAAATTGTGAAACCTCATTGGGACCTCGGCAAAAGCAAAGAAATGAAACCGCCTGTTCCCAGAATAGATACCACATTAATTATTTTTCTTTCAAGGCGATGACTGCACATGAAACCAAAACAATCGAGTAGTGTATTTAAGGTTGAACGAATAACACTGCGTGACAACTTTGACCGACAACAACCCAGTTTTGTTATGACACGCTAATGCACGGAAATCTCCATGCTCTCTGGTAACTGGGAGATCGACTTTCTTCTCACTAAAAGAACAACTCAGCTGCCTTATTAAGAAGCTGTTGCCACATCTTGTTAAGTTATACAACTTGCAACTGTCAGTTAATTTAATTGGGGGGCTCTCGGTGTGTCACATCACACAGAGGCTTATCCTCAAATGCTTGCTCCTTACTCTCTTTTGAATATTATTTTGGTAGATGATATGAACTGGGCAAACCCTCCTTAAAGTGAGACAGCAAAAGGCGAGTGGGTGTGTTGCAAAGTAGACTCGGCCTTGTGATTGCAATGAGTTTGGGACTTGGGACAATCAGCAAAGGAAAGGGAGTTGCAGACTTTGCCCATTGCCTTCCACTGCAATGCAGAGAGTGAACTAGAGATGCTGATAACATGAGAAAGTGCTGACCTTTGTCCCTTTTGCATTGTCAGGAGGGTTTGTTGTGTTTCTTGCCCTGGCCTGCTGCCTTGGATCTTTCTTACCTAAAGCCCAGCTATTAAAAGAAATGCGAGTAAGCCAAACAAATCTCCCTGCTGTCGCAATCTGGTGTTGATCTTTTTTCTCCTTTGTTGCCAGTTACACAACCAAATCTTTGTGCAATACAATCATGTGCTTCTGACCAAAGGGATTACATGCAGCAATGGTTTAGTTGTTTCTGTAGATCGGTAAGTGTAAAGGTCATGGTGCGGAGGAATGGCATTTCAACCCCATTGTTTTCTTTCAGGATCGGCAACAGAACAAAATCTGAGGACAGCAACCCCGTCCTAAGACTGCTGTTCAAACAATCAGATTCTTTCTTTTGTCCTCCCTTTAGTCTTGGGGAATGAATGCAGGGTGCGATTCCCTTGTTTAACCCTGTGCTGCAGGTAGACGGAAAGCTGACAGTCTGTGGCATTTTAAGATAATTTGGCAGCCAACTTTTTTGTACCTTTCCAGTAGTAATCTTTTTCTCAGTCCTGCAAAAAAAATGTTCTGAGTGCAACTTTGAACCTGGCTTCTCCTTATGGGCAATAAAGGGTCGTCTTCTAAGTCTCGTTTAAAGAGGAAAAAGCAGCATATAAATATTCTGCAGAGGATAAAAGGGGTGTTCCAAGTCACTTCATGCTTTTCTGAAGCTCCTTAATGTGAGAATTCATACTGGAGTTTTTATACTGATTGAGACTCAGCATAAAGCCAACTTTTCTTCATAGCTTTACAAGATAAGGCTTCATCTTGGCCTGTTTCATCCCCAGAACATAACTAGTTGCCCCACTGTTGGGAAAGAGAAATGTCATCATGTCAACAAAGATCCTTGCTTGGCTTGTATACAGTGGAACCTCAACTTAAGAGCACAGCGGGTTAAACTGCTAGCTGCAGAAAATCTTGCTGACCGGAAGGTTGGCAGTTTAAAGCTGCAGGTTGGAGTGAGCTTCTGCCATTAGCCCTAGCTTCTGCCTACCTAGCAGTTCAAAAACAATGTGAGTATATTAATAGGTACCACTTTGGCGGGGAGGTAAAAGGCAACCATGCAGACATGCCAGCAGTTCAGTCAGGAAGCTGTCCACGGACAACAGGCTCCTCGGCATGGAAAGTGGAACAAGAGCACCTCCCCATGGCTGGGGTTGAGTACAGCCTCCAGATGCTGAAGATTGAAAGGGGGAAGCCTTTGCCTCTGTCTGTGTACTGTCTGTCTTTGTTGTTAAATGTATAACAGCATAGAATATTTGCCATTTGTGTATTCTGTAATCATCTCTGAATCCCCTTAAGGCGATAGAGCAGAATGTAAACAAAGTATATTATTATTGAGTTAAGAGCCATTGCTTGGTCTGGGGTTTCGCTTTGACTTATGAGCAGCATTTTGCGTTAAGAGTATAGGGCAGGGGTCCTCAAACTAAGGCCTGAGGGCCAGATACGGCCCTCTGAGGTCATTTACCCAGTCCTCGCTCAGGGTCAACCTAAGTCTGAAATGACTTGAAACACGACAACAACAATCCTATCTCACCAAAAGCAGGCCCACATTTCCCATTAAAATACTAATAAGTTTATATTTGTTAAAATTGTTCTTGATTTTAATTATTGTATTGTTTCTAAGTGTTTTTTGCACTCCAAATAAGATATGTGCAGTGTGCATAGGAATTCATTCATTTTTTTTTTCAAATTATAATCCGGCCCTCCAACAGTTTGAGGGACTGTGACCTGACCCTCTATTTAAAAAGTTTGAGGACCCATGGTATAGGGCTTCAAGGGAGCAGCCTCTGGGCCTCATGCTCTTGTCCGCTTTGGGAGATTGCTGTCCCCTTTGCTCTTGTCTGCTTTGGGGAACTTTGGGTTAGTTGATTTTGCCTGGGTTTTATTCCTGTTCTATTCGGCTTCTTGAAGAGAGACAGGGAGCGAGAGCAGGAGAGGGAGGCTGGAAGGAGGGCATGATGAAGAACAGGATGCTTCCTGGGAGTAAAGTGCCCTTTAAAATGCCTGGAGCTGTGGAAAGGGAGGAATGCAGCCTTGCAGGTTGGCCTGAAGTCATGGGATGAGCTGCAGCTTCACTCCGCAGGAAAGGAGCTGGGAAGTTTTTTCAAGCTGAGTTCCTGGTTTGCTATGCCAAGGCTAGAAACCTCTTTGAAGCGATTGAGTGTTGCCTTGTTGGACATCTAGTCCCTGCCATGCTGAAGCACTCTTAGAATATGCCCATCCAGCCTCTGTTTGGAAACTACCAAAGATGTAGAGTTCACTATCCTCTGCCAAAGTCCATTCCACTGTTGAGCTGCTCTCACTGTCAGGAGACCAACTATCACTACCACCTCACCTGAATCATAGGAAATCTGCTACAGAACAGGAGCTGTTTTGTTGAGTTCCAGGGTCAGAAAAGCAGATGGCGAAAACAGAAGAACGGCCTGCCTCAGGGGAGCATGTTTGCTCCATCAGTGTTTAGCATTTACACAAATGATCAGCCACTGCCGGAAGGGAGAGAGTTTCATCTATGCTGACGGTTGTTCACCGCTAAAGTAAGAAGCTTTGAAATGGTTGAACAGAAGCTTTCTGAAGTTTTAGGTGCTCCTGCTGCCTATTACAGGGAAAATCAGCTTATTCTTAATCCACCTAAAACACAAATGTGTGTTTTTCATCTTAAAAACAGACAAGCATCTCGAGCTTTGAGGGTTATCTGGGAAGGAATCCCACTGGAGCATTGCAGCACAGCCAAACACCTGGGACTCACTCTGGACCGTCTTACAAGAAGCACTGCTTGAATATCGAGCAAAAAGTGGGTGCTAGAAATAACATCATACAAAAGCTGACTGGCACAACTTGGGGATCGCAACCAGACACATTGAAGACATCTGCCCTTGTGCTTTGCTACTCTGCTGCTGAATATGCATGCCCAGTGTAGATGTGGCTCTTAATGTATCATAGGATGTTTATGCCGCACACCACTGGAGAAATTATACTGTTTAGCCGGTATTGCACTTCCTGACACTTGTTGGGAAGTAGCAGCCAGTAATGAAAGGACCAAGACAGTGACAGCTCTGGCCCATTTTCTGTTCAGATATCAGCCAGCAAGTCAATGCCTTAAATCTAAAAATAGCTTCCTAAGATCTACAGAGATACTTGCAGGAACACCTCAGCAAGTGAGTCCAAAAGTGACAGGCAAAAACCTGGAACCTCAAGCCATGGCTGAGACCGGATGAGAAACTCCCTCCTGCACACACAGAAGACTGGGTGACCTGGAAGGTGCGGAACAGACTGTGCTCTGGCACCATGAGATGCAGAACCAACCTTCAGAAACAGGGCTACAAAGTGGAGCCTACAACATACATGAGTGTGGAGAAGAGCAAACCACAGACCCCCAACTATAATGCAGCCTGAGCCCTGCCAAATGCACAATGGAGGACCTTCTTACAGCGACACCAGAAGCAGTCTAAGTGCCCAAAGGTCATTCAGCATAATGCCAAGTTTTTAATTTTGTAGTTTTAAATACGTTATAACTGTATCCTCAATTCGCTTCTGACATGATAAATACTTTGAGGAGGTTTTTCCTCAGGCTTCAGTGACATATCCCTTCTTGCAATTTGGAACTAATCTCTTGGAGCAGCAGGAAAGAAGTTTGCACCATTTCCTTTATGACTTCCTTCAGGCTGTTTACAGATGGCTATCATGTCAACCTGTCTTCTCTTCTGTAGGCTAGGGATCCTTGCTTCCTTGTCCTTTCCTCATACAGCTTGGTTTCTAGGTCTTTTATCCTTTGTACTTGTTCTCTTCCGGAGGTTCTCCAGAAGCCAAATCCCAGATTAGGAGGATGCTTTGCTGGACACCCTTCCATCCCACCTGCTCCTTCCTGGTTTCTTGCTATTTATTCTCATCTGTTAATCTCTTGGGGGGAGAGAGAACATGGCACAGCCCATCATGCACACACAAATCTGTACAACAGGCTTCCAGGTCTTATGTATGCTTTGGTAAACTAGGCCACTAATCCAACCGTGGCATCGAAAGGAAAACGGGACACTCCTGCCTCTCCCTTTCAGAACATGTGGATTATGGTTAAAGCAAAGCCACTGGTTATAGAGGAGTCTTTACTCGGAGTCACCTTCGGGCTGAAATTGATGGGATAAAAATGACATAAATAAGTAAATAAACTCCACACAAAGCATCCCCAGCAGCCTCTTTTTTTAAACATGTCCAACTCTTCTTTTCATGGGATTCAACAGGTCTTTCCACCTTTGCTCCTATATTACCCTCTCATCCTCACTGCCCTTCTCCGAAGCAGTTTCAACTTGCTTCTCGCCCGGGAATCCCTCCTTTGAGATCAAGTCTTCAGGGGAAAAAACATGTTGTGGTCACTAACACAGAAAACAGCTTGGATCACTATAGAAACTCTGCCATAGCTTCCAAGACTTTTCCTCCACTCAAAAGCAGCTGACACAGCGAAGGTGACTCCCAGAATATCTGGTTCTCCCTGATAGATAAAAATGCTTTCTGATGGCAACGGCCAAGGACTGTTGTCGATGCGGAAGGAGTCTGTGTGACACCAGTTTAGATATCTGGAAAGGCAAAGCAAAGCATTTGCTTAGATCTGTTGCTTGGATGAAAAATTAGCCAGACACCGTTTAAGATGGTTTATTGAAATGCTGTTGAGATTCAGGTCTGTCAAGTTGTGGGATGGAAAGGCACTTCTCTCTGCAAATTAGATCCTCAATTCACTAAACGTAGCCTTCTAATGTTTCCTGGGGAAAAGGCAATGATTCTCTTTCTCTCTCCAAAATGTTGTTCCATCCACAAAACATGAAGGTGGTGATGCTCCCATGTGTTTTTATATAACTGATCTCCGAGGGCTAACACTAATATCCTAGCCCAGATATCCCCCCCACCCTCATCTACCCTGACACCCCTCGTAGTCATCCTCTAGGCCAACATTTGTCTCCAGGGGAGAGTGTTCCAGATGGAAATGGCTATAACATCCCTGTCCTCCAGAACCGATGAAGATGCAAACCCCCTGCCGCCTCTCCCTCCTGCAAGAGAATTCATGTTGCCCCTGGCCTGCCCCCTCCTATGAATAGTCTGGGTAACCAAGATGGCAGCCCCTCAGGCTAAAAGTCCTGCAGCCTAATGCCAGGTCAGTGAATGGGAAAACAACTGCTATCCAAGATTTAATCTTGGATGAACATGCTGATCTGGCTTGCATTACTGAGACCTGGTTAGATGAAGTGGGTAGGGTGAATCTCAGCCAGCTTTGTCCACCAGGAATCGCAGTAGTCTTTTGGGATTCCATCCACCAAACCAGGTGTCCCGTTCCGCAGTCGAACACATTCAAGTGTGTCTGTCTAAGGGTGAACAGCCAGGACAGAACAGGGATTCTGTTGGTGTACCAGCCACACCCACTGCTCAACAGTCTAGTCTCCCAGCCTGAGCTAGCTGGGATGGTCTCGGGCCTGGTGTCAGAGCCCCAATGGCTAGTAGTGCTGGGGGACTTCAACATCCATACTGAGATCTCCCTGTCGGGAGTGGCTCAGGACTTCATGGCCACCATGACAACCATGGGTCTGTCCCTTCTGGACACACCCATACCGCTGGACACACCTTAGACCTGGTCTTCTGTTCGGGTTATGATGGTGACGGTATTGTGGAGGAGCTATCCAGAGTTCCTTTGTCATGAACCGATCATTCCCTGTTTAGGTTTAAACTTACTGGGGCTCTAAACCTCTGCTGGGGTGATGGACCATTTAGGAAGATCCGCCCCAGGAGACTTATGGATCCAGATGGATCCATAAGCTCTTGGGGATTTTCCTGCCACTTCAGTCTACTATATCACTGATATTACATTTATATCTTCAACTCGAGTACTGTTACACACATCGTCTAAGGTTTTGAAAAGTTCCTAATGTCCTCTATAACAAAACAGACAATTCTCTTGTCATCTGATGTCAAAGCTAGTATTCGTAACTTCTGAATCTGTCCGATGTTTTTCCAGTGTTCTTCTCCAGTTCTTGCAAATTTTATTGAGATCAGTAACTCTTACTAATGCTTTTCCCTATACGGTTCCGGCCCAGCGTTCCTGTCCAAACGTATCTCCCTCTACGTCCCACCTCGGAGTTTAAGATCCTCTGGGGAGACCCTGCTCTCGACCCCTCCTTTGTCACAAATGCGCTTGGCGGGGATGAGGGACGGCCTTCTTGGTGGAGGCCCCTGCCTGTGGAATTCACTCGCCAACGAAATTAGGTTATCCACATCTCTCCTTTCCTTCAGAAATAAGTTAAAAATGTGGTTCTCGGACCAGACCTTTGGGTAACATGCTGACAATGACAATGGTAATGATGACAATTCACTATGGAATTGGACTATGGACAAGCTTCTGATAGAGTCTCTGGTCACAGAATTCGGCTAGATTAGGCCACCAGGCTATAATGTTGTAAACAGTTTTTAAATTGAATTGATTTAATGTTTTATTTATATGTAATTGTGGTTTATTATGTATATATAGGGGCATCGAATCGTTGCTGGCTGTAAGCCACCCTCAGTCCGTCCCCCCTTCCAGGGGATTTGAGAAGGGCGGGTTATAAATATTTGAAATAAATAAATTTATTTTGTTGTATCTGCCTGATTTGTGATTTTGATGCTGTATGTCAATAAAAGCTATATATTGTATATTGACTGCAACATCCATCATTTCCAGACCCCACTCCCCCTCCGATTTGCCTAGTGAGGTATGACTGCTGTTAGCTCACATTAAATCCCTGCCTCTGTCCTCCCTACAGTGTGCCCAAGAGACTGACTGGCAGACGGCAAAATCAATATATGACTTCCACGCCCTGGATATCGATGGCAATGATGTCTCTCTGGCGAAGTACAGGTACGTTGATACCTGGACAACAGTGGCTTGTTTCCCTCATTTGAATGTTTTGTTTCCACTCCAAGGTGATGGTGTAGAAATTGATGCCGAACCAAAAGACAAATTCAATTCCAGATTCTTATGCTAATCCTTTGCGCCAGTCTGGGACTCAAAGCAACTTACATCATTCTTGTCGTTGTCATTGGTTGCATTCAAGTGCAAATATTTCAGTACGTATGTTTGTACTTCAAAGGCTCCTGCATGGCCTGATGGCTCTGGACCAAACTTAGTACACATGCCATTCATTACCAAACTTAAAATACTGGCAGGGTTTCAATTTGAAAACATTTACCCCTTTCAGGGCTGGGACCCCAAAATAGGTATGTATGTAACCTCTGCTCGGATGTGACCACAAGAGGCTGCTATATACAGGGTGTCCCAAAAAAACATATACACACTTTAAAAGCTGTTAGCTCAATTGATGTGTTGTTGAAGACTTTCATGGCTGGAATCACTGGGTTGCTGTGAGTTTTCTGGGCTTTCTGGCCATGTTCCAGAAGCATTCTCTCCTGACGTTCTGCCCACATCTATGGCAAACATCCTTAGAGGTTGAGGGGCCTGTTGGAAATTAGCCAAGTGGGGTTTGTATGGGGTGGGAGAAATAACTCTTGTCCGTTTGAGGCAAGTGTGAATGTTGGAGTTGGCCAGCTTGATTAGCATTGAATGGCCTTGCAGCTTCAAATCTGGCTGCAAGGTGTAAAGGCAGTTTAGGACGGAGTTTCAAGGAGATCCCCCAATGCGACTTACCATTCGTTGTATTAGACATAAGTTTGAATCCAATGGAACTGTTCAGAATGGCACACTTTCCAACCAAGTGTGACGTGGAGTGATGAGGCGACATCCACATTAAACATCAGTTACAGTCACGTCAAAAAAGAATGGTCCAATTAATCCTCTTCTTGATCATTTGACTCATGGTAATTCGCTTGAGTGGAACTCTTTGAAACTTCCTCCTAAACTGTCTTTGCACTTCCAATTACGTTTTCACACTTCCAGTGGCATTTTAAAACAGATTTCGTTTGTTCAAAGCGTAGTCTGACTTCCACTATTAATTCCAATTTTGTTTAACCAGGGGAAAAAGAAACAAAACCTCAATTGAGCTATCAGCTTTTAAAGTGTGTATACATTTTTTTGGGACACCCTGTAGATCAAGTATGGGTAAACTCAGGCCCGGGGGCCGGATACGGCCCTCCTCTCTCACCATCCTATCCTTCCTTCATCTTTCCCCTCCCTCTTTCTCCTTCCCTTCCACCCTTTCATCCTTCCTTTCTCTCTTTCCTTCCTCCTTCCCTCTTCTGCTTTCTCGCTCCTTGTCTTTTGTCTTTCTTTCCTTATTTATTTATTTCGGGCATTTCTACCCCGCCCTTCTCACCCCCTAGGAGGGACTCAGGGCGGCTTACATCCGGCACAATTCAATGCCAACAATTACAATAAAAATGCAATAACAATAAACACAATAGTCAAAAACATACAATTAATACAACTAAAAATATCAACTAAAAAGCCGATCTACAGCCCGCGTTTATCGAGTTCTAAAATCCGTCAATCCATTTACCATAATCCTTTCCAACTCTAGTCGTCATCATTACTTTGTTGTTAGTCTGCCAGATTACCAAAATGCCTGGTCCCATATCCATGTCTTCAGCTTCCTTCTGAAGGCAAGGAGAGATGTTGACGACCTGATTTCCCCGGGGAGTGAATTCCACAGGCAAGGGGCCACCACTGATAAGGCCCTGTCCCTCTTCCCCACCAGCCTCACTTGTGATAAAGGTGGGGCCGAGAGCAGGGCCTCCCCAGAAGATCTTAAATTCCGCGGTGGGACATAGAAGGAGATACGTTAGGTCAGGTACCTTCTCAATTTCCTCCCACCCTCCCCTCCCTTTATCTCCATCCCTCCATTCCCTCCCACCCTTCTGTCCTTTTTTCCATCTCTTTCCTTCATCCTTCCCGTCCATTCTTTTGTCCTTCCTTCCTTCCTTCCTTCCTTCCCTCTTTCCTTCCTCCTTACCTCCCTCCTTTCCCTCCCGCTGTCTCCTTCCATCCTTCCCTTCCATCCTTTCGTCCTTCCTTCCTACACTCTCTCCCTCTTTTTCCTTCCTTCTTTCCTCCCTCCCTCCCTCCCTTCCCTTTCCTTTTGTCTTTCCTTCCTTCTTTTATTCCTCCCTTCCATCCTTCTCTTCCTTTTTTCCTTTTCTTTTTCCTCCCTCCCCCCATTCCTTCCCTTTTGTCTTTCCTTCCTTCCTTCCCTTATTCCTTTATCCTTCCTATCCTCAGTTTCATCCTTCTTTCCGTTCCACCCTTTCATCCTTCCTTCCCTTTTGTCTTTCCTTCCTTCCCTTATTCCTTTATCCTTCCTATCCTCAGTTTCATCCTTCCTTCCGTTCCACCCTTTCATCCTTCCTTCCCTTTTGTCTTTCCTTCCTTCTCTTTCTTTTATCCTTCCCTTCCTTCCATCCTCCTCTTCCTCCCTTTTATCCTTCTCTTTTTCCTCCCTCCCTTTCCTTTTGTCTTTCTTTCCTTTTCTCATTCCTTTATCCTTTCTTTCCTCAGTTTTGCCTTTCCTTCCTTCCCTCTTTCCTTTTTCCTTCCATCCTTCCCTTCCTCCCTTTCATCCTTCCTTCCCTCTCTCATTCCCTCCTCCTTCCCTTCCTTCCATCACTGGGCAGCCAGTCCTTCCAACAGGGAGTGCTAGCATGCGGCCCTCAAGTTTGCCCATGCCTGCTGTCAATAGGAAGGCTACTTCAGGAGGGGGAGCATTGCCATAGAAATACTGTAAGGGAGACTTTCACAGAGGGCAGGGCAAGGCAAAAGATGGAAGTGAGCTGGAGAAGGGAGAAAGGAAGCTTACAGATGACCAAACATGGGCAGTGATTCAGGCATTCACTGCATCCTATATTGAGGGAGGTCTGTGTGTAAGTCATGGAGAAAAACATGAGTAAACGAGAGGCTGAGTACTTCTCAGTGTTGCATTTTATTCTAATGGGGCCATTAGAATTAAATCATAAAGCTAGCCAGGAGTATTTCTAATAAACAGTGTTAGGCAATGCAACACTTAGGTGACGCCGGGGATCTGCGCTAGTCACCAAGAAAATTAAAAGCAGTTCAAGGCATAACTATGCAATGTATGGGTGAGGCCAAAGGCAAATGAGAGGAGCAAAAATGCCAGCATATTTTAGTTTGAAGGTGAGGCTTCCAGCAAATAGGCCTTTAATTTTTTTCATTCTGTTCTTGAATTTTTATATTAAATTACCATGGGCACCTGGCGTTGCTCAGGTTATTTGAAAAACTGTGCAAAATGCAACTACAGCTCCCATCATGCCAGGCTAACCCCCTGAAACTCCATCAGTACTTAAAGTTTGTTATGTTGGGAAAGTTTGCCCTAGATGCATCAGTGGTGGGGTTCAGTGTGTTCTCTGGCTGTAGGGTGAACTACAAATCCCACCATGGTGAATCAGTCCCAGAAAGGTCAGTTCCCTACAAACCCCTCCAGTAATCAAATTTTGGCATATCAGGTATGTGTGCCTAATTTGGTCCAGATCCATCAGTGTTTGGGTTCACAGTGCTCTCTGGATGCAGGTGAATTTCAACTGCCTCAGATCAAGGTGAATTTTCCTCATAGGCGTCCAGTATGTTTTGCTGGTCACGAGGGCTCTGTGTGCCAAGTTTGGTCTAATTCCATCATTGGTGGAGTTCAGAGTGCCCACTGATTGCAGATGAACTATGCATCCCAGTACCTACAACTCCCAAATGTCAAGGCCAATTCCCCTCAAAGCCCACCAGTATTCAAATTTGGGCATATTGGGTATGCAAGACAAATTTGGTCCAAATCCATCATTGTTTGGGTTCATAGTGCGCTCTGGATGTAGGTAAGCTACAACTCCTAGAAATCTCTCCAAAGAGAGAGTCAGAAACACTGGGATGTCTGTGGTGGAGGAAAAACAGAAAATCTAGGATGAAATGGTCCCTGTATGAAGGTATTCACTTGGGTGGTGGGCAGTATGGTGTTTGTGGAGGACATTGGCAGGGCTCTTGGACATGTTCATGGTGCTCGCTATAACCTGCAATGGCATTGGAGGGATGGTCTTTGATGTTTCCTAAGCAGTGGGAGCTATAGCTGTTTGTGGAGGTGGGAGCTTGCCTGTGTAAGTGGACACCCAACCACACACATATACATACATACGTACATACATACATACATACATACATACATACATACATATTTTCACTTTTATTATGTGTATAGAATAAAAATCCCCTGCTACAATGATCTTTACCTCTTAAAAAGTTCGAGGCTTTCCTAAGGCATTTTATGTGACCTTAGTTTGGACTAAATACATTTGCTACCATAAATTTAATATTGTGTAATTGAAATTTCATATATATACACATATATATGTATGTATGTATATTTACTCAGACTCTGCCTCTGCCTCAATCTCCCTTCTCTCCTTCAGGGGCCAGGTCTGCATCATCACCAATGTGGCGTCGAAATGAGGCAAAACTCCCGTAAACTACACTCAGTTTGTCGATATATATAGTCGATATGCAGAGCGTGGTTTACGGATCCTTGCTTTCCCCTGCAACCAGTTTGGCAAACAGGTATGACTTGCAGGTGCATGTATGCATGTATGTTTATATTTATTTATCGTGTCAGAAGCTAATTGAGAATACAGCTATAATTATAGAAAAACCACGAAGTTTAAAATTTGGATGGGGAAAAAAGGATTGCTCATAAAGGACTGGAGAAAAAAAAACTGTTAGAATATATTCAATGGTAGTCAGGGAGGAAACAAATAAAGAGTTTGCTGAAAAATTAACGCCAGCATTTGGATATTTAGAAAGACCAATCTAGATTTTAAAATAGCCACAAGGGGGGTTTATTAAAGCAGATATAAGGAATATAAGACTTACAAGTAGTAGTGACAAAAGTCATAGGCAGTGGATTCATGGGGGTGGGGGTGGAAGGAACAGGTGTGGTAAGATATTTATTTATTTATTGGGTCAGAAGTGAATTGAAAATACAGTAAGAGAGTATTTAAAAACCACAAACAAAGTTAAAAACTTGGCATTAAACTAAATGACCTTTGACCAAAAGCTGGCCACTTGGAGTGCCTCTGGTGTGGCTGTGGGAAGGTCCTCCATGGCGCATGTGGCAGGGCTCAGGCTGCATTGTAGTAAGTGGTCTGTAGTTTGCTCTTCTCCACACTCACATGTTGTGGACTCCACTTTGTAGCCCTGTTTCTTAAGATTGGCTCTGCATCTCGTTGTGCCAGAGCGCAGTCTGTTCAGCATCTTCCAAGTTACCCAGTCTTCTGTGTGCCCACGAGGGAGTTTCTCATCTAGTATCAGCCACTGATTAAGGTTCCGGGTTTTAGCCTGCCACTTTTGGACTCCCACTTGCTGAGGTGTTCCTGCAAGTATCTCTGTATAACTTAGTAAGCTATTTCTTGATTGAAGGCATTGGCTTGCTGACTGATATCCGAACAAAGGATGGACCAGAAATGTCAATGCCTTGGTCCATTCATTACTGGCTGCTACTTCCCTGTGGATATCAGGTGGTGCAATACTGTATAATTTCTCCAGCGATGTAGGGCGTAGACATCCTGTGATGATGTGGCATGTCTCATTAAGAGCCACATCCACTGTTTTAACAGGGTTAGATGTATTCCACACTGGGCATGTGAATTCAGCAGCAGAGTAGCAAAGCTCAAAGGTAGATGTCATCACTGTGTCTGATTGTTATCGCCAGGTTGTGCCAGTCAGTTTTCACATGATATTGTGCCTAACTCCCACGTTTTGCTTCTGTTCAACCATTTCAAAGCTCCCTGCTTGGGTGGAGATGGCATGATCATTAGCATAGATGAAGCTCTCTGTCTCTTCTGGCAGTGGCTGGCCATTTTTGTAGATGTTAAACATTGATGGAGCAAGCATGCTCTCCTGAAGCAGGCTGGTCTTCTGACTTCGCCATCTGCTTCTCTGACTCTGGAACTCAACAAAAGAGCTCTTGTTTTGTAGCAGATTTCCTATGAAGCGGGCGAAGTGGTAATCCTTTGTGATATTATACATTTTTTCAGGAGGAGGTGGTGATTTACAGTATCATAAGCTGCTGGCAGGCCTATGAAGACAGCTCCTGTAATCTGCTGTCTTTCAAAACTGTCTTCTTTGTGCTGAGTCAGGTTCAGCACTTGTGATGCGCAGTTTTCCCTTTCCTGAAACTACTTTTAGATACACAGGCACAAGTACAGATAAAGGCTGGGAATTTCTGTTCCTGCTCTGAAAGTGTTACTTCCTGTTTATTTTCTTGGCCCTTACTTTGAAAGCAATTGTTCTACTCCAGAAACTTTGTTTTTGTGGCTGCCACAAACTATGGTACGTTGAATCCTTTGAGACTTAATGAGACATTCATTGAAAAACTAGAGCAAAGGAAGTCCACACAGATAGAATTTTTGCAGTTTGATAAACTTTTCCCATATTCCTATAATAGAACCAATTAGGAAATGACTTGTAACCCAGGAACATGAGATAACGATGAAGAAAAAGTATTGGATGTTGTTCTTTTCCTCTCCAGGAGCCAGGCACCGAGGCAGACATCAAGGCCTTTGCCGCGGGCTATGGGGTGAAGTTTGACATGTTCAGCAAGATCGAAGTCAACGGGGACGGTGCGCACCCGCTCTGGAAATGGATGAAGAGCCAGCCCAAGGGCAAGGGCACCATGGGAAAGTGAGTCCGTGGCTGCCCGCAGAGCTCTGAGATAAACACACACTTTCTCCTTTTCATCCCTGGAGCCCTACCATCCCTTGAATGTTGGGAGAGCTGCTTTTGGCCTCTGCAGAAACCTAATTTTTTGAATTGATCTTCTAGAGTCCCTTCTAGGGAACGGACATTGTGTTTCTATACAGTTTGCTTCCTTTTAAATTTAAGAACAACTAGCATATATCCAGTGATGCCCGGGGGTTGTTGGGACCACTGCTCGCCTGCTTTCTCCCTTCTCCAGCTCTTAGATCAGTGTTTCCCAACCTTCCTAATGCCACAACCCCTTAATGCAGTTCCTCATGTTGTGGTGACCCCCAACCATAAAATTATTTTAGTTGCTACTTCATAACTGTAATTTTGCTACTGTTATGAATTGTTTGTAAATATTTGAGATACAGGAGGTATTTTCATTCACTGGACCAAACTTGACACAAATACCTAATACGCTAAAGTTTGAATGCTGGTGAGATTGGGGTGGGGGATTGCTTTTGTCATTTGGGAGTTGTAGTTGCTGGGATTTATAGTTCACCTACAATCAAAGAGCGTTTCAAACCCTACCAATAGAATTGGACCAAATTTCCTACACAGAACCCCCATGACCAGCAGAAAATACTGGAAGGGTTTGTTGGGCATTGACCTTGAATGTTGGAGTTGGAGTTCACCTACATCCAGAGAGTAATGTGGACTCAAACAATGATAGATCCGGACCAAACTTGGCACAAATACTCTATATGCCCAAATGTGAACACTGATGGAATTTGAGGAAAATAGACCTTGACATTTGGAAAATGTAGTTGCCGAGATTTATAGTTCACCTACAATCAAAGAACATTCTGAACCCCACCGATAGAATTGGACTAAACTTCCTACACAGAACCCCCATGCCTTGAAGAGACTCGCTGGTGCAAGCCTCCCTCCAGCCTCACATGCTCTCCCTCCCCCCACACATGCGTAGAGCACGCCTGCTCTCCCCTCCCCACTTGGAGTCTCAGAAACTGCCATCCCCTTGGCTGAAAGGCCGGCCAATCAGAACAGAGGAAGGCTTTTGGTCCGTGGCTGCCCGCAGATGGAGGATTTGCCATCTGTATCTAAAATGCAAGAGAAGGACAGGCAGAGAGATCTTCTGCCAAAGGGGTTCCTAAGACCACCAGAAATATGTTTTCTGATGGTCTTTGGCGACTCCTCTGAGACCCCCTCATGACCCCCAGGTTGAGAAATGCTGTCTTAGATGTTAATGCTAGAGTATCCCACAGCAGTCCAGTGTCAGAGCAGCACAAGAGGCGGTTTGCTAGCATAATAGATATTGTAATATCGCAAATAACACAGGAAGGTGGGAGCTATAGTCCCAAGAACATGACTCCCAATATACCTCTTGGCAGGTTTTTTGTTTGGGGAACTAAGAATGTGTTTTTTCCTTTTCCTTTTTAGTGCGATAAAGTGGAACTTTAGTAAGGTAAGTCTTCCTCTCTTCACCTGTTGATTAGATCCCAGTTAAACTGTGTTGCTTTGACTTAGGTGCCCTATAATTTGGATCTAAATGGCTACTGGGACCTGCTCTAAGTGGATTCAGCTTCTGTAGTACAGCAAAGCCCCTTTGGGCCTTCAACTGCTGTAGTACTACAGCTCCTATCATCCTTGTCCATTGGCTATGCTGGGTGGAGCAAGTGGGAGTTGAGGTGCAAAACATTGGGAAATGTTTCACCTGACTGTATGGGCTTAGTTGCTCAAGAATCTCCTTCTAAGTCACATATTGGGCCTCTTGAAGCTTTGGGCCACCCTTCCTAGAATCCCTAACCATTACCTATGCTGTTGTCCACGGCATCCGGATGGTAAAAGAACAGCTGCCGTTTCTTAAGGGATGGATTCTAGTTCCCCGACAGGAGCTATGTCTTCCATCTTCTCTGCGCCGGGCACCATTTTTATAAACTGCTCTGTGTCTTCCTTGCTCCCAGTGACTTATGTAGCCTTTTAGATACTGGACCAGTATCCCCACCAGCCTTAACCAGCATGGTCTCACTGGTGTGGTATGATCGGACATATAACTCTCACAGCTGTCCTGTCTCTTCTGTCATTGGTAGTCTCGTTTTTATGGCTTCTCTGTCATGTCCCATTTTGGAGCCTCACACTCAGTATCTGCATCCCTCTGTTTGTTCTCAAGGCAGAAATGATTCTATTTAACCTCTAGTCTTAAAAGAAGGTGTGGCGAGACCCCTTAAAAAAACAGTCCCTTGACCCTACCATCTTAAAACAATTACAGGCCGGTATCCAACTTACAGTTTGTCAGTAAGATCTTGGAGCGGGTGGTGGCTGAACATCTCCAGGGATTCCTGGATTAGGTTGATAATCTGGATCAATTCCTATCTGGTTTCAGACCAGGACATGGAACAGAAACAGCTTTGGTCACCTTGGTGCATGATCTAGTCGGAGAGCTTGATAGGGGGAGTCTGACCCTGTTAATTCTCCTGGACCTCTCAGTGGCCTTTGATACCATCAATCATGATATCCTTCTGGGAAAGCTCGAGGGGATGGGATTAGGAGGCACTGTTACCAGTGGCTTCCAATCCTTCCTTGCGGATCAATCCCAGAAGGTGGTCTTGGGAGAGTCCTCGGGGCCAGTGGGGTCATCTTTGTCCCCTATGTTATTTAACATATACCTGAAGCCGCTGGGAGAGATCATCTGGAGTTTTGGAGTTCAGCAACATCTGTATACAGGTGATGCTCAACTCTACTACTCCTTTTCACCTGATGCCAAGGAAGTGGTCCTGCCCTTGAAACGTTGTCTGAAGACAGTGATGGACTGGATGAGGGTGAACAAGTTGAAACTCAATCCTGACAAGATTGAGTACTACTGGTGTCTCAGAAGATTGGACCTTGGAGTGGCATTCTAACCTGAGCTGGACGGGGTCACACTCCCCCTGAAACCTCATGTGTGCAGCTTGGGGGTCATCTGCTTTAACTCCACTTTAAACTTGGGAGGCCCAGGTGGTGGCGGTGACTAGGTCAGCCTTTGCACAGTTAAAGCTAGTGCGCCAATTGCACCCGTTCCTGGAGACATCATACCTGGCCACAGTGGCTCATGCGTTAATTACATCCAGATTGGACTGTTGCAGTGCACTCTACATGGGTCTGCTCTTGAAAAGCATCTGGAAATTAATTTCCCCAAAGAGCTGTGGCAAGACTTCTAACAGGAGCCAACTTCAGGGAGCGCGCCACACTTGTCCTGAAGCGACTGCACTGGTTGCCTGTCCGTTCCTGGACTCAATGGTGGTGATCACCTGTAAAGCCCTTTGCGGCTTTGGTCCAGCCTACCTAAAGCACCATGTCCCCCATTTCATCCCAGGGCAAACACTCAGATCTAGTGGAGAAACACTGCCACTCGTGCTCCCACCAGTATGTGTGCTCCCACCAATATGTGTCTCCACAGCATAAGAGAAGGATCCTTTTCAGGTGCAGCACTTGCTCTCAACACCCCCCCCCCCCCCCAAGAGGAATGAAGGGCAGCACCATCCCTACTTAGTTTTAGGAAAGGGGTCAAGACTTTTCTATTTAAAAAAGCCTTTGAGTGACACATAGTGGGAGTCTCAGGATTTTTAGCTTGTAAATAACAGGAGATTGCCAGTGGAGATACCCTGTTTCCCCAAAAAATAAGACAACCCCTGAAAATAAGACCTAGTAGAGGTTTTGCTGCATTGCTAAATATTAGGCCTCCCCTGAAAGTAAGACCTAGCAAAGTTTTTGTTTGGAAGTATGCTCCCCCTGGTGGCTGGAAGCTGCAATGCCGCTCCTGCTGTATGATCCAGGGACTGCTGTGGTTACAATCTCCAGACAGTGAGAGAGCCCTTATTTTTTGTGGTCCTGTGTGTGAGGGCCAGTATATTTATTATATTCTGACAACTACTGTATAGTGGTATAGTACAATATAGTAATATATAACACCAGTACTGTGCTATGCTAATAATTATATGTACATATAATATTGATCATAATGTTGTAATACAATATAATACTAATAATACAATATAATTATGTATTTTATAATACATGTAATATTACAGTATTGTAGTATAGTACAATATAGTAATACAGAATACTGATATTGTGCTATGCTAATAATTATAACATATTACATGTACATATAACTTGTAAGCAGCTCTGAGTCCCCTTCAGGGTGAGAAGGCTGGGATATAAATGTTGTAAATAAATATATAATAAATGTTCATTTGTTTTGTTCAATAAATGTGAATTCGTCCTCATGAAAAAATAAGACATTCCCTGAAAATAAGAATTTACGCATCTTTGGGAGCAAAAATTAATATAAGACACTGTCTTATTTTTGGGAAAACAGGGTAGCCATGGATAAGAATTTTACAGGTTTTATTGTTGTATGTTTTTATTATGATCTCATTTTATTGTTTTATAAATTTTGGAACTGTTGGAATGTGTGTGTTTTATGTTGTAAGTCGCCTTGAGTCTGCAATGCAGAGAAAGGCACGGTAGAAATACTATAAGTAAATAATTCATAAATAAAACCCTTCTTCCTTCATCTCCAGTTCCTCATCAACAAGGAAGGACAAGTGGTCAAGAGATACAGCCCCATGGACGACCCCGTTGTAAGTGGCTGATGTTCGTAGTGTCCCTTCCGCCAATGAACTTCTATGAAGTCCTACAGCAGTGGTTCTCAACCTGTGGGTCCCCGGGTGTTCTGGCCTACAACTACCAGAAATCCCAGCCAGTTTGCAAGCTCTTAGGATTTCTGGGAGTTGAAGGAAAAAACATCTGGGGACCTACAGGTTGAGAACCACTGTCCTATAGGAAGTTGGGAGGGGCGTTTTTACAGGGATGCTACTGATCTATTTGGGGGGAGCGTGGTTGGACACACGCTTCACAAGCAGAAGGCTTAGTCCTTGTCCACTCCAAATGGTCCCCATTACCCCCTATTTCTTCAAATCTAATGCTTGCCTTTTCTGTTTAAATGACTCACCAAAACGAGGGCGCACATTAGATCCGCGTCACCTTAGTGCTGAGCCAAAGCCAAAGGGGAAACTGCTTCAGGAGCTCCTCTTTAAGGGCCGTCACCTCTAATTTAATTCTCGTGGCTCAATGCTATGCAATCCTGAGATTTGTAGTTTGGTGTGGCGTCAAGAGAAGGCCTTGTCAAACTATAGCTCCCATGACTCCATCACACTGGACCAAGGCAATTAAAGTGGGTTTATCCTACATCATAGATGCACCCCAAGGTTTATATTTTCCATTGGTGTTCTGACACTTTGATTTTTGAAGAAGGAATCTTACGCAGGCAGCAACTGTAATGGTCGATTAAGTGCACTTTTTGCTGCCTACCTTTTGGTCAGCAAGTTTAGCAGCTCAGCGATTTAACCCACTGCCCATACAAATAAATTATTATTATTATTATTATTATTTGACACACAACAAGATGAGTCCACAGCAGACAGTCTGCTGGCTGTTGTATTGGATCACACGTCGGACACTTCCCAAGTATCTAGGATTGTGTGATGCATCGGCGAATAATGTGTGCAGATTCCAGTAAGGTGGCCTTCTGCAGCTGGCAGATGATAATTTTGCCAACGCCAATTGTGTTTAAGTGCAGGCCAAGGTCTTTAGGCACTGCACCCACTGTGCCGATTACCACTGGGACCACCTTGACTGGCTTGTGCCAGTGTTGTCATTATTATTATTCGCATTGATAGCGAAGACTGCTCAATTCCAGGTTGACCAATGCTTTTAAATGGCGTAAGGCGTGTTCCAGTGCAAAGTGTCCTTTGCAGAGATAATGTCATGCCTCTGGCTTGTGACGTGGACATCTCACACTCCTCTTTCTCTCTTACAGGTGATCGAGAAGGATCTGCCCGCTTACCTGTAGGCCCGGCTCCCCGTCGTGTCCCGCAGCTTGCCCCTCCACTTTCCTGGGACGCTCTGCCTCCATGACGACTTGCCTTCAAGCCAAAACCAATTGGTGGGGCATGTCTGAATCAACTGGCATGGGCTCCCAGGGACGGGATGGTGGCAGATGTTGTGGCCGGTGCGCTTTGTAGCAATAAACGCCTCGTTGTTTCTCTGCTCATAATTGGGTGTCCTGATTCTGTTCTGGATGGGAAGGGGCATCTCACATAATCCATCTTATATGCAACAGAAGGCAGTGTGATTGGTTAGGGTAACTTGCAGCACGGGACCAAGAATAGTCATCTCCCCATTGCTTGCTACAGCTTCCATCAAACACAGCTATACTCTTGGGTTCTAGTCCTTCCCTTAAACCTCAAGTAGCACCCGAGTCCTCCTAGCTGATGGCTGGGTTGAAAGAGGAAGCAGGCCATACTATATACTTGAGCTCCCTACTCTTAGAGAAAGTCATCCAAAAGGAATTACGACCACTTGGGTGTATTATTGGGTGTAAATAAAGTATATTATTATTGTTATTGGGTCATCAAGCGCTTTCCAACCAAGATACTGAATGAAAACCCCATGCTGAAAAATGTATGTCTGAATATCCAGGGGGTTGGAGAAAGTGTCCACAATCCAAAAAAATCAAATGGGTTCCAATTCCAGGAAAGGAGATCCCACCGGAATTAGGAAGAACTTCCTGATTGAAAGAACTGTTCAGCAGTGGAACTCTCGGTCTCAAGGCCTTTCCACACAGCTGAGTAAAATCCCACATTTTCTGCTTTGAACTGGAATATATGGCAGTGTGGACTCAGATAACCCAGTTCAAAGCAGATATTGTGGGATCTGCATTGATATTCTGGGTTATGTGGAGTTTTTTGGCGGCTCGATGGCCATCTGCCAGGGTATGCTTTCATTATGAATTTCCTGTATGGTAAGGGTTGGACTGGATGGCCTGGGGGGGGGGGTCGGGTCTCTTCCAACTATTACCCTCAGAGACTGGACGGACATCTGTTGGGAGTGCTTTGTGTATTTCCTGCATGGCAAGGGTTGGACTGGATGGCCCTTGGGGTCTTTTCCAACTCTAGGATTCTATACTGTATATCTAGCGATATATATACACACACACATACACTAGCTTGGGTGACCAGGATTGCCTAGGTTCTTAGAAGAAGTCATTTTTTTATTTTACAAAATGCATAAGGTTGTGGGTGAACTACAACTCACATCATGCCAGGTTCACCCCCTGAAATTCCATGTATACTTAAAGTTTGTCATGTTGGACAAGTTTGTTCTAGATGGCAGCATCGGTGGGGTTCAGTGTGCTCTCTGACTGCAGGATGAATTGCAACTCCCACCATGGTGGGCAAGTCCCCTCAAATCCCTCCAATTCAGTTGGTCATGGGGGTTCTGTGTGCCAAGTTAGGTCCAGATCCATCATCAGTGAGGTGAAGAGTGCTGTTTAGTTGCGGGTGAACTATAAATCCCAGTACCTACAACGGCTATAAATCAAGGTGAATTCCCCCCAAACCTCTCCAGTATTCTTCCTTGATCATGGGGGTTGTGTGTGTCAAATGTGGTCCAGGTCCATTGTCAGTGGGTCACAGTGGTTTGACTTGATGCAGGGTTAACTACAACTTCCATCATGTAGGGTCAATTCCCCAAACTCCTCCAGTATGTTTAGTTGCTGATTAGTTCTGCTCTTCCCACACAGAACCCCCACGAGCAACAGAAAATACTGTGTTTAATGATGGTCTTTGGCGACCCTCTGACACCCCCTTGCAACCCCCCAGGGTCCCCAACCCCCAGGCTGAGGAACACTGATGTATTCTATTGTCTTTTCCCTTTTGAAATCCCACCTTTTGCCCTTTGAGCAATCCCAGATACATTCCACATACGCACACCTGCAAGAACCTGTGACGCCCCACCGTCTCCATTGAGCGGAAATGGCAACAATTTTAATCCTTCGGGTTCAAATAGAAAATCCCGGCATCATTCATTCAAAAGGCACATATTTTTTTCCCCAACAAAAACCAACAAAGAGGAGGAAGACAAAAGAAAAGTATATCCCTCCCTCAGGTTTGTTTTTTTTTACATATATACAATTCCCCATGAATTATAAATATGCATAGAAAAAAATAATATTATTATTATTACGATAATTAAGCAGATTAGAAAGTGCCATTGAGGGACAGAAGAGGAAAAAGGGGAAGGTGTTGCGTGGTTTTTTTCCCACCACTTTTTTTTTCCTAAAAAAAATACATACAATCAATAAGAAACAAAACAGTGTAATAATTTAGTTTAAAAGGTCACTGTTAACATAGTAGTAGTATTTAATTCTCCTGATAAGGCGAAGGGCGAGATCCTGGAGCGGGGATTGTATATAAAGGGGAGAGAGATGGTCCAGCCTCCACGGAAGGAAGGAAGGAAGGAAGGAAGGAAGGAAGGAAGGAAGGAAGGAAGGAAGGAAGGAAGGAAGGAAGGAAGGAAGGAAGGAAGGGAGGGGAGGGAGGAGGGGTGCGAGCAGGGTGGCAGGGAAGGAAGGAAAGAAGGAAGGAAAGGAAGGGGGCCAATCCCATTCAGCAACCATAAAGTAGCCACATACTATTATATATTTGGGGGAGGACTTCAAAGAGTGCCTCCAAATCCTTTTCCTGAGTTTTATATGGTCTTCTCCGCTCCATCCTGCTCTTATCCAGGAACTTATCAAAACCTTGCTAATGAAATGGTTTGAGCTTCGGAAATGTACAGAACCCAAAGAGTACTGTACAAATGGGATTAATGCTCTGCTTCCTTAACTCCAATTTGAAGGTTGGTGCTATGGGGTGGGAGCAAAAGAATGGAAAATACCCTACAGATACTTGGAGGGCACAGGCTTTGGAGATTTCTATCTACCTACCAACCTGCCTACTTGCTGTTGTGATCGTTACACTCCTAGGCTTGAAATGCATTGTTGCATTGATGCGCTGCTCCGAATCGGCTGCAAATACCTCCTCCTAACTCCCAACATCCTGCAACCTACGGTCAAAAGAGCAGAAAAGCACACACAGTTGTAGATCTGCGCTCTTCCATCCCTCGTCCTCTGAAATCTGGGACTTTGACTGCCAGGGATTCTGGGAGTCAGTGTCACAAACACCCGGAGGACCAAAAGCCGGAGAGAATCCTAAAAAGATGAACCTGCCAAGCGTTTTGACACCATCGTCCGGCCTCCCGGAAAACCAGACGCCAAGTGTTTTGGACTACGATTCCCATCTGGTTCAGATGTTGGGAATGATATGTACCATAATTCAAAACAAACTTGAAGGAAAGTTGTTATTACAAGTTGGGAAATGTGGAGAATTTGCTCATTGAGAGCCAGGAAAGATTCAAAACGTTCCACCGGGCCAGAAGGATGGAGGGAGTGAAACGCAGCAAAGATGATGCCGAACTACAACTCCCAGCAGCCGCCAATGGTGAGGGATAACCGGCAGCCTTTCAACTGTACACAGCTCCCCCCTTGGCTTTTGGATACAGCTCTTTAACAGCTATGGGTTTTGGGGATGAGAGTGAGAACGTCCGAAATGTGTAGGATGGTTTGACTTCAATGTATGTGCTTAGGCCACCAAAGGCCATCTCAGACTCATTGGAGGAGGAAGGCCAGATCCAAGGACATACAAGGACAAGGAAGCTTTCGCTCACAATCCAACCAGTTGGAACAGAAAGAAGCTGTGAAATGGAAAGTATTGACAAAGATAGCGAGAAGGGGCTTTGACTCAAGAGGGACACAAGGTCCTAGTCCTCATAATTTGTCTACAAATTATGGAGAAGTTCTCCTTCCTGGGTTTTTGACCCATTGACTCTCCTCCCAAATTTCATCTCCATTTGCAAACTCTTCCCTGCCTCCTTGAGGTCTAGAAACTTTAGGGGACACTCTCCAGATTGAACCAACAGGTGCGAGTCAATAGATACCCAGTTGAGTGAAGCAAAGGAAAAAAGAAATGGCATGGAGTGAAATTCCTTGGCTTTAGCACAGCGGGTTAGCTGCCAACTGCAGACAATCTTGCTTTATGCGGGGAAGGTAATTAAAAAGGTGCCGATGTTTTGATAGGAAGGTCATCAACAGACAAAGAAAAGCTCCTTGGCATGGAAGATGGAGTGACAGCACCTCTCTGTAGCCAGAGTCGAACACAGCCTCCAGATTTTTTTTTTTCGTGTCAGGAGCAACTTGAGAAACTGCAAGTTGCTTCTGGTGTGAGAGAATTGGCCATCTGCAAGGACATTGCACAGGAGATGCCCAGATGTTTTGATGTTTTACCATCCTTGTGGGAGGATTCTCTCCTGTCCCCATATGGTGACCTGGAGCTGACAGAGGGAGCTCATCTGCGTTCTCCCCGGATTCAAACCTTCAACTTGTTAGTCTTCAGTCCTGCCAGCACAAGGATTTAACCCATTGCGCCACCGGAAGCTCCTAGCCTCCAGATGCCAGAGATAGAGAAAGATGGGAAAAGCCTATACCTCTGTTTATGTACTGTCTGTCTTTGTCAATTGTATAATGGCACTGAATGTTTGCCATATATGTGTTCTGTAATTTACCCTGAGTCCCCTCAGGGAGACAGAATGGACTATAAATAAAATAATAATACACTTTATTGATATTCCTCCCTATCTCCCCAAGGGGACTCAGGGTGGATCACAGAACACATACACCACAAACATTCAATGTCGCTGAAACAGACAGGACAAACAGACAGAAGTATGTTGTGTCGACATCCAACTTCTGGAAGTTGTGCTCAATTCCAGCCCCCGGGGATGCTATTGCTCCATTCTCTATGACAAAGAGACATCACTGATTTCTTCCTTCCTTTTGGTTGCCAGCATTTCTGGTATTTCCTTTTATGGTGCTGTAAAATACCTCCCCCACTTTAAACGGTACCTAGTTTCTCTACTTACAGCTGTCAAGCTGTTTTCGAGCTGCTTAGGTGGACAGTAAGCTGGCTGACAGTCGGGTGCTCACCCTGACCTGGGCTTCCAACTGGCAACCTTTCAGTTGGTAGGATCTTATTGCTGCTGTTGATTTACCAGCTGTGCTAAAGCCCAGCCCTGTATTATAAACGTATGACCTTCCAGGTGTTTGGGCCTCCAATGGCCATTCTGGGAGTTGAAGTCCAAAACTGCTGGAGGGCCAAACATTTGACACCACTGAATTATAGGGGGTAAACTACACACAATACGCTTGTGTCTGAGCCACCGCAGGTTCAGATTGAGCTCCCCTCCTGGAGAAACCTCCCCTCCTGAGAAGAAAGGAATAGAAAGGAAGTATAAAGATCGTAGCTTTCCAACTCAGTAGTTTGCATAAAGGAGTGGGGAGGTGCAGCTTCAAAAGGTGGGCGAAGAGGCCGGGGGGGAATGGCGACGTGCCACTCTGATAAGGTGCCTCAATATGCCACCCCCTCCCCCAATTTCCCCCATCCCTAGACCTCTACTCTGTACGTTATCTATTCTGAGACATACGTCGATAGATAAGATATATAAAAAATTTAGTACACGGGTGGCTGTATAATATATATAAATAAACTTTGCTTCTGTGTTAGGTATACGTTTCCCTCCGTTCCCGTCCCTGTTTTTCTTAAAAAAGAGAGAGAAGTGGTCCAATCGGTACAAAAAACAAACCCGAAGACCGGGAAGACCCCCCTGACTCAGCTGTCCTCGTCGAAGAAGCCAGGGAAAGGGCCGCTGAACTGGATGACGCTCTGGCGCTCCGGGGTGGAGGCAACGGCAGCGTTATTGTCCTCCAGCCCCACATTGAGGGAGTTCAACATCTCCTCCAAGACCTCCTTGTAGTTGATGTCCTGGCTGGGCAAAGAGAAGCCATTGGGGAGCGGAGGGGCTCCCGGGGGCAAGTGTTCATGTGGGGATGGGGAGCCCAGAGGCAATGCCGCAACGCCGTTGTAAGGAGGGGGGAAGCTGTAATGCGGCGGAGGCGGCGGTTGTGGGGAAGCTGTGGCCCAGAGGTCCGGGATGCCATCGTCGCTGGAGGGGCTGTAGGTCAGGTCCAAAATCTCATCCTGCTGCAAAGAAGGGGGCTGGGAAGGCAGGAAGCCGCCCGCCGCCACTGCCGCAGACTGGCTGAGGTCCAGCGGCTGAAGGAGTGGGTAAGGAAGGTTCGGACGAGTGGCCGCTACTGTCGTCGCTGCCAGCAACACTTGACTCTGCTTCTGCTTCTGCTTCACGTTCTCATCCATCTGCTTCAGCTCCTTCAGTACCTGCTGGACGCAAGACTCTGGGATTTTGATCCCTGCGGGATGCGGAGAAAAAAGAGCGGTCAGTAGATTCGCAGGTACAGGCCTTCCCCAAGTTACAAACAATGAGAGAAATCTTCCGCAATGGTGCCTTCCTGTCTGGCAGAAAGAAGGGGGCTGGACTGGATGGACTTTGGGGCTCCCTTCCAAATCTATGGTATCTCATATAACGGTGCGCCATGCATTCATGCTGGCCACATGACCTTGGGAGGTGTGGAATTGGAATTGGACCAAGCTTGGCACACAGAGCCCCCCGTGGCCAACAAAAAATACTGGAGGTCTTTGGAGAAAATTCACCTTGATTTGGGGGAGTTGTAGCTCACCTACATCCAGAGAGCACTATGAACCCAAAAACCAAGGGATCTGGACTAAATTTGGCACACAGACCTGATATGCCGAAATGTGATTGCTGGAGGGGTTTGGGGGGAACTGACCTTCCTTTCTGAGAGTTGTAGTTCACCCAAAACCAGAGAAACTGTGACCTTCACCAAAGAGGGACCTGCACCAAACTTGGCACACAGAACAAACCCCCATGACTAACTCAACCTACTGGAGGGGTTTGAGGGGACTGGCTCACCATGGTGGGAGTTGTAGTTTACCCTATAGCCAGAGAGCACACTGAACCCAACTGATGCTGCATCTAGTAGCCAACACCGTGCAGGGGAGCTCAATTGCCATTCTTAAATATCTTAAGACAAGAGGGGGCCACTTTACACCGGCAGCGCTCAAACTGTTTGAAGCGAAGTCATTAGCCCAACTCATGTATGGCGCTCAACTGGGCCCCTTCCCCAGTTTTGCCCCATTAGAGCTGGTTCAGTCAAAGTTTCTGAGATCGGCCTTGCAGGTTTCTAATGCCACCCTGCGACTAGAGACGAGCTTTATGAGGGTGGAGGCAAGGGTGTGGGTGGCCATACTCAACTTTTGGCTCAGACTATCCCGTGCACCCCTTGGTCTTGCCCCACTAACCATGGAGGATGACTTCCAATCTACATGGAAGCAGGCGGTAGCATCCAAAATCTTCTCATTGGGATTTTCTCCAGGTCTACTACTCGCTATGGATTACAATCAAGCCAAAGCACTTATTAAACAACGTATCACACACTCAGAGCGCCAACTAGATCTGGCCTTGGTTCCAACCTTCCTTATCAATGAAGACAGCAGATATCTTGCCTCCCCTATGGCATATTTAACAAACTCAGAGGTTCCTATTCATCGAAGGGCTTTCACCTTGGCTCAATGCCACGCTCTCCCATCAGCTGTACTCGAAGGCCGTTACCGGAAGATCCCTTTCCCAAAGAGACTCTGCCCCTGTGACTCGGGTCATGTAGAAACAATAGAACATGTGCTCCTTCAGTGCCCGTTCTACAGGGATATCCGTGCCAGGCTTATCTTACCTCTGATATACAAGCACCCAGGCCATTCAGGACAATTTTATACCTCCCTGCTAATTGCAGATATTAATTCAGCTACAACCTACAATGTTGCAAAGTTCTGTGCAGCAGCATACAAAATCTGTCAGGGAAGGACTAGTCCCAAAAGTTAACTGTGTGTCCAGTAATCTTCTTCCCTGAATCTACAATTTGGTGATGGATCTGGGCATTGTATATTTTTACCCTGTTTCCCCCTCCACTCCCTCACCCACATTGTGCTTCAGTAGTTATATTTGTATTTTTAATGTACTAAACGTACCAAGTTTGTATGAAAATGTGATTTCTATTTCCTGTGCTGGTCTATGGCCGAAATAAATGATTTTATTTATTTATTTATTTATTTAATTTACAGTATTTATATTCCGCCCTTCTCACCTCGCAGGGGACTCAGGGCGGATTACAGTGTACACATATATGGCAAACATTCAATGCCAATTTGACATACAATGTATACAGACACACACAGAGGCTATTTAACTTTTTCTGGCCGCCAGGGGAGCTGTCGCTTTCATCGTCCATACGCGACACTGATGAAGTACTTCCGCATTCCCCGCATGCTTTGCTGGAGTCTTTTTTATGGCCTCATAAATTAGTTAATTTAGCCTCCCCACACAAGGTGGTACCTAATTTTCCTACTTGACAGATGCAACTGTCTTTCAGGTTGCAAAGGTCGACAACAGGCTACACAATTGGTTGGAAGCCCACTCCAACCCGGGCTGGCTTCGAACTCATGACCTTTTGGTCAGAGTGATCTTAATGCAGCTGACACGCAGCCAGCTGTGCCCCAATCCCGGTGCTTTGATTTGATTTGATGCTGCATCTAGAGCAAACTTGCCCAACATAATACACTTTAAATACTGATAAGAGTTTCTTGGGGTTAACCTGGCATGATGTGAGCTGTAGTTCACTCACAACCGTATGCATTTTGTACCCTTAAAAATTGACGGTTCCAAATAACCCTGGGAAATGCCAGATACACAAGCTAGTATATATGTAGGCCATCTTCAAGTTACAAACATCTGACTGACAAATGACTCATATAGATAAGAACGAAGCTGAGAAAACAAAAAGTGAGAGAAATCTGCCCCTTGGATGGAAAATTCACTCCTGGAAGAGTGTTATCATGGAGAAAAGGTGTCTCCACTGTGACTTTCTCACCAGTCATTCTTTCCACAATAGTTTTTTCAAAATACAATTATCACTGGAACAGAAAGTGAAGTGAAATCTTCTAAACAGGGCCACACATAACAAAACAAACACAACAGGTGTGTTCACCCTTCCCTATGCTATCCATAGATATATGGATAGGTAAAGGTAGTCCCCTGACATTAAGTCCAGTCATGTCTGACTCTGGGGTGTGGTGCTCATCTCCATTTCTAAGCCGAAGAGCCAGCGTTGTCTGTAGACACCTCCAAGGTCATGTGGCCGGCATGACTGCATGGAGCGCCGTTACCTTCCCGCTGCAGCGGTACCTATTGATCTACTCACATTTGCATGTTTTCGAACTGCTAGGTTGGCAGAAGCTAGGGCTGACAGCGGAAGCTCACGCCGCTCCCCAGAATCGAACCTGTGACCTTTCGATCAACAAGCTCAGCAGCTCAGTGCTTTAACCCACTGCACCACCGGGGGCTCCAGATATATGGATAGCATAGGGAAAATACACACACACACACACATATATATGGGCTGAAGTTCCACTTCAAAAATGTCCCTGTTCTGACTTAACAGACAAATTCAGCTTAAGAACAAACTTACAGAACTTTGGGGTTTTCCTTCCTTTCTCCCTCCCTTCCCTCCTTATTTCTACCCAAAACCCTATAATGTTTCACAATGTAGGGGAAGCCATGGTTGTAGGTCTCCCAGGAGCCTAAGGCAGCCCCTCCTGACTCCGTATGGCACCCCATAGTCCCCTCCACTCACCAACTTGCTTCTTCTTCTCTTTGGTCTTGAGGCGGACGATCTGCAGGTAGTTGGTGTTGGTGATGTCGGCCATGATGCTGGCGATCTTGCTCCAGACCCGCAGCAGCGCCCCACAAAGCATGTAGTAATGGCGCAGGCGGGCACCCTGCAGACACTCCTTCCCGTCTTGGACCATTTTGCAGTGCCCGTTCCTTTGCCCCAAGGAGAGAGGAGGAGAAAGAAGGGAACATGATTAATATCACCCACATAGAACCATCGCGTCCTGGAGTTGGAAGGGACCCCTAAAGGCCATCCAGCCCAACTCCCTTCTGCCAGGCAGCAAGACACCATCCAGATCAAATTATAATAAATATACACCTAAAATACCCTTTAAAACTCACAGTCCTCATGCATGGCTTGATCATGGTCATTCGGTGGGTGTCCATGGCTGAGCAAAAGGACTCTTTGAGTCATGATCAAATTAGGAGCCACGGAAAAATTAAAAGGGGCTTCAAAGGCCATTTAGTCCAAGCTCTTCTGATCTAATTACATATATATTCCCAGACCCTCCAATGGAGAATTTATGCATCTGTGGCACATCAGCTAAGAGAACATTGTGTATATTTTCTTTGATTGTTGTCTCTATGCCAAGGTGAGATCTCAATATTTACAACCGCTTCTGTTTAGAACAATTGCCAAACTGTCTTATTTTCTGGGGAGAATCGACGTTTAGTCCGCTGCAGAGCCAAGTTCATCATAAAAGCTGCCTACCTGAGATCTCTCTCCAGATTGAAGCATGAATTTCAAACTCATGTCCTTTGTTTAAATTCTGTTCTATGTATTTTATAGAAATACATTTGAATTGGAGCCCCCGGTGGCGCAGTGGGTTAAAGCGCTGAGCTGCTGAGCTTGTTGACTGAAAGGTCACAGATTCGATTCCGGGGAATGGCATGAGCTTCTGCTGTCAGCCCTAGCTTCTGCCAACCTAGCAGTTCGAAAACATGCAAATGTGAGTAGATCAATAGGTACCGCTCCGGCGGGAAGGTAACGGCGCTCCATGCAGTCATGACGGCCATATGACCTTGGAGGTGTCTACGGACAACACCGGCTCTTCGGCTTAGAAATGGAGACGAGCACCACACCCCAGAGACAGACATGACTGGACTTAATGTCAGGGGACAACCTTTACCTTTACCTTTACCTTACATTTCAATATGTATCTTTTATAGAAATACATTATTAATATGTGTATTTGTGGTATTGTTACAATGTTTATGCGTTTTAATTGTTCTGTAACCTGCCTCGAAGCACGAGGCGAGATGGGAAAGAAATAAAATAATAATAATAATTTTAATAATAATAATAATTTTAATTACTATTATTATTATTAAATGGGGTCCCTTGTCCTAGTGATTAACTTCTCTAAATTCTCTGACTCTTTTACACCCATCACTCTACCCCCAATGCTTTAATCTTGTAATCTAAATCTCATTTTATTGAATACAGCAAGTCGCTTCTGGGGTGAGAGAACCAGCCGTCTATGAAGAAGCTGCCCATGGGATTCTCGGATGTGTTACTATTCATAGACCTGTCAGCAGCTTATGATACTGTAAATCATTGCCCTCCTCCTGAGAAAAATGTAAAATATCAAAAAGCATTACCACCTCACCTGCTTCATAGGAAATTGCTACAAAGCAGCAGCTTTTTTGTTGAGTTCCAGGGCCAGAGAAAGAGATGGCAAAAATAGAAATATGGCCTGCCTCAGGGGAGCGTGCTTGCTCCATCAATGTTTAGCATTTACACAAATGATCAGCCATTGCAAGAAGGGACAGAGAGTTTCATCTGTGCTGACGTATGTGCCATCACTGCTCAAACAAGGAGCTTTGAAATGGGTTGTTGTAGGTTTTTCAGGCTATATGGCCATGTTCTAGAAGCATTCCCTCCTGATGTTTTGCCTGCATCTATGGTAGGCATCCTCATAGGTCAAACCTCATAACCTCTGAGGATGCCTGCCATAGATGCAGGTGAAATATCAGGAGAGAATGCTTCTAGAACATGGCCATACAGCCCAAAAAACCTACAACAACCCAGTGATTCTGGCCATGAAAGCCTTCGACTGGACTGTGCTCTGATTTACAAGAAGCACTGCTTAACTATCAACCAAAAGGTGGGTGCCAAAAATATCGTACGAAAACTGACTGGCACAACCTGGGGATCACAACCAGACACAGTGAAGACACCTGCCCTTGCACTTTGCTACTCTGCTGCTGAATATGCATGCCCAGTGTGGAATACATCTTACCATGTTAAAACGGTGGATGTGGCTCTTAATGATACATGTCACATTATCACAGAACGTGTACGCCCTACACCACTAGAGCAATTATACTGTTTAGCCGGCATTGCACCAGCTGACATCCATCAGAAAGTAGCAGCCAGCAATGAAAGGACCAAGGAAGTCCTCTGTTCGGTCCTCAGCCAACATGCCAATGTCTTAAATCAAGAAACAGCATCCTAAGATTTACAGAGATACTCGCAGGACACCTCAGGAAGCGAAGAGTCCAAAAGTGGCAGGTGAAAACCCGGAACCTCAACAGTGGCTGAGACCGGATGAGAAACTCCCTCCTGCGCACACAGAAGACTGGGCGACTTGGAAGGTGTTGAACAGGCTGTGCTCTGGTACCACAAAATGCAGAACTAACCTTAAGAAATGCGGTGACAAAGTGGAGTCCACAACATGCGAGTGCAGAGAAGAGCAAACCTACTACAATGCAGCCTGAGCCCTACCACATGCACAATGGAGGGTCTTCTCCCAGCGACACCAGAAGCACTCCAAGTGGACAGCTTCTGGTCAAAGTAAATCTAGTATAATGCCAAGTCTTTTTCTTTGTTTGTGATTTTTTTTTATACATATTACTGCATTCACAATTTGCTTCTGACTTTTACTGAATGTATTATTTAATCAAGTCGTATTGTATTTTGATTTGTTTTAGTTAACCATTACAGGGGTTTTAGCATAGTGATTAGCGTCTATTTGCTTGTGTATTTTTGTCTTTTACTGTTGATATAGTCAGCGGGCTGATCAAGAAACAGATCCGAAGTCTGAAGTCTTTCTATGCCTTCAAGAAGGATCTCAAAACCTGGCTTTTCCGTTGCGCCTTTGGAGAGTAGTACACAACCATACACTATTGCTCCCCTCAACGTTTTTGTTCCTGGAGTACACTTCCCCCGCTTGTATGAAGGCCTGTTTTTTTTTACAACCCTGTTTCTTTATGAGCTCTCCCTTACAAATAATCCGCTCTTCTTTTATCTCACCCTGAGTTTTAGCATTTTATCTTGCACATGCGGCCCGCTCATTGTCATTGTAACTGCGGATATTGTATTTTTATATTGCTTATTGTATTCATATGTTTTATGTATTTCACTGTGTTGTCATTTGTGACTTTGGTTTTTATTTTATTGTAATTTGTTGTTTGGGCTTGGCCTCATGTAAGCCGCCCAGAGTCCCCATTGGGGGAGATGGTGGTGGGGTATAAATAAAGATTATATTATTATTATCATTTTTTATTATTATTATTATTATTATTATTATTATTATTTGGATTTAGTTCATTTATCAGTCTTGGGAGCAGCAAGAAACAAACCGGGTCCCTCTTCTCCATGCAACTCTACAGGTATTTATTTCTCCCATTCGCACGGCACTGAGGCTCCACTTACCATACGGCGTGGTTGCAGAACTGTAGGGAAAAGGTGTAGCTGCTCTCCCAATGTTCTTTGGCATCTTCCGGCGACACCTGAAGGACAAAGGGAAGGTGATCAAGAGGCATTTTCCTTCCACTTTGGAGGAGTTGAAGGGGGAATGTGGCAAGTAGGAAACAAGCCCCTTTCTTACCTTTTGGTATTTCCTGAGAAGGCTTTCCAGACTCTCTGGTTGACTGTGCTTCCCGATGTTGGGCTTGTAGAGGGTGAAATTCTTTCCGCGGTTCTGCTCGGCCAGGAGACAGGTGTACATGTTGCCCCGGACCTGCAGGGCAAGAACGCTTGGGGTTAATTCAGCACAAGGAGCGGTCTGTGGACCCTCTGCATTATCAGAGACGGACGCAACCCAAATCGCCTTTGAGACAAGATCACTAGAAGGTGGTGACTGGGACTCAGATACTATCATCTTTTCCCATTCTTCAAGTCTTACTGAAGGCTTATTTATTTATTTATTTATTTATTTAAAACGTTTATATTCCGCCCTTCTCACCCCAAAGGGGACTCAGGGTGGAGCACGGCATACACACAGCAAACATTCAATGCCGGGACACAAATTCACATACAATACATAAACATTAAAAACATTTATCAAAATATTAAAATACACCATTTAAAACTGTCCTAGTCATCCACATCAAATCTAATTGGCCTGGTAAGTTTCCTATCGCTGCCTTATTGCCCTGTCCCAAAAGCTTGGTCCCACAGCCAAGTTTTTACCATCCTTCTAAAGGACAGGAGAGAGGGGACCAACCTGATCTCACCAGATAGGGAGTTCCATAGCTGGGTAGCAATCACTGAGAAGGCCCTGTCTCTCGTCCCCACCAATTGTGCTTGTGACAATGGCGGGACAGAAAGCAGGGCCTTCTTGGAGGATCTTAATCTCCGCGACGGTTCATAGGGAGAGATGCATTCAAACAGGTAAACTGGGCCGGGGCCGTTTAGGGTGTTGGTGCTGGTGCTAACCTATAAATCCCTTAACGACTCTGGCCCAGTTTAACTGTCCGAACGGATTCTCCCCTATGAACCATCAAGATTTTAAGATCATCTGGAGGGGCCCTGCTCTCGGTCCCACCAGCCTCGCAAGCGCGCCTGGTGGGGACGAGGGACAGGGCCTTCTCGGTGGTGGCCCCTCGGCTCTGGAACTCCCTCCRACTGGAGATTAGAACTGRCCCTTCTCTCCTGACTTTTAGAAAACAGGTGAAAACCTGGCTCTGGAAACTGGCATTTGACGAGTGAGTCAATAACTCGTGGCTATATGGATGGATGGTGATGAACAACGATTTTATTGTGACGACTTGGTCATTGTAATTATATGATTGTATTTTTGGTATTTTAACGTGTTAATGTATTACGGAATGTGATGTTTTTAAARGATTGCTTGTGATATTATTGTTGGAAACCGGCCTGAGTCCCTCCACGGAGGTGAGACGACCGGTATACAAAAGTTCTACATAAATAAATAAATAAAGCTTTATAGGCCAAAGCCAGCACTTTGAATTGTGCCAGGTAGCTAACTGGCAGCCAGTGGAGCTGGTGTAACATGGGAGTTGTATGCTCCCTGTATGCCGTCCCAGTTATTAACCTGGCTGCCTCTTGTTGGACTATTTGAAGCTTCCGAGCAGTCTTCAAAGGCAACCCCACGTAGAGTGTGTTGCAGTAGTCTATCCTAGATGTAACGAAAGCACCACAAAACAGCAATCCCACTCCAATAAAAAGATTAACATAAAAAGTCCTTCCCAGCCATGGTTTTACAGCTGAATGGGCTCTATTTATTATGCCCAGTGGTGCTTTCCGATTTTATGAATGGTCCCATTACAAAAGGCATGCCCATGGAATAGGGCTTTTATCAAATCCTACAGAAAATTTCTGCAATAAATAACATTAGAAAATGTATATCAGGCAACACCGGGTAGATAAGCTAGGTTGTCTCATTCAAGGCAGTTTTTTCAATTTTAATCCCCCCCAATGAATATTATTATATAAAAACCAACAAGATTAACAAGATCTCTATGCTGGCTGTTGTATTGGACCACACGTCAGGCACTTCTTCTTCTTCTTCTTCTTCTTCTTCTTCTTATTATTATTATTATTATAGAATCATAGAATCATAGAGTTGGAAGAGACCTCATGGGCCATCCAGTCCAACTCCATTCTGCCAAGAAGCAGGAAAATCATATTCAAAGCACCCCCGACAGATGGCCATCCAGCCTCTGTTTAAAAGCCTACAAAGAAGCAGCCTCCACCACAGTCCGGGAAAGAGAGTTCCATTGCTGAACAGCTCTTACAGTTAGGAAGTTCTTTCTAATATTCAAGTGGAATCTCCTTTCTTTCTGTAATTTGAAGCCATTGTTTCATGTCCTAGTCTCCTGGGCAGCAGAAAACAAGCTTGCTCCCTCCTCCCTATGACTCCCCTTTTATGTGTTTCCTCCACCACAGACATCCCAGTGTTTCTAATTCTCTTCATTGGTGTGGAATTATTATTATTATTATTATTATTATTATTATTATTATTATTATTTCCAAAGTGTACACATTATAACAAAACTATTGGTATGTACAGCTAGCAATTAACAGTAATAATTTACTCTTTCTAATAATTCTAAAACATATGTATCTTAATAATAATAACTTTATTTATATATTCCTGACCCTTCACTGAGATAGTCTTACAATATTTTTGTCCTATCAAAGCTCTTAACAAACAATGTTTGGCCTGGACATTTTGGAGTTGCAGGTACAAGGATTTATAGTTCACCTGCAATCAATGAGCACTCTGAACTCCACCAAGGGTGGAATTGGACCAAACTTGTCACACAGAGCCCCCATGACCAGCAAAAATACTCAAGGTCTTTAGGGGAATTCATCTTGATTTGGGGGATTTGTAGTTCACCTACATCAAGAGAGCACTGTGAACCCAAACACTGATGGATCTGGACCAACCTTGGCACACATACCTGATAGGACAAAATTTGATTACTGGACGGATTTGGGGGGAACTGACCTTCCTTTCTGAGAGTTGTAGTTCACCCACAACCAAAACAACTGGGTCCTCCACTGATGATGGACCTGGACCAAACTTGGCACATAGTACCACCACTAACTCAACCTGCTGGAGGGGTTTGAGGGGACTGACTCACCATAGTGGGAGTTGTAGTTTACCCTGCAGCCAGGGAGAATGCTGAACACCAACAATGATGCATCCAGAGCACACTTGCCCAACATAACAAACTTTAAGTCCTGATGGAGGTTTTCAGGGTTAACCTGGCATGATGGGAGTTGTAGTTCACCCACAATCTTATGCATTTTGTATAATTTAAAATTGACTTTTTGAAATAACCCAAGCTAGTATGGTATATATATGTAAAATTTAAATAAAGTATTCAAAGGTGACCTAATTGTACAATGTTTATCATAATCTTGCACTTCTTTCTGACAATGTATTTTTAATCATTCAACACCATTATGGACCATTCTTTAAGTATTCTACCAATATATGCTGCAAAAGCCTTCTAATTATTTTGAAAACATTGTATTGTTTTATTTTTAAAGAGACAAGATGGTTCATCAAATTCTGTGCAATTTGATCAACCATTCACTACAGATGGAATAATACTTTCTTTCCAGTGTCTGGCATAAACTATTTGGACTGCTGTTATAGCCTTTTGAAAGACAATAATATTTTCTTATTGATAATATCATTTGCCTGTCCCAACAAAAATATTTCTGGCAAAAACTGTATATTCTGTTGTAAAAATATTTGCATTGATTCCTTAACAGCTGTCCAATATGCATGAGCTTAATGACAGGTCCACCACATGTGGATTTTTTTTTAAATCAATGGTCCTATTAGAAAAGGCATGTCCTACAGCAAACAATGGGTTTCTGTAATAAATACATTAGAAAATGCATAGATAAACAAGGCAACAATACATTGTTGTCTTGTCCAAAGCCGCAATTTCAGATGTTTTTCTAAAGGGGATTGTCTGCATCCATCTCTGGGACTGAGAGCATGGCTCACCTTATTGGAGAGATAAAAGCCGTCATGGAGGCCCGTCAGTTGGAGCGACTTTTCATAGGCTTCTTCCCACTTCATGCCTCTGTCGACACTGATCTGCAAAACAACAGCAGAAACGTGCAGGGAGTCATGGCGTGCCACATGACGCCCAGAAACACCTTTTGTCTGTGTATTCATTGTTGAGGGTCGCCAAGACTACCATTGGCCAGAAAGGCTGGAACCTTTCTTTGCTATGTTCTATCAGCTGAATCATTTACAACATCTCTGGGATGTTGTGTGGTTTCTGGGCTGTACAGCTTATGTGTTTCAGCAGAATTTTCTCCTGACATTTTGCCTGCATCTGTGGCTGGCATCTACAGAAGATCTGATGGTGGTCAAGCAAGTGTATTCCTGTAGAATAATGTCCAGGGTGGGAGAACGAACCAATGTCTCTTAACCATGTGCGAAGGGTGCAATTAGCAAGCCTAGCTCGCAAGTGTCCAGACAGGAGGCCTCCAGGCGGCAAACAATCAAGGGCCAGTGAATGCCACCCATACAAAGGATGTCTCCATCTGTCAGGAGGGATCAGATGGTGTGTTCCTGGATTATAGAGGGTTGGACTGAATGGCTTTTGGGGGTCCCTTCCAACTCTGGGATTCTATGATTCCAATGGAGGCTTTGAAGCTGAGTCTGGATGGCCATCTGTCTGGAGGGATCAGATGATGTCTTCCTGAATTATATAGGGTTGGACTGGAAGGCCTTTGTGGGTCACTCCCAACTCTAGGATTCTATGATTCCAATGGAAGCTGAGTCTGGATGGCCATCTGTCAGGAGGGATTGGATGATGTCTTCCTGGATTATAGAGGGTTGGACTGGATGGTCTTTGAGGGCCCCTTACAGCTCTAGGATTCTATAATTCCAATGGAGGCTTTGACGCTGAGTCTGGATGGCATTAAACACTCCAAGGGAACAAAGGCCTAGCTACTTCCAGGCAAATGCTCTCGTCATGGACTATGCAATCTTCTCAGCTAATGGAGGGATCTCACTTAAATGCTTGCAAATCCAGCTTACTAACTACACCCTTCACACTTGGCTAACAGACATCAGTTCTTTCTCCCTGGACTTCCTACCCCTTAGGTATATATACTCCACTTGCTTTACCACCATCAGATCCTCTGTAGATACTGTGAAAACCTTTGACAATACAGTGAAGTGTCTCTTATAGCCATAACTTGTGTCATGTTAAACACCAAACAAATTGTTGTTGTTGTTGTTGTTAGATTTATTTATAACCCACTTTATCTCTCCCAAAGAAGACTCAAAGCAGTTTATTATAAAAGCATTAGCTGACTGAAACTACAGCCAGTACACTCTTGTCAGCAGAAACACACTAAAACAGGGCTATGCAATATGGTGGTCCCAGGCCTGGTGCAGTCCAAGGAACAGTTGTAGCCAACAGGCCTAAATATGAGGTCAGCTCCTGGAAAACCTGCGAATCCCCCACATCAGATCGCTCCCAGAGAACTAAAACAGATAAACAGTGTTGTCCTGGGTTGCTGTGAGTTTTTTGAGCTGTATGGCCATGTTCTAGCAGCATTCAGAGAACCTCCGAAGATGCCAGCCACAGATGTAGGTGAAACGTCAGGAGAGAATGTTGCTGGAACACAGCCAAATAGCCTGAAAAACTCACAGCAACCCAGTGCTTCCAGCCATGAAAGCCTTCGACAACACACTGTTACCCTGTTTAGAGGCGGCTCCTTGATGTGCCACGCAAACGCATCCTTACCTTGTAAAAGACGACCTGTCCGTCCTGAGGGTGGCCAGGAGTCAGAAACACCTCTTTGCTCTCCTCGTAGATCTCATCAACACCAGGGGCCAGATCTGGAGAGAGCGAGAGACAACCAAGATGAGCAGGGACAACGAGAGGAAGGAAATAACTGCCTGGGTGTTCAGTGGAGCATCTTTCTCTGGAAGCTTTTAAGTGGAGGCTTGATGACCATCTATCAGGAGGGTTTGGATTGTGCCTTTTACTGCTTGGTAGAAGGGGCTTGGGCCGGATGATGTCTGAGGTCTCTTCCAACTATAGGATTATATGATTCTATAGCCCCCTTTCTCCATTAACACTTTAAATGTATATGAAGTTGGATGGCCATGTATTAGGAGGGATTATATTGTATCTTCCAACTCCATGATTCTATGATACATCATACCAAATATTCTGCCATTCTTACAAGGGATATCTATCTATACACATAATAAAAGTGAAAATATGTATCTGTGTACATGGCTGGGGTGGCCACTTACACAGACAAGCTCCTGCCTCCACAAACAGCCACAGATCCCACTACTAAGGAGACACCAATGGCCCTCCCTCCAATGACACTGTAGGTTATAGTGAGTGCCAATAACATGTCCAAGAGCCCTGCCAGTGTCCTCCACAAACACCACACTGCCCACCACGCAGCTGAAGGCTTTCATACAGGACCATTTCATCCCAGATTTGATGTGTTTCCTCTACCACAGACATCCCAGTGTTTCCGACTCTCCATTGATGTGGAATTTGTATGATCCCACCCACTGCCTCTACCTTAACCATTTTCTGTTCTTTTCCATGACACACAGCAAACAGAGCAGCATTGATTAATAATAATAATAATAATAATAATAATAATAATAATAATGACAATAATTTTATTTTTGTACCTCCATCTCCCCAAAGGGACTTAGAGTGGCTTACAAATGGCACAATGTGCACACAAAACAAAACAGGGTAAAACCAATAGGATATAAAACAATAATTTAAGATCAAAACAGTGCCCAATAATCTGAAGACACTGAAGATATTGGAGAGATTTGGGGAGAATTCACCATGATTTCTAGGAGTTCTATGTATTGGGATGTATAGTTCCCCTGCAATCTAAGAGCTCTCTGAAATCCACCAACAATGGACCTGGTTAACTAACTTGGCACACAGAACCCCCATGACCAACAAAAAATACCGGAGGTCTTTGGAGGGATTTATAGGAGTTGTAGTTCACCTACATCCAGAGCGCACTATGAACCCAAACAATGATGGATCTGAACTGAACTTGACATGCATACCCAATATGCCTAAATTTGAATACTGGTGGGTTTTGAGGAGAATTGGCCTGGACATTTTGGAGTTGTAGGTACTGAGATCTATAGTTCACCAGCAATCAAAGAGCACTCTGAACTCCAACAAGGATGGAATTGGAGCAAACTTGACACACAGAGCCCCCATGACCAGCAAAAAATACTGGAGGTCTTTGGGGAAAATTTGCCTGGATCTGGGGGAGCTGTAGTTCACCTACATCCAGGCAGCACTGTGAACCCAAACACCAATGGATCTGGACCAAACTTGCCCAACATAACAAACTTAAGTATTGATGGGAGTTTGTCATGTGAAAGCTTCAAGTCTCCATTCTGGGAAAAGGTAGGATATAAGTAAATAAAAAGGATGATGGTGGTGCTGGTGGCGATGAGAATGATTTCTCTTACCTAGAATCCCCATATCGTATTTCCCATCTTTCTTGTCCCGGTCGATCAGGTAGTCAAAAGTGTCGCTGAAATACTGGAAGAGAAGGTTTTGCTTCTGGACCTCCAAGCCCAGGATACGATTCAGAAACTTGGCAATGGAGCAGTCTGAGGAGACAAAAATACCCAGAAAAGTGTCTTTTAGGGCTATTTAGAGAGAGAGAGTGAGTTAGCACATGAGATGAAGAAATTTGTCACTATAGCTTTGATGCAACGAGATTAACAATAGCAGAATCTTAGATGGGGGAAAAATAATTACTCATAAAGGACTGGAGAAAAAAAAACTATTAGAATATATTCAATGGTGTTCGGAGAGGAAACAATGAAGAGTTTGCCAAAAAATGGGACGTGGCATTTGGATATTTAGAAAGAAAGACCAGTCTAGATTTTAAAATAGCCACAAGGGAAATGTATTAAAGCAGATATAAGAGATGTAAGCTTCACAAAGGGTAGTGACAGAAGACATAGGTGGTGGATTCATGGGGGTAGAAGGAACAGGTGTGGTAGGATATTTTTTTTATTGTGTCAGAAGTGAATTGAAAATACAGTAATACTGTATTTTTTTTAAAAATCTCAAAGAAATTAAAAAACTTGGCAGTATACTAAATTCCTTTTGACCAGAAGCTGGCCACTTGGGAGTGCCTCTGGTGTCGCTGTGAGGAGATCCTCCTTTGTGCATGTGGAAGGGCTCAAGCTGCACTGCAGTAGGTGGTCTGTGGTTTGCTCTTCTCCACACTTGCATTTCGTGGACTCCACTTTGTGGCCCCATTTCGTAAGGTTAACTATGCATCTCGTGGTGCCAGAGTGCAGTCTGTTCAGCACCCTCCAAGTTGCTCAACCTTCTGTGTGCCCAGGGGGAGTGTCTCATCCGCCTGCCACTTTTGGAGTCTCACCTGCTAAGGTGTTCCTGCAAGTATCTTTGTAGATCGTAAAAGCCGTTTCTTGATTTTAGGCACTGGCATGCCATCCGAACAGAGGATGGGACGAAGATGTCACTGTCTTGGTTCTTTCATTACAGGCTGCTACTTCCCTGCGGATGTCAGGTGGTATGATACCAACTAAGCAGCATAATTTCTCCAGCGGTGTTGGGCGTAGACATCATGTGATAGTGCGGCATGTCTCATTAAGAGCCACATCCACTGTTTTAATGTGGTGAGATTTATTCCACACTGGGCCTGCGTACTTAGCAGCAAAGTAGCAAAGAGCAAGGGCAGATGTCTTCACTGTGTCTGGTTGTGATCCCCAGGTTGTGCCAGTCAGCTTTCGTTTGATATTGTTTCTAGCACCCACTTTTTGCTTGATATTCAAGCGGTGCTTCTTGTAAGTCAGAGCATGATCCAGAGCGACTCCCAGGTATTTGGGTGTGCTGCAATGCTCCAGTGGGATTCCTTCCCAGGTCATCCTCAGAGCTCGAGATGCTTGTCTGTTCTTAAGATGAAAAGCACATGTCTGCATTTTAGATGGATTAGGAATCAGCAGGTTTTCCCTTTAAGAGGCAGTAAGAGCACCTAATGCTTCAGAGAGCTTCTGTTCAACCATTTCAAAGCTCCCTGCTTGAGCGGTGATGGCACAATCGTCAACATATATGAAACTCTCTGTCTCTTCTGGCAGTGACTGTGTAAATGTTGAACATTGATGAAGCAAGTAAATGTGGCAGGATGTTGTAATTGTATAGGTTTTGCTAGTTACTGTATTATTTGTTCTATTGTTTGTTACTTGTATACAATAAAATTTAAAAATAAATACAAAAAACAAGTAAAAAATGTAAAAAGGAGAGGGTGAGAATTCCCCTTTTTTTAGATCCCTCCCCAGTGAGATTCAATCAGCTCCTTCCTTCCTAGCCTTCAGAAAGAAAGTAAAAACCTGGCTATGGAACCAAGCTTTTGGCGATTAACTGCAGTTCAATAAATGAATAGAATCTGTGCAATGAGAACAAGAATGGCTCTGGATTACAATTTTGGATTGTGTGATTTTAAAAATTGATGTAATTGTTTTAGATGTTTTTAATTATTTGGTTTTAATGTAAATGTTTATCAGCTGTATGTTATTTTAAGGCATTTAATTGTTGCTGATGTTGTGAAGCCGGTCTGAGTCCCCATCCGGGTTGAGAAGAGTGGGATACAACTGTGGTAAGTAAGTAAGTAAGTAATGTGTGTTGGCCCCAAACCTACCAACATGCCTCTCGATAAAAAGCCACCTTCAAGAAGAGAATAAGCTCGATCCTCTACTTCTGAGCAAGAGTTTTCTATAATAAAAAGTTAAAATAAATAGAAATGAAGCATACCTTTCTCCACAGACACCAAGCCGTATCGCATCTCTTTGCAGCAGATCCCAACCGAAAGAAGACACTGCTTCATCTCTGGAAATGGCAGAAATAGAGAGATGGGGGAGACAAGACAGACTCATTTTTAGGAATGTCAGCCAACAAAAGTGAAAATCCATGCAATTTATAGTCTACATTTGCAGATAGGTATGGGACCAACCCCCCCATAAGAATTCTACCCTCCACCACACACACACACATACACACACACACACACACACAAGGTTACAAGGCATGTAGCTCTCGTGGGGAATTTTCTCAGGGGAAGTTGGTATCACTGCTGTGTAGCGGGAAGCCAGCAGAAGCAAACGAGCAGTGCCAGTCGTCAGTAGCTCATTGACTGGCATTGTGGTGAAGGTTAGAGATGAGCGTCCTCATTCTGTTTCCCTCCAAGTTCACGCTGTAATATGCTATCTAAATGCTAAGGGTATGAACACCATTGCAATTCATTGCGAAATCGTTTCAGTTTGTGGGGAGGACGTAATGTTAAGGCATGTGACAAAATGGGTATGGGATATATTGTGAAACCATGAAGAAACTTTGCAGAGCCATCCAAAACAAACGTGGTAGGATGCTGACGGCGGAAGTCTGTCTCCTTCATGACAATGTGCATCCACACACCGCTCATGAAACACAAGAGTTTTTGACTTCATTTGATTGGGATGTTTTCAGCCATCTCTCTCACAGCCTCAGTCTTGCACCCAGTGACTAAATCTGTTCACTAAATTGAAGGAACACTTGGGAGGAAAACATTTTTCCGACCACAAGGTGAAAATCTGACTAACTGGCTGAAAAGGCAGTGGGAAACTTCTATGACAAAGGCATCAAAAACTCGTCGCACGGATGACAAAATGTATTGAACTGAATGGTGATTATGTGGAAAAATAATGTAATACCTCTGCTATAATCCATGTAAATCTTATTAAAATATATTCATTCTTTGTATTTAAAAAAATCTTGTAACCTTACTTTCTGGATAACCCTCGTGTGTGTGTGCGTGCATGTGTATCCTTCTCTTCCGGCTTTTGTTTGTTAAAAAATTGCCTCCAACAAAATTTTAATTTCTAGCATTGCAGTAATTGAAACTCCAGCAAGGCAAGGGGCAGGCAACATGAGCAAGGAAGTGGGACAGTATCAAGAAGACATGAGGTGAACCATTTTAATGCCAGGCTCTGTGATTCTCAAACTTTGAGAACGAGAGGAAAAAACTGTTTAGGGGGATACAAGTTTGTGACTACAAGCTCATAGCTGGAATTTGAAATCAAAATCTGCTTGGATTTTGCAACATGTCCTTGACTAAAATGACTACTGCCCACCAATTCCTTGCCACTGGAGCCAACTTACCTTGGAAGAATGCAGCATCTCCTTTCTCATAGCTCTTGGGAACCGGGACTTTGTTCTCCACCTGGTTGAGGATGGTGAGGAGGACCTTGTCGAGGGCCCTGGACCCGTACTAGAGAAGAAGGAAGGGAGGTTAGGCATGCAAAGATTTAAACCATTTAGAGCTGTTAACACAGAATCCGGCAGGAAGCTCAGGTGCTGGGGCCACTTATACAGTGGGCCCCTGGATGAGTGTTGGTTTCCATTCTTTAAGTTCTCACCTTATTCTCAAAGTTGTACTTGCTGAGATCTCTGGACTCAGTGGCTCTTCTGTCCCCATGAGTTAAGGCACCCTATTAGATGGAAGAAAAGGATGCTTTTTAGCTTATTTCTCTCCCATGCAAGACCCAGGTCTTTATTATTATTATTATTATTATTATTATTATTATTATTATTATTATTCCGCTTTTCTTCCAAACATGGGACTCAAAATAGAAAAAAGACAACTACATAATACAAAAAACCATCATCCCACCAACCCGACATATGAACATTGCTTAAAACACAAATTATATAGATATAAATAAGCATCAAAATAATCACATATATCATTATCATTAAATCCCTGTGGCTCAGGCCACTGAGGTTGTCCTAACAGGTCAAAACATTAAACTATTGTGGATTGTCAGGGAAGGCCTGCTTCCATAAAAAGGTTTTCACCTGGGAGTGAAAGGCTAATAACGAGGGGGCCAATTGTACCTCTTTGGGGAGGGAGTTTCAGAGCAATGGGGCCACTACTGAAAAGGCCTCTCTCTTGTTCCCACCAACCATGCTTGTGACAGTGGTGGGACCAAGAGGAGGGCCTCTCCTGATGATCTCATGGCTCATGTGGGCTGATAGGAGGAGATGTGGTCCCTTAAGTAGGCTGGGCCCAAACTATTTTGGACTTTACAGGCTAAAGCCAGCACCTTGAATTGCGGCCGAAAACAAACTGGAAGCCAGTGTAGCTGGGTCAGAGAAGCAGATGTGAAAACAGAACGGCCTGCCTCAGGGGAGCATGCTTGCTCCATCAATGTTTAACATTTACACAAATTACCAGCCAATGCCAAAAGGGACAGAGAGTTTCATTTATGCTGATGATCATGCCATCACCGCTCAACCAGGGAGCTTTGAAATGGTTGAACAGAAGGTGTCTGAAGCTTAGACACTTATTGCCGATTACAGGGAAAGCCAGCTGATTCCTAATCCATCTAAAATGCAGACGTGTGCTTTTCACCTTAAGAACAGACAAGCATCTCGAGCTCTGAGGATTATCTGGGAAGGAATCCCACTGGAGCATTGCAGCACACCTAAACACCTGGGAGTCACTCTGGACCATGCTATGACTTATAAGAAGCACTGCTTGACTATCAAACAAGAAGTGGGTGCTAGAAATAATATTATAGAAAGGCTGACTGGAACCACCTGGTAATCACAACCAGATACAGCAAAGACATTTGTCCTTGTGCTTTGCTACTCTGCTGCTGAATACGCATGCCCAGTGTGGAATACATCTCACTACATTAAAACTGTGGCTGTGGCTCTTAATAAGACATGCCACATTATCACAGGATGTTTACGCCCAACATTGCTGGAGAAATTATACTGTTTAGCCAGTATTGCACCGCCTGACATCCATCGGGAAGTAGCAGCCAGCAATGAAAGGACCAAGGCATTGACATTTCTGGTCCATCCGCTATTCTGATATCAGCCAGCATAGTAACAACAATAATAAAGAAACCTTTATTTGTATACCGCTCTATCTCCCCGATGGGACTCAGGGCGGTTTCCAGCACGGTAAAGCATTGCAATTACTGACATAAGAACATACAAAAAAATCATATGTACTATATAGCAATCGTAATCAACGACTTAAATTAAGAAATAGCTTCCTAAGATCTACGGAGATACCCAAAGAAACACCTCAGCAAGCGAGAGTCCAAAAGTAGCAGGTTTAAACCCAGAACCTCAATCAGTGGCTGATGCCAGATGGAAAACTCCCTCCTGGCCACACAGAAAACTGGGCGACTTGGAAGGCTGCGCTCTGGTACATGAGATGCAGGGGCAATCTTAAGAAATGGTGCCACAAAGTGGAATCCACGACATGCGATCGTGGAGAAGAGCAAACCACAGACCACTTACTACAATGTGCTCTGAGTCCTGCCATATGCGCAATGGAGGACCTTCTTGTAGCAACACCAAAGGCAGTCCAAGTGGCCAGTTTCTGGTCAATGGAAATCTAGCATAATGCCAACTTTTTAACTTTGTTTGTGGTTTTTTAGACATTATAACTGTGTTCTCAATTTGTTTCTGACACAATAAACAAAATACCGACAGCGAAAAAAACTTACAAGGCTCTCCAGACGTTTGGCCACGATGGAGGCAAACCGCCGCTCCCCGGCTAATTCAGAGATGAGGAAGATATACTCTGGAGCCGACACTTGGTTGGACCGGTGCGTCCGACCTGGAAGGGAAATCCCACAAGCAAATCAGGACTGTGGACTATGTGGATTTCCAGACAGATTAGAGTTCTTGTGGTGCTTTATCCACACTTGGTTGGCTGGGGCTCATGGGATACTGGGACTGTACTATACTGTTACGGTAAAACATGGCTCTTGCTTTAAACGGTGGGGAGGGGCTTGACTCACCAAACTGCTGAATGGCTCGGTCGGCGCTCCAAGGCAATTCCAGAGTCATATGGACACGCCGCTTCTGATTCTTTACCCGTCTGTCCGCTTGGAGAGAAATCCCTGAGCTGGAGGCCTCGGAGATTATTGCTACAAGCTGCGAGAGAAAGAAGCAACCAGACAGGTCATGAAAACAGCAATGAATCCTCCCCAGAGCTGGGAAAGTTCCTTTGTGGCAAATGTGTGGGTGAAGGTAACTCCCCTCATCATACTAAGCATTCAGCCAATGATATATGGCTTTCCAGCTGTCATTACCTCTGAACCTAACATCGGAGGCAATGTAATTTTGAATTTGAATGATGAATTCTGAAACTCATGTCCTGTGCAGACTGTATTTTAACTGTCATTCTATATATTTTAATATATGTATTTTACATAATGTTATATGATGATATGTTTCGAACCAGAGCCTCGAGGAAAGGCAGGTAAGACATCAAATTCTACTATTACGCTATGTAACAAAATTTGGAAAAAAATGTTCTCTTCCTGGCGTTATTTTCTGTTTCATTGTGCGGTCCTGACTTTAAAAGTGCCATATTTTCTGGCATACAAGGCGACTGGGGGTATAAGACAACTCCCAACTTTTAAAGATAAAATACAGAGTTAGGGATATATTCACCGTTTAAGACTACCCCTCTTCCAACACTATGCCCCCGTGGCCCCCGCTGCTCTCCTTTCAAGGACCTCCTCCGAAGGCCACTGGGCTTGCTTAGGCCCAAGGAAGTGCCTCCCTGGACAACGACTTCCAGCAGTCCTGGGTGGTGGTTTGCCTTGGATGTGCTCACTAAGGCATTCTGGGAGCCGTAGTTCCCTGACTCCTACTGCTCCCAGAATGCCTCAGTGAGCACATCCAAGGCACGCCACCACCCAGGGCTGCTGGGAGTCGTAATCCGGAGGCACAAGGATGTTTGTGAATATTTGTGATTGCTTTTTATAGAATTTATGTTCATGTTTTATAATGTTTATTTTTGTATGGTTCCATGTCATTCAGCAATTAAATGTCTTAGCTACGTTGGAAACTGCCCCAAGACCCCTCAGGGAGATAGGGTAGTATACAAATAAAGTTTATTATTTATTATGATGATTATTTGTATCATTGCTACTGCCAGAAAGGACAGAAGGTTTCATCTGTGCTGACGATTGTGCTATCACCGCTCAAGCAGAGAGCTTTGAAATGGTTGAACAGAAGTTCTCCAAAGCTTTAGGTGCTCTTACTGCCTATTACAGGGAAAACCAACTGATTCCTAATCCATCTAAAATGCAGACGTGTGCTTTTCCCCTTAAGAACCTATCCAACCCTACTCACTTTATCTCCATTCATGAACCGCTCTTTCTCCTTGAGGTTCACATTGTCGATGGAGAGCCCGGGTTCCGCCCGTGACTCAAACACAACGGAGTCGTCAGACTGACGCACCACACGACCCTTCCGCCCCGTCATCTGCACAGGAAGGGAAGGAAGGAGTTAGCTCCAAACATATGATGCTCTGTCCTCTATATGGTCCTAACAATCAGCAATCAATATCCCACATTATGGGACCCACATTGGGAAATGGAAATAAGTGGAAACTACAAGCCATTTCAGCACTACGAGGATGGGCGAGTAAGCCAAACTATAAAATTTGGGGTTTTTCTAAAGTAGTACAGGGCAGTGAATGGCTTACTTAAAACGAACATAATAAGTAAACCACTCTGATCACAGAATCATAGAGTTGGAAGAGACCTCATGGGCCATCCAGTCCAACCCCCTGCCAAGAAGAAGGAAACTTTTCTCCTACACACAGGGATGTAAATGCAATAAATATACATACCTCGGCCACGTGTTCCGGGCCTCCAAAGTGATCGATCAGTTCATCTAATGTATTCAGAGGTAGTTCTTTGCCCAGTGCCTTCACTTTTGACAGGAGGTCCTGCTTCAACCTCTCAACGTGTTCCAATGTGCCTGGACCCTGCATTTCTTTCTGGGAACTTTGCATTAACATGCCACCTGAATAGAGAGAAAAAGAGGATGGATTCCAAAGTAGTCCAAAATCCAACACTCTCCACAAAGGCCTTTGTTTTTTGATGGTTCAATGTACAATAACTTTGTTTCATGCACAAAATTATTAACAATATAGATCCTTCAGGCCATAAGTTATATATAGATATATCCAAGTCCAGTTATGTCTATCAGTCTATCTGTCTAGATCTTTGTCTGTACCGCAAAGACTGTTTCTAGGTGAGGTGGCCCTCTGTGATGTCATTAGGAAAGAAAGGTGATGTGCATGAGGGGAAGGGAGGGAGGAAGGAAAGAGCCACAAAGAGAGCCATGGAGACATTGTGAGGTAAGCCCTCTCAGAGCTGGAGAAGGGATAAAGGGAAGGTGAAAGAAGGAGGGAGGGAGGGAGGGAGAGAAGGAAGAAGGGAGGGAGAGAAGGAAGAAGGGGAGGGAGGGAGGGAGGGAGGGAGGGAGGGAGGGGAAAAAGGGAAAATAGAATGGAGAAGGAAGGAAGGCAGGAGGGGAAGAAAAAAGAGGGGATGAAAGAGAAAAGAAAGGGGAAAAGATACGAGGTGGGAAAGAAAAAGAAGGGATGAAGCAGCAAGTCAGAGGTCCTTCCGACAACTGGGCAACACTGGATATATATGCATGTATGAAATATAAATGAATTTTGTGTTTAAATTTAGATCCCATGTCCAAGATATTGCATTATTTACATATATGCAAATACAGGTATTCCAAAATCCGAAATCCAAAACAGAGAATATAGCTATCGGAGTCTGCTTGAATATGTATATGCAGCCAGAATTTTATGTATATGTATTTTGTATATGAATTTTATGTATATGTATATGCAGCCAGAATTTTATGTATATGTATTTTGTATATGAATTTTATGTATATGTATATGCAGCCAGAATTTTATAGCTCTCATCCATGCCAAGGATCCCCACCCCCCACCCCGCCATCCCAATCCTCACCTCGGTCCTCACAGGCTAGGCCATTGGTGCTGCCACGCTCCACCAGAATCACATCATCGTTGTCGAAAAGGGACTCTGGGGAAGAGTTGAAGTCGCTCTCCATTCCCGGCTCAGAATCGGAGCTGCTGTCGGAGCTGATCTTGATACAGTTGCTGGAGAGGTCGTAGGTGGATTTGGGGACTTTTGTGCCACAGCGAACGCGTTGTTTTCCTGCGGAGGAGAGGAGGGACAGGTCGGAGGAGGAGGCCGTGGAGGACTGTTACACACAAAGGGCAAACGGAAGGACTCCTCCCTTTCTTCGGCCTCATAGCCCCAGCTCAACCCAGTAAAAGCTCTGGATCTGTGAGGGATACACTGCTGGTCAGACTATTATTGAAGAACAGTGTCTCTATCTATCTATCTATATCTGAATTCACACATACACATACATATATACATACACAGTCCTTTTACTTCCCAATTAAATATTAGGGATTGAGAAGATTAAAATACAATAGTTTAATTGTACAGAATATACTAAGGAGTGGTTACAATCAAGACAAGACAAGATAAGCATAGAGGAAAGTGGACTGTCTCTGGATCATGGGTTTTGTAGTCTCAATTGACACCAAAGCACACATATGAATAAGCCAAGAAATCAAAACTTTATTTTCCTCTCATCTGTATGTTCTTTCTCAGAGTTTTCCAGTTTCAGCAACTCTTCTATTCTATAAAAAATTCTTGTGTTCTCTCTTCTTCTGCAGACATTTCCTTGTGTTCCCAAAACAATTTCCACTCATTCTTCTTTCCCCCTCCCAATCTCTTCAGGCCAGCCCATCTCTCCTAACCTCTTGCACACTTTGCCTTAGCAACACCTTATCTATCCACATTCTTTTACTCTTTCTTGCTCCTTTCACTCATTCTCCATCTACTCCTTCTTTGTGAAACTGCAAAATGAAACCATGGAAATGTATGGTGTTACTCTATGTTGTTACTGGGTTTTCTTGACAACCTCCAGAGGAGATTTGCCATTGTCTTCTTCAGAGGTTGAGAGAGCACAATTTGCCCAAAGTCAGCGGTAGTAGCAGTAGTAGTAGTAGTAATGAGGAGAGAGTGGCACTTCCTCAAGGGTCCCCAGTAGCTTTCTGTGCCCAATCTCCTGGGATCCTTGTCCAACACTACAACCGCTATGGAGATGACGAAAACAGAAGAATGAACTGCCTCAGGGGAGCATGCTTGCTCCATCAATGTTTAACTTTTACATCAATGATCAACCACTGCCAGAAGGGACAGAGAGTTTTATAAATGCAGACTATCATGCCATCACCGCTCAAGCAGGGAGCTTTGAAACGGTTGAACAGAAGCTCTCCAAAGCTTTTACTGCCTATTACAGGGAAAACCAGATGATTCCTAATCCATCTAAAATGCAGGCGTGTGCTTTTCACCTTAAGAACAGACAAGCATCTCGAGTTCTGAGGATTACCTGGGAAGGAATCCCACTGGAGCATTGCAGCACACCAACATACCTGGGAGTCACTCTGGATCATGCTCTGACTTACAAGAAGCACTGATTGAATATCCAGCAAAAAGTGGATGCTAGAAATAACATCATACAAAAGCTGACTGGCACAACCTGGGGATCACAACCAGACACAGAGGAGACATCTGTCCTTGCGCTTTGTACTCTGCTGCTGAATACGCATGCCCACCACGTAAAAACAGTAGATGTGGCTCTTAATGAGACATGCCGAATTATAACATGATATTATTATTATATTATTATATTATTATATTATTAATATATTAATAATATTAATAATAATAATAATAATATGCCCAACACCACTGGAGAAATTATACTGTTTAGCTGGTAATGCACCACTTGATATCTCTGCTGGGAAGTAGCAGCCGGGAAGTAGCCAGTAATGCAAAGACCAAAGCATTGACATCTCTGGCTCATCCTCTGTTTGGATATCAGCCAGCAAGCCAATGCCTTAAATTAAGAAATAGCTTCCTAGATCTACAGAGATACTCACAGGAACAACTCAGCAAGTGAGAGTACAAAAGTGGCAGGCTAAAACCCAGAACCTCAAACAGTGGCTGAGACCAGATGAGAGACTCCCTCCTGGGCACACAGAAGGCTGGGCGATTTGGAAGGTGCTGAACAGACTGCGCTCTGGCACCACAAGATGCAGAGACAATCTTAAGAAATGGGGCTACAAAGCAGAGTCCACAACATGCGAGAACGGAGAAGAGCAAACAACAGACTACTTATTACAATGCAACCTGAGCCCTGCCACATGCACAATGGGGATCTTCTTACAGCGACACCAGAGACACTCCAAGTGGCCAGCGTCTAGTCAAAGGACATTTAGAATAATGCCATTTTTTTTAAAAAAAATCAATTGTGTTTTTAAATACATTATAACTGTACCCTCAATTCGCTTCTGACATGATAAATAAAATATTTAGAAACAGGACAAGGGAAGGGTGGGTGCAGACGTGTTAGAAATACGCGATTGCCGGGACACAGTTATGGGACTGCATGCCTCGGGTGAAAGAAAGTAATGAATCAGGCCAAAAAGCAAGCCAAAAGAAAGGCAGAATGGGAAGCGGAGAACAAGAGGAAGGCCAGAAGAAGACAAACAGGGAGGTGGGGCGGAACAGAGGGCTCAGGTGCCAGATTATGAAGGGTCAGCAAAGATGGGGAGGGGGGTTGTGGAAGGAGGCTCTTACGTTTTCTTTTAATGCCCGTTCCTCTTTCTCTTTTTCGTTTGGTTGAAGGAAAGTGCTTCTGAATTAGTGAGAGAAAGACGCCTCTGAAAAAGTTAAGATGCAAATATATATATATATATTTTATAAAATTGTTTTAGTTGCCGGACGAGCAAATGGCTTTTATGCTGTATTTTAGGGGAAAAAAGCAAAGAAAATACAAACCAAAAGAGAAAGATCCGCTACACTATGTGAGATGATTTTGGTTCCTCGTTTATAAATGTTGTTTCCTAATTGGTTCTATCATTTTAAAAAAGTGGAAAACATTGATCAAACTGCAAAAACTTTATTTTGGTGGGACATCCTGCTGTAGCACATATTGCAATAGTTTTTCAATGAGTATCTGATTCAATGAGTCTCAACCAATTCAACCTAGTTTGTGGCAGCTACAAAACCAAGTTTCTGAAGAAGAACAAGGGCTTTCAAATTAAGGACCGCACATTTAAATAGGAAATAACATTTCTAAATCAGGAACTGAATATTTTTCAAAGTTTGTTACATAGTGCTATTGTGGAGATTGCACGCCGGGGGGGGGGGGGGGTAATATCTCAACCTGCTAGTGCTGAGCAAATCAGAAATGATGGCTGATGGGAACATCCAATCAATCCATGGGATTTACCTATAAGTTGGCTCTGGATTCAATGGGATTTGGGCCTCAGAGAGGATATTTTTCACTTAATGAGGGGGGGGGGGGAAGGATAGATCAAATACAATGCCGGGTTTTAGCACAGCAGGTAAACCACCAGCTGCAATAAATCTTGCCAATTGAAAGGTTAACAGTTTGAAGTCTGGGTTAGGGTGAGCTCCTGGCCTTTAGCCCAGCTTCTGCCTACCTAGCAGTTTGAAAGCAAAATGTGAGTAGATAAATAGGTACTGTTTAAAAGCGGGGAGGTATTTATTTATTTATTTACAGTATCTATACCCCGCTCTTCTCACCCCAAAGGGGACTCAGAGCAGCTTTACAGAACACATATACAGCAAACATTCAATGCTGATTACACAATTAACAAGGACAGAAAACACAGAAGAGGCAAAGGCTGTTTTTCCCATCTTATTTCTGGCATCTTAATCTGTAGTTTTCAGGTTCGCCCCTTGTAAGCCGCCCCTGAGTCCCTTTGGGGAGATGGTGATGGGGTATAAAAAGAAAGTTATTATTATTACTATCATCATCATCTTTGCAGGCTGTGCTTGACTCCAGCCGGGGAGGGTGTGTGTGTGCTGTTACTCCATCTCCATGCCAAGGAGCTTCCTTCCGATCGATGCCCTTAAAGGCACCTTTATAGCCTCCCTGCTAAAGCGGTACCTAATTTTATCTACTCACATTTCTGCTTTCGACCCTGCTAGGTGGGCATGTGAGCTGGGGCTAACGGTGGGTGCTCATCCCCAACCCGGACTCAAACTGCTGACCTTTTGATCAGCAGGATCTTTCTGCAGCACAGTTATTTACCCTGCTGGGCTAAGCCTGGCCTCCCATAAGGAAATGCCAGAAAATGCTGGCGATTTGATCAAGGAGGCAGTTTATGAACAAAAACTCTTTGGCAGGGAAAGTGGAGTGACAGCACACACACACACATGGCCGGAACCGAGCACAAGCCTCCAAGGTGTCGAAGGTAGGAGAAGCCTATATATACCTCTATCTATGTACAGTTGTCTGTCTTGTCAGTGTATAATGGCATTGAATATTTGCCGTATATGTATTCTGTGATCCGCTCTGAGTCCCCTTCAGGGTGAGAAGGGCGGAATATAAATACTGTAAATAAAATAAATCAAAATAGTGCCAAAACAAGAGGAAACCTTTGATCTTTGGGATGTTTCAGCCTATCACTCCCAAGCAACCCCCTCCAGCATGAAAGGGTATTGTAGGACTGGTAGTCCAAAAGATCCCACATCACTTCTTATTAAGATTCCTAACATGGCATAACGTCTTATTAAGGTTGCCAGTATAGCGGAGTTCCTGTTCTCGACAGCAGAAGGTGAAGAACCTTGGGATGGGGGGGGGGGGGACCTGGAAACCCCAACTGACCATTGTCCACAGATGTGGCATGGGATGACAACCCAAAATAGAAGGTGAGGGCATAGGAGGAAGACCTGTAGTGGGATGGTGTGAGGGAGATATGGATGAGTTTTTTTTCTGTGGGAGATGCTTGAATCTAGTTTGTCCAATCTGCCCCTCCCAAGCCTATATCTCTCCCCATGCACACCCAGTGCTTTGTGATTTTGGTTGTAAACAAACAAGCAAAAAAAAATTGCCAAAACCAAAGTGTGGATAAAGTGGATGTGGGAACTACCTGGAGTGCCAAAGGAGTTTAGAAATGATGGGAGGAGGGGACGATGCAGGCAAATAAGTCCTAACAACAACAATGCTTTCTTCTCAACTTCTGAGTCCACTTTGAGGCTCTTTGGGGCTTGCTGGGGGAACTGGGAGGCAACCCATACCGCACAGAATATGGATTTGGGATGGCAAAATGTTGCATTTCAAAGGAAGCAACACAGTTGGGGAAGGGAGTTGCCTAATCGAAAAAGATGGCCTCCTCTAACGGGAAGGTGCAAGAAAGGGGCAGGACTCACTCAGCTGCAGAAACAAAGCAGTTCAGGTGTCCCTCGTTCTCATCCAAAACTTCCCGGGTGCGGGCCTCGCCAGTCGACTGGAGGCCAATCACTACACACTGCAGAAAGGGAAAAAAACAAGAGGAATAATATAATAAAACATTTATATTCCGTTCTATCTCCCCTAGAGGACTTAGGGCGGATTACAGAACACATATACGGCAAACATTAACTGCCGTTATACAATTACTGTATATACTCGAGTATAAGCTAGTTTTTAAGCCCTTTTTTGAGGCTGAAAAAGTTCCCCTCGGCTTATATTCAAGTCAAGGTTATTTATTATTTTACTCTGTTATTATTTTTTATTACATTTATTATTTTACTCGATTATTATTATTATTACATTTATTATTTTACTCGATTATTATTATTATTATTATTATTACATTTATTCAATTATTACTGTTATTATTTCATTTCCATTATGTTACTCTATTTATTATTGTTATTATTGCATTTATTATGCTATTATTACTATGATTACATTTCTATTCTTTTACTCTATTATTATTGGAAGGATACGCAAGCATATTTACATTAAAGAAGTTTAGAATAATGGTTTAATCAGAGTTGGGCGGTCTTATCTTAAATTACAGTTTTATGTAAATATTCAAAACATTTAACCCACTGATGCCTCAATTAATAAACAGCCACAGACCCGTACCTAATATTATTGTTGCCTGCCATAGCATTGTATTTAATTCCCGGGCCCCCTAGAATTTTTGGGCTTGCACAAATCTTGGCCAGGCCTTTTAAAAAATTTTAAATCGCCTTGAACAGGCAGGATTATTTTTAATATATGTGTGTTATGGCGACAATTTTTATGCATATTTTGTTTTGTTAATCTTATGGTTGTGTTGTTGTTACATTGTAAGTTCTGTGATTTTTACCTGGGAACCGCTCTGAGTCCCCTCGGGAAGATAAAGCAGTATATAAATAAAGTATTATTATTATTATTATTATTATTATTATTATTATTATTATATTGGTATCTATTTTTATTTTGAATTTTACCAGTAGCTGCTGCATTTCCCACCCTCGGCTTATACTCGAGTCAATATGTTTTCCCAGTTATTTGTGGTAAAATTAGGTGCCTCGACTTATATTTGGGTCGGCTTATACTCGAGTATATATGGTAATAAGGACAGAGAATACATAAACAGAGGTATAGGCTTTTCCCATCTTTTCCCATCTCTGGCATCTGAAGGCTGTACTCGACTCCGGCCATGGGGAGGTGCTGTTACTCCATCTTCCGAGGAGCTTCGTTGTCCGTAGACGTCCTCCCAATCAAATCACCGGCATGTCCTTATGGGTGTCTTTTACTATCTCCCCACTTAAAGCAGTACCTATTTATCTACTCACATTGCTGTTTTCGGACGGCAGGAGCTCACCCTGACCCGGACTTTTTGAAATTGGTTGGCAAGATTTTCTGCAGCTGGTGATTTAACCCACTGTGCTAAAGCCCGGCCCAAGGGAAATCAAGGGAGAGATCCAAACCTATCCACGATCTTCCAGCCTCCCTCTGTTTATTGACTTATTCTATTTATGATTTATTATTCTGCCCCTTGATTTGAACAACAACTATTTTCAAAGTAAGGACCGCACAATTAAACAGGAAATAACACTTTCAAACCAGCAACAGAAAACATTTCAAATATTGTTACATAGTGTAATACAAACTCAGTTACCTTGTCCTTGCTGAGCTCCTCCTTGGCCAGCTCCACCAGGCGGCGGACTTTGGCGGCGATGCAAAGGTACTTGAAGAAGCGCTGGTGGGCTGACCAGAACTGACCCCACAGGGATTTGCGCGACTCCAAGCCCATCAGATCAGCGGCCTGCTGGAAAACCACCAGGGCCTCAGCCCACTAGAAGCAGGGAAAAGGAAGGGGGAAGTCAAAATAGTCTTTTTTGCTCCTTGACCACCATTGGACATAAATGGTGCAACATCATAACCCCTAACTTCTGTTTTATGCAATACCTTGACTTAAGAGCTTAATTTGTTCAGTGGCTGAACTCTTATCTCTATTCGCTCTTATCGCAAAGTAGATTTTCCCATATATGGTCTGGCCCCCCAAAACAACTTCATTTTTAGTTACGTGTTTTTAAATGAGAAAATGTACTTTAAAAATAACAAATCTGTATCTGTACACCTAATAAAAGTGAGAATATGTATATATGTATGTGGCCGGGGTGCCCACTTTCACAGACAGGCTCCCATTCCACAAACAGCTTTAACTCATAGTGCCACCAAAAACACTCCCTCCAATGACATTTTAGGTTATAGCAAGCCCCATGAACATGTAGCCCAACCCTTGCCAATGTCCTCCCCAAACACCATACTGCCCACCACCCAAGGAATGCTTTTGTTCATGGACAATTTCCTTCTAGATTTTACTGCGTTTCCTCCACCACAGGCATCCAATGTTTCTTACTCTCCCCACTGGTGTGAATTTGCATGATTCCACCCACTCCCTCTGCCTTAATCCTTTCCCACTCTTTTCAACTCTGTCTGCATAACATACAGAGCAGAACTAATCAGCAACTAAACATACTGGAGGAGTTTGGGTGATTGACTCCACATGATGGAAGTTGTAGTTTACCCTGCATCAAGTTAGAGCACTGTGACCCCCACTGACAATGGACCTGGACCACATTTGGCCTCTGAGGATGCTTGCCATAGATGCAGGTGAAACGTCAGGAGAGAATGCTTCTAGAACATGGCCATATAGCCCAAAAAACCTACAACAACCCAGACTCTTGACTATTCTCCTGTTTGACTCTCTGTTTGGACTAACTGCTGTATAAAAACCTGGACTGTTTTTGACTACATGCTTAAGAGACAGCTGTGAGCCAAACAGGATACAATCAAGGGCTGGACCCAGAAAAAACAGCCTCAGGCAAGGAAGGGATGGCTCACCAGCTGCGCTGCCTTGTTGTAGACCTTCTCGTAATCCGGGTCGAGCGGGATCTCCTCAATGCGGAAGGTCACCCCCGAGAAGCTGAGCTGCCGGGCGATGTACATGCCGCTCACCTTCATATCCATGGCGACGATCTCCATGGCGCCTACTCCCCTGTGAGAAATGAGAGGTACAGGAAGAGGTCAGTGAGAACCTTTTTCACAAAGGTGGTCCCAAGAGTGACAAGAACCTTGATGGATCAAAGCAAAACCTTGTTTTGCATGCTTATTATGTTCATCTATTATATTATATTGTACACAATGAACCAGATAATATGGATACAACACAAATTCTTATGTATATGAAAGAAGGATATGTAAAAATTTGACAATAGATTTCAATATTTAAGAAAAGCATACGTATATTTGAAGGCCTGGGCCGATTTCACATTAATCAGACCAATAATAATAATAATAATAATAATAATAATAATAATATAGAACCTGCTTTAATTGAAGTCAATAATCAGAAATGTCTCAAAGCACAGCAGACAAAGAACCAGTACAAGAAAACTGCACTACAAACCAGAGCTGACAGCTGGCACAACAAAGCATTGCATGGGCAGTTCCTTGACAAAATTGAAGAAAACGTTGACAAGGAGAAGACCTGGTTATGGCTCACAAATGGAACACTGAAGAAGAAGACAGAAGGCCTGATTCTTGCAGCCCAGGAGCAAGCCATCAGAACAAATGCAATTAAGGCCAGGATCGAAAAATCAGCTGATGACCCAAAATGCAGGCTGTGCAAGGAAGCTGATGAAACCATGGATCATATCCTCAGCTGTTGCAAGAAAATCGCACAGATGGACTACAAACAAAGGTACAACTATGTGGCCCAAATGATTCACTGGAACTTATGTCACAAGTACCACCTACCAGCAGTAAAGAACTGGAGGGATCATAAACCTGCAAAGGTAGTGGAAAATGAACATGCAAAAATATTGTGGGACTTTCGCATTCAGACTGACCAAGTTTTGGAACACAATACACCAGACATCACGATTGTTGAAAAGAAAAAAAGTTTGGATTATTGATGTTGCCATACCAGGTGACAGTTGCATTGAGGAAAAACAACAGGAAAAACTCAGCCGTTATCAGGACCTCAAAATCGAACTGCAAAGGCTCTGGCATAAACCAGTACAGGTGGTCCCAGTGGTCATTGGCACACTGGGTTCCGTGCCAAAAGATCTCAGCCGGCATTTGGAAACAATAAACATTGACGAAATCACGATCTGTCAGCTACAAAAGGCCACCTTACTTGGATCTGCACGCATCATTTGAAAATACATCACACAGTCCTAGACGCTTGGGAAGTGTTAGACTTGTGATTTTGTGATGCGAAATCCAGCATATAGATCTCATTTGATGTGACATACTGTGCTTTTGTGTCAGTAAAATAATAATAATAATAATCTTGTGTGATTCATGTGAACTTGGCTTGGACTTCTAAATGGACATAATGATATCATCATCATCATCATCATCATCATCATCGTTATCAGCATAGAATCATAGAATCATAGAATCAAAGAGTTGGAAGAGACCTCATGGGCCATCCAGTCCAACCCCCTGCCAAGAAGCAGGAATGTTGCATTCAAATCACCCCTGACAGATGGCCATTCCCTGGTGAGATATAAAAGTTGAAGCAGATATTATCCACCAGGATGAAAACTAATATTTTGAACATGCATATCCTTTACTCCCAAATGTATCATTTGTTGGGGCTCAGCAGAAAGATACTGAGGGTTTCTCAGAGGACAAGGAGGATGATGGGTTTCCTACTGAGGAGTCTATGTGTGATCAGGGTTAACTGCAGGCCTTAGATCAGAGAGAAGTGCTGGCAGCTGAAGATGAGACAAAGATATTTGGGATTCCAAAGTTTGTTCCTTAGCAACAGGGGAATCGGCGATAGGGAGTTTTCCCACAATATCAGATTAAGTCTCTGCAGGGAGGGAGTGAAGGATAGATTAATTAGGCATTCAGAAAGACTCCATGAGAAGTCCTTGAAACCTAGGTGTGTGAAGCATGATCTCATGGCTTCTTGGTCAAGCCTGGGTTTAAATTAAGTGATGCAGGGATTCTAACCCAGATCCATAACAGCACAACTATGCCTTTGCTTTCAATAAATTTAATGCTCACCACCGTTAATACCTTCTAGTGGTTTTTTTTCCTTAGTGGACAGTGAGGACAATATATATTCTGCCAGGTTTGCAGCAGGTTTTATTTGTCTGTTAATTGTGCTATCTTTTGTTTGATTTTCTTTCTTGTATTTTGTGTTATCGTTATGCAATATACTTTCTAGGGCCCCAGTCCTCATTGTTGTTTTATGTTAAGCTGTGTCCCCTGATTGGCAGCTCCTTTCTCTCCAGACAGAAAGGAAAGTCAATAAAAGAAACCGAACCAACTGGCTCTTTCCCAAGCCTACCGTTTCTCGATGGCATGCAGGAACTCATCGAACGAGCGAAAGGGAGTGCCGTCTCCCCAAATTCCCAGCCGGCTCATGTAAATCATGTTCTTTGGCTCGGAGGCACCTATTTGGAAGGAAAATAGCTATCAGTTGCAGCTGGGAGGTGGTATATGTGTTTGAATATATGTCCTTTTACGGAATGTTTTTATGATGATGTGTTTTCAACTATGTTGTGGCCTGCTTCAAGATGTGACGAGTGGCAGATAGGAAAGAGTTGTTGTTATTATATCAGTATTAATTATATGTCTTATTATATTAATGTGTATAAAATGACTTATTTTATTTATTACTATTATTATAATAAAATACTATTATTTCATTGTTGTTGTTTTTGTTGTTGTTTTATTTATACCCTGCTTTTCATTACACTAAAAGCCTTTCAGTACAGTTTAAAATCTTCAAATATACAAACATCAAAACAGAATTAAATATAAATTATATTTTTAAAAATCAGTTTATATCCATAAAACATAATCAAAGCTAAAAACCACAGTACCCCCCCCCCCCCAACATGATCTTAAAACCTTCTGAACAAAAGTTTTAGCCTGCAACCAGAAAGACAGCAGTGAAGGGGCCATTCTGGCTTCATTTGTTATTGTTATTATATTGTTGTTCATTCGTTCAGTCGTCTCTGACTATTCGTGACCTCGTGGACCAGCCCATGCCAGAGCTCCCTGTTGGCCGTCACCACCCCCAGCTCCTTCAAGGTCAGTCCAGTTGCTTCAAGGATGCCATCCATCCATCTTGCCCTTGGTCGCCCCTCTTCCTTTTACCTTCCACTTTCCCCAGCATAATTGTCTTCTCTAGGCTTTGCTTTCTCCTCATGATGTGGCTATAGTATTAATTTTATTTATTATTATTGCTATTATAATAATATATAAAATTACTATTATTATTTATAAAATTAACTATTATTTTATGTATTATTATATATAAAATGCTATTATAATATTATACATAAAATTGCTATTATTTTATTTATTATAACAATTACTATTCTATATGAAATTACTATTTTTTTATTTATAATTATTGTATATAAAATTACATTTTTTTAAACTTATACCTCATCCAGCGACAAAACAGGAGTTTTTTTGTTGAGTTTTAAGGTCAGAGAAGCAGATGGTGAAAACAGAAGAATGGACTGCCTCAGGGAAGCGTGCTTGCTCCATCTATGTTTAATATTTACACAAATGATCAGCCACTGCCAGAAGGGAAAGAGAGTTTCATCTATGCTGATGATCGTGCCATCACAGCTCAAGCAGGGAGTTTTGAAATGGTTGAACAGAAGCTCTCTCTCCGAAACTTTAGGTGCTCTTACTGCCTATTACATGAAAAACCAGCTATTTCCTAATCCATCTAAAAACACAGACATGTGCTTTTCATCTTCAGAACAGACAAGAATCTCGAGCTGTGAGGATCACCTGGGAAGAAATTCCACTGGAGTATTGCAGCACATGAAAATACCTGTAAGTCACTCTGAACCGTGCTCTGACTTACAAGAAGCACTGTCTGACTATCAAGCAAAAAGTGAGTGCTAGCAACAATATAATTCAAAAGTTGACTGGCACAATCTGGGGATCACAACCAGACACAGTGAAGACATCTGCCCTTGTGCTTTGCTACTCTGCTGCTGAATACGCTGAATACGCAGGCCCAGTGTGGAATACATCTCACCGCATTAAAACAGTGGATGTGGTGGCTCTTAATGAGACATGCTGCGTTATCACAGGATGTCTACACACTACACCGCTGAAGAAATTATATCGTTTAGCACCACCTGACATCTGTAGGGAAGTAGCAGCCAGCAATGAAAGGACCAAGGCATTGACATCTCCGGCCCATCCTCTGTTCGGATATCAGCCAGCAAGCTAACACCTTAAATCAAAAAACAGCTTCCTAAGATCTATAGAGATACTCGCAGGAACACCTCAGCAAGTGAGAGTCCAAAAGTGGAAGGCAAAAACCCAGAACCTTAATAGGTGGCTGATACTGAATGAGGAACTCCCTCCTGGGCACACAGAAGGTTGGGCGACTTGGAAGGTGCTGAACAGACTGCGCTCTGGCACCATGAGGTGCAGAGCCAATCTTAAGAAATTGGGCTATAAAGTGGAGTCCACAAAATCAGAGGCACTCTAAGTGGTCAGCTTCTGGTCAAAGGAAATTTAATATAAATATCACTGTTATTTTAATAATAATAATAATAATAATAATAATAATAATAATACTATTATTATTATAGCAGTACTTTAAATATTCATTTTTAATAGCCAAGGGGGTAAATGGGGAGAAGAGAGAGGATACTGAACATTTTTGAAGAATCTGAAGGAAGTGAAAAGGCAGAGGATGAATCCAGACCGTCTCTGCCAAACTAGGAACTGTTGAAGAGTATGGCCTTTCACTGCCAACCTTTGCACATCACCGATGTCAAGCATCCCTTATGCTACACAAGGTTGCGTTTTGGCCTTTGTTCAGAAACGATGCCCTCACCTGTGGCACTGGCATAGACAACCCTGGCGCGAGGCAGCTTATTCTGCAGGTCCAATACTGCTTTGCCCATCTTGGTGGAGCTGGCATTTTTGGCCTTGTGGCATTCGTCGAACACAATCTGGACAAAGTTGGCATGGGTTAAGGAAAGAAGACTGGACTGCCAGAAGAGAGGAAGATTCGGGGATGTTTGTATGTGGTAACTTGAGTTAAGAGGTCAGTTCATTCCATGACTGACCTCTTAACTCAAATCGCTCTTTTCTCAAACTGAATTTTCCCACCAAGATGCTATTAATCCACCCCCCCCCAAAAAAAACCCATTTGTGTTACCATATGTATGCAAGTATAAGCCAACCCAAATATCAAGGCACCTAATTTTACCTCAAAAAACTGGGAAAACGAATTGACTCGAGCATAAGCTGAGGGTGGGAAATGCAGCAGCTACTGGTACATTTCAAAATAAAAGTAAATACCAATAAAATTACATTAATTGAGACATCAGTAGGTTAAATGTTTTTGAATATTTACATAAAACTGTAAATTAAGATAAGACTGTCCAACTCTGATTAAATCATTATTCTAAACGTCTTCAATGTGAATGTGTTTACATATCCCCAGTGGCGAGGTGGGTTAAACCGCTGAGCTGCTGAACTTGCTGACCAAAATGTCAGCAGGTTGAATCCAGGGAGTGAGGTGAGCTCCTGCTGTTAGGCCCAGCTTCCGCCAACCTAGCAGTTTGAAAACATGCAAATGTGAGTAGATCAATAGGTACCGCTTCTGCGCGAAGGTAACGGCGCTCCATGCAGTCATGCTGACCACATGACCTTGGAGGCATCTAAGGACAACGCCACTCTTCGGCTTAGAAATGGAGATGAACCCCCCCAAAGTCGGACACAACTAGACTTAATGTCAAGGGGAAATATTTACCTTTACCTTATCCTTCCAATAATCATCATAGCTTGTTTTAACTGTACATTTTGGGGGAAATGCTGTGTGTATATGAATAAGGAAAAGTGGGAAAGACTGGTGTGGGAAGGGGGTGGGAAAAAAAGGACTGGAAATGGGAAAAGGTTGGAATGGGAAGAGGTGGTTGAAAAAGAGGTAGCTGGAAAAGTAGGACCGATTGGGGTGGGAAAGATGCAACTGGGGAAGGGGGAATGACAGAGATGTGAAAGAGCGGCTGGAAACTGGGAAAGGTTGGGATGAAAAGAGGGGCTGGAAAAGTGGGAAAGACCCCAGTCTAGAGTGTGAAAGGGGAGTTGGGAAAAGCTGGGCAAATTGGGGTGGGAAAGAGGGACAGAAGGAAAAGATTGGGATGGGGAAAGGAAGATTGCAAAATGAGCGAGACTGGGTGGCTGGAAAGGTGGAAAGATTGGAGTAGGAAGGGAGCAAGTGGAGAAGTGGGAAAGATTGAAGTGGGAAAGTTAGCTGGGAAAGACTGGGATGAGAAAGAGGGGCCAGGAAAGTCGGAAACTGCGGTGAGAAAAGCAGCAAGACTGAAATGGGAGAAACTGGAACCTGGGAAAGGCTGGGATGGGAAAGGGAGCTGGAAAAGTGAGAGAGAGTGGCTGGGGATAGTAAAGACTAGGTTAGGAAGGGGGAAAGTAGAAAAAGGGAAGACTTTGGTGGGAAAGGTGTGCTGGAAAAGTGGGGTAAACCTAAGATGGGTCGGGGGGAAGTGGGAAGGTCTGAGGAGAGGAAGGCGCGCAGTCTCTCCTTCCCTTTCAGCACAGCCACCCTACTGGGTGACTGCGCTGAGAGGTGAGGGCCCTGGCGGGAAGGTGTGGGGCTGAAAGAAGGGTCCTGGCCTCCCTGCCAGGACTCTCACTCAAGTATAAGGCTGAAACATGGAAGAAGCACAGAACTGTGGCAAGGAAGCACAAAGCACAAAGTGAAGAGGCAGTAGCATCACTTTCTTCATCCTGTACTCCTCCCTTTCTCTAATGCTCTCTCCCCTGTCTCCCTTCTTCATGAAGCCGAACAGATCAGGAATAAAAACAACACAAAATCAATGTACCCAAAGTTCCTCAAAGCAGAGAAGAGCAAAGTGGACAGCAATGTCCCAAAGCAGACAAAAGCACAAGGTTTGAGGCCCGGAGGCTGCTCCCTTGAAGCCCTAAAGCCCTGGACTCTGCCCTAGTGCTTGCTCTTAACTCAAAATGCTGCTCGTATGTCGAAGAGAATCCCGGGCCGAGTGACAGCTATTCATTCAAAATGTTCTAAAGTTGGGACAGTCTTAAGTCAAGGTTCTGCTGTTTAGGGAAAAGGTTTGGGAATGAATATCCAAGGAAGGAAACCTGGGCTCCTTTTTCAATCACATCCCCTATTTTATTTCTATTAGGATACAACACCATCGAAGTCCTCCTTGCACCAGTCCAGGATTTGCTTCAACCGGGTCCTATGCTGTCCGCCGGCCTGGCTTTCCCCGATCAGGGCGGAGTAAGTGGCAAATAAGACTCCTTCTGAGGTAGCTGTGTCACCATATTTAATCTGTGCAAGGAACCAGAGAAAGAAATGAGGATGGGAACACAGACATTCGGGCAAAACCGACAACTGGGGTGTCCTTCCACATTACACAATGGCAGCACCATTGTTCCACCATCGGGGCCAGCTTCACATTAATCACACAATTAATAATTATAATTATAATTATAATTATGATAACAATAATACTATGGGTTTTTTTTTACATTTTTATGGATTTAATCTGAATTGTTTTTAATACTAATGATGTTTAATACTGATTTAATATTTGTATATTTGTCTATTTTAAATTGCTTTGTAATGTTTTTAATGTTAGTCGATTTGAGTCTCCTCATGGAGAGAAAAAGCAGATAATAATAATGATAATAATAATAATAACAATAACAACATTTTGTGTGACTGATGTGGGGCTGGCTTCAGCTTTTAAAAGGAAATTATTATTATTATTATTATTATTGTTGCTGTTGTTGTAATAATTATTATAATGACCATCATCATTATAAATTTAATAGAAGGGACAGAGAGTTTCATCTATGCTGACGATTGTGCCGTCATCGCTCAAGCATGGAGCTTTGAAATGGTTGATCAGAAGCTCTCCAAAGCTTTAGGTGCTCTTACTGCCTATTACAAGGGAAAACAACTGATTCCTAATCCACTTAAATGCAGATGTGTGCTTTTCACCTTAAGAACAGACAAGCATCTCAAGCTCTGAGGATTACCTAGGAAGGAATCCCACTAGAGCATTGCAGCACACCCAAATACCTGGGAGTCACTCTGGACCGTACTCTGACTTATAAGAAACAATGTTTAAATATCAAGCAAAATGTGGGTGCTAGAAACAATATCAAATGAAAGCTGACTGGCACAACCTGGGGATCACAACCAGACACAGTGAAGACATCTGCCCTTGTGCTTTGCTACTCTGCTGCTGAGTACGCAGGACCAGTGTGGAATAAATCTCACAACATTAAAACAGTGGATGTGGCTCTTAATGAGACATGCCGCTTTATCACAGGATGTCTATGCCCTGCACAACTGGAGAAATTATACTGTTTAGCCGGTATTGCACCATGTGATATCCATCGATATCAGCCTTTAATGAAAGGACCAAGGCATTCACATCTCTGTTCGGATATTAGCCAGGAAGTCAACGCCTTAAATCAAGAAATAGCTTCCTAAGATCTACAGAGATGCTCTCAGGAACCCCTCAGCAAGCAAGAATCCAAAAGTGGCAGGTAAAAGCTCGGAACCTATTAGTGGCTGAGACCGGGTGAGGGACTCCCTCCTGGGCACAAAGAAGACTTGGCGACTTGGAAGGCGCTGAACCAACTGCACTCTGGCATCACAAGATGCAGAGCCAACCTTAAGAAACGGGGCTACAAAGTGGAGTCTACGACATGCAAGTGTGGAGAAGAGCAAACCACAGACCACTTACTACAATGCAGTCTGAGCCCCATTACATGCACAACAGAGGACCTTCTTACAGCCACAGCAGGGGCACTTGAAGTGGCCATCTTCTAGTCAAAAAGACATTTTGTACAATGTCAAGTTTTTAACTTTGGGTTGCTGTGAGTTTTCCAAGCTGTATGGTCATGTTCCAGAAGCATTCTCTCCTGATGTTTTGCCCACATTTTAAACTTTGTTTGTGGTTTTTCTATAAGTTATAACTGTATTCTCAATTCGCTTCTGACATGACAATAAATAAATCATTATAAAAGAATACGGGTAAATTCTCTGGTGAGATATAAAGGTTGAACTAGATATCCATCAGCATTGAATCTAACATTTTGAACATGCGTATCTTTTACTCTCAACTTTCTCTTTCTCTTCTCAAGGTAGATTTTGCCCTTCTCAAATGAACCTTATGCAGGGACTCTAACCCAGATCCATAACAGCATAACTATGCCTTGGGTTTTCCAATGTAATCACTTCTATCACTGTATGAATTTACAGCCTGGATTTCAATCAACAAGGAAGTAATGTCTTCCTTTCCTTTTGCTAGAAATGGAACCTTATCCATTCTTTCTGGATTTAGCCCAACATTATTGTTTATTTGTCCTTGTTTTCAGACTGAGTGCGGTGCATATTTCAAATCAGAGGTCAGGCCAGGATAAGGAGAGAAATTCTCATACCTTGTTCAAAGCATGGACAGGAATGTTGGGTGCATCGATGTCCTTGAGGTCCCTCTCGGCATCGTATCTGAGGTCATTCGAGGCGCTGAACCTAATGAAGGAACACAAAGCCCCAAGGATTGAACCACAGGAAGCCCAGAAACCAACATGTATCATGTTAAGATGCTTCTCGACTCGCTCCAAAGGCTCGAAGGTGCATTACAACAGCATCCTACTCACCACAGGGCTTTCTTCCTTCCCTTCAGATAGTTTTCGAAGATGATCCCTGCGACGGTCCGGCCTTTCCCGACCCCGGCACCATCCCCGATGAGAAACCCGGCCCTTTGCCCATTGGGGAGCAAAACCTCATGTTGCTAGGAATCCAAGCAAAGAAAGGAAGTGGAAATCAAGTCTCAAAGCTCATACCTCCCTTTCTCAATCTTTAGTCTACAACAGTGGTTCTTCAAGTGTGCTCCGTGGAGCCAAAAGCTTTTTTCTCTCGCTTTGCTTGCTTCCAAAAACTTTTTCCCTCCCACCACTCAGGGGGTACTTTAATTGTGCTTTTACTGTATGACACAAAAGGGTTGGACTGGATGACCCATGGGGTTCCTCCTATTACTATTACAGTAGAGTCTCGCTTATCCAACATAAATGGGCCGGCAGAAAGCTGGATAAGCGAAAATGTTGGATAATGAGGAGGGATTAAGGAAAAGCCTAATAAACATCAAATTACGTTATGATTTTACAAATTAATTTATATACCATATTTCTTTACCATATTTGTATACCACCTTTCTCAGCCTGAAGGCGATTCAAAACGGTTTACAGTTGGCAACAATTCAATGCCCCATAGCATAAAATATAATTAGAAACATTTAGCATATAATATAAAAACCATACAAAACCAATAAAAACCACACAAAACCAATAAAATTAAGCACAAAAACATCATGTTTTACAAAGAATCGACAGAAAAAGCAGTTCAATACATGGGAACGTTATGTAGTAATTACTGGATTTACTAATTTTGCACCAAAACATCGCAATGTATTGAAACAGCTGTGGACCCGGGCAGGAGGCAGACTGCATTGGATAATACAGAATGCTGGATGAGCGAAGGTTGAATAAGCAAGACTCTACTGCATTATTATTATTATTATTATTACTATTATTACAAAGGCTGGCTGGACATCTGTTGGGGGTGATTTGATTGTGATTTTACAGCATGGCAGAAGGGGGTTGGATTAGATGGCCACTGGGGTTCCTCCTAATTATTATCATTATTATTATTATTACAAAGGCTGGGTGGAAATCTATTGGGGATGCTTTGATTGTGATTTTACTGCATGGCAGAAGGGGGTTGGACTGGGTGGCCACTGGGGTTCCTCCTTATTATTATTATTATTATTATTATTATTATTAAGGCAGGCTGGACATTTGTTGGGGGTGATTTGATTGTGATTTTACTGCATGATAGAAGGGGGTTGCACTGGATCGCCACTGGGGTTCCTCCTATTTATTTATTTATTTATTATTACAAAGGCTGCTTGGACATCTGTTGGAGGTGCTTTGATTTTGATTTTACTACATGGCAAAAGGGGGTTGGACTTATTCATTTTATTTATGACATTTCTACCCTGACTTTCTCAACCCCTTAAGGCGACTTTACACATAGAATAATAAAATGCATTAAAACAATTAAAAAAATTAAAAACACTACATTCACAATTGATCACATAATCCACAAGCGTGGATTATCCCTGTAGACATTCCTATGGTCATTGCACATCATTCCATATCTATATATTGCACAAGTTTACTATTCGTATTATTATTATTACAAAGGCTTGCTGGACATCTGTTGGGGGTGCTTTGATTGTGATTTTACTGCATGGCAGAAAGGGTTGGACTGGATGGCCCTATGACAATTATTATTATTACTGCTCTAGTTATTTCATCAATAGGGATGTATTGGGCCACTGCCTTACCTGGCAGCCATACGTAATCGCTTCCAGCTGTAGTGCGGACAGTCGGCCATTGTCGGCAATGGACTCCGGGAGGGAGAGGGTGTAGGTAATGTCAGGGGGCGGGACGCTGGAGAGGGTGCTCGTCTCCACCACCCGGTCGGGGTGCTGCTTCCCAAGTTTGCCTGTGATTTGGCCAAAGAGAAAAAATCAACCACTTCTTAGAGAGGATGCCTCTATATTACAGAGGCGTCGAACTTGTGGCCCTCCAGATGTTTGGGCCTCCAACTCCTTGATGCTCTCATTGCTAGCTTGTTCAATGTCCAGGAATCCAAAACAACCAGAGGGCCACAAGTTTGACACCACTGCCCTGGTATGTCTCTGAAGTCTTCCACCCAAGTCCTAACCAGGGCAAACTCTGCTTAGCATCCAACCTCAGATGGGATCTGCTGCCCTTCAGAAATTTAGAGGTCGGCTTTGAGGTTGCCATAATTCAGCAATGGCTTGAGCAGGCGATTGCAAAAGAAAGTGATGGCAAACCTGCCCTGAATCAACCTCTCCAAGAAAACCCTATCTCAGGTCGGACATAAGCCAGAGTCACTTGAAGTCATGGGACTAAGACTAACCACCAAGCCACTCACATTTGGAAGGGACGTAATCGGCGTACGTCTCGGTGTGGCCCAGCTCCTCCGTTTCGTCATCTTCCTCCTCCTCTTCTACCTGAGTTTGGGACTGAAAGAGATAAGAAGGTGTGGGAAAGGTCAAAGGGGTATCTCATGAGGAGATGAAGTGGACGTTTCGTTTCTCATCCTTCGAGAGTTGGGATTTCCTGGTCTGGGTCAAAGTGCTGGTGGTGACAGATTAAGGTCTCTATTTCCTTGTCTTTCCAACAGGCTCTTATAACCGGAGGTGTTTTTAATTTATGGGACACTGTTTTACTACCATGTATATAATTGGTAGTGAACACCAAAGGGCCCACTATTTATCGGAATGAGAACCATATGCAACTATGGTTATGGAAAGGTAAGAAATAATAATAATAATAATAATAATAATAATAATAATAATAATAGTAATAATAATAATAATAATAATAATAATAATAATGTTGGATTTGAATACCAGAAGCTCCTAGCCAGTAAGAAGAAATGTTGGGAACTGTAGTCTGCGGAAACTGCAGAATTCCCACCTTCACCGTATATCAAGGGTAGATCATTCAGAAGCCTACAGTTGCCTTGTACAACAACTCCCATCATCCTTGCTGTATTAGTCATCCAGGATAACTGGGACTGAGCGAGGTTACAATCCAAATATACATATACATACGAGTACATGTGTGTATGAAAGTGCCTTCCAAATACAAATACAGTGATACCTTAACTTCAGTTTAATTTGAGCTCTTAACTCAAAATGCTCTTATCTCAAAGTGAAGTTTCCATTGAAATGCACTGAAATGCTAAGAATAAGTTCCAGCCCCCATCCCCCAATTTTGTTCTGTTATGTATTTTTAAATATCTTGAAGCCCTAAAGCCCTGGACTCTGGTGCGAGCACTCCCTCTGAACTCAAAACGCTGCTCGTATGTCAAAGTGAAACTTGGGGCAAGTGATGCCTCTCAAATCAAAATGCTCTTCAGTTGGTATGCTCTGAAGTTGAGTTTCCACTATATACATATGTTTGTGTATACATATAATCTAGAGTGGGAATGGGTAAATTTTCTAACTTTGGGGCCGCATGCTAGCCCTCCCTGCTAGGAGGACTGGCTGACTGGTGATGGAAGGAAGGAAGGGAAGGAGGAAGGAAAGAGAGAAGGAAGGAAGGATGAAAGAGAGGAAGGGAAGGATGGAAGAAGAAAGAGGGAGGCAGGGAAGGAGGGAGGAAAGAGGGAAGGAAAGACAAAAGGGAAGGAATGAAGGACGAAAGGGTGGAAGGGAATGGGGGGAGGGAGAAAGAGGGAGAGAGGGAAGGAGGGAGGAAAGAGGGAAGGAAGGGAAGTCAAAAGGGAAGGAAGGAGGGAAAGAAGGAATGAAGGATGGAAGGTGAAAGAGGGAGGAAGGGAAGGAGGGAGGTAAGAAGGAAGGAAAGAGAGAAGGAAGGAAGGACTAAAGGGAGGAAGGGAAGGATGGAAGGAGAAAGAGGGAGAGAGGGAAGGAGGGAGGAAAGAGGGAAGGAAGGAAAGACAAAAGGGAAGGAGAAAGAGGATGAGAGGGAAGGAAGGACAAATGAGTGGATGGGAAGGATGGAATTAGAAAGAGAGAGGAAGGGAGGTAAGAAGGAAGGAAAATCAAAAAGGGAAGGAAGGAAGGAGAAAGAGGGAGAGAGGGAAGGAAGGAAGGTTGAAAGGCTGGAAAGGAAGGAAGGACGGAAGGATGGATGGATGGGAGAAAGAAAGAAAGAAAGGAAAGACAAAAGGGAGAGAAGGAAGGACAAAAGGGTGGAAGGGATGGAAGGAGGGAGGGAGAAAGAGGGAGGTAAGGAAGGGAGGGAGGGAGGGAAAAAGAGAAGGAAGAGAGTATAGGATGGTGAGAGAGTGGGGGGCCTGAGAAAAGAGCCTAAGGGGCTGCATCCGGGCCCTGGACGTGGGTTTGCCCATACCCAGTCTAGAGCATGACAGTTAGCCAAACCCAGTTCTTGGATATTAAGTATTCTTAATATTTATTGGGTGTGTGTGTGTGTGAAGACTGGCTGTAACATACTCAAACCCCACACTTCAACCAGCACAGGTCAGCGCCCCCTAATCCTGCAGTCAACATTCTTATTCTTGGACCACAGTTTCCCAGCATATGCCATGGCGGTGGATGATGGGAGCGGCAGGCCGATGATACCTGGCGCTTTCCACTCACCTGGATCGTTGAGAGGAGTGGGGTGGTGGGGATGTGGCTTTCGATTCCCTGTAGGCATTCTAGGCCCTCCAAGTCAGGAGGCAAGGGCTGGACAGGAACAACGAGAGATAATCAGAAACAATTGCAGAGAAAGAAATCCTAACACAACATTCTGTATTTCCTATCAACCCCACATTTAAGAAGCTTTGGACAATAGGTGGATTAGCACCCTTTAATTAGATTTGGAATGTTTGTACAGAAACACACATTTCATATTACTTATCTAGCCCATATTTAAGAATCTTTTGGATGATTGACAAGTTCATCACCCCTTAAATAGACTAGAAATGCTTCCATAGAAATATATAAGTTTTGAGTCGTGCACAGAAAGAAAGAATGGTAGTGATCGTGATACATAGTAAATTTTGGTCTACATAATATTAACGTACTAACCTACTAACATATTAATAGATCAAATAAAAATGTTAGATTTCTTGGACAATAATTAAAATAAGATAAAGATTTTTTAAAATTATCATATGAGGTTAAACATTATTTAGCAATAGCATTCCTCTCTTTTCGTTATAGAGGACATGGATCATTCAATGCCAAATGGGCTAAAATTTTAAAAAGCTCCCACCATCATGTCTCCCATTTTGTTCAAATTTTAGCTGTAGCACCAGTCAGGAGTTAAACTAAGTTTTGCAAAATATGAGGTCTCTAACTGCAATAGTTGCTGATCTAAACCCCCTTTTCTGAAGGGTAGTCGGTCGGCGTACGCATGGCATTTAAGAAAATGCCACTTTTGGGGTCTAATAAAATTGAAACTAATTTACAAGAATGGCTAGCAAATTGAAATCCTGTACATTTTTTTTCTGCTGATTCCGATGAAATTAATTTTAACATTATGGATGCAAAATCCAGTCAAACAAGTTGACTCAAAGTGTGCATCAAAATGTCTTATGACAAATTTTGACCAATATTCAGACTGAAACAATTTCCCTGCAAATGAAGATAAGGACTTGAAATTTTGACCAAGCATTATGCTCGTGCTGGACATAATACTGCCAAATTTGAAACTATTCAGCATCTATAGCTGCCTTGCAAGAGCTCTTCAAATTCAGGAGATGGTGGCAGGGAATAAATAAAATTTATTATTATTTATTATTGTTGTTGTTTAGAGCAAAATTTTCTCTTTCAGATGATACTATTCACGAGCATATTCAGCCATAGGCCATGACACCAAATAATATACAACTTTTAAAAGTACAGTATACGCTTTCCAATATCTATACACATACATATAATAAAAGTGAAAATGTGTGTGTGTGTGTGTGTGTGGCTGGAATGCCCACTTACACAGACAAGCTCCTGCCTTCACAAACAGCTATATCTCCCACCACCAAAGGCCCTCCCTCCAATGACATTGCAGGTTATAGCGAGCGCCATGAACATGTCCAAGAGCCCTGCCAATGTCCTCCACAAGCAACATACTACTCACCACCCAAATGAAGACTTTCTTACGGGGGGACCATTTTATCCTAGATTCTATGTGTTTCCTTCATCAAAGGCATCCCAGCATTTTTTTTCTCTCTCTTTCTCTCTCTCTCCATTGGTGTGGAATTTACATGACCCCACACACTGCCTCTCCCTTAACCCTTTCCTACCGGCAGTGACATAGGCATGATAACAATAACAAAATCTGATTTGTATTATCCCAAACTGTTTCCATTTCCATTTCTAGCCTCCGCTGTGGACTTTACAAATTTAGCTCTGATTTTTTGGGCTGCAATTGCAAATGTGGCAATCTTTAATGTTATATTTTTGGAATAATCTGCTAACAGGTCACAGATAACTGCTGACTGTTGACATGTTTAATCTTTGTTTTGAGTATTTCACTATGTATCTTGTGGAAATATGTTTTAATAGGTGCATTTTAATAATAATAATAATAATAATAATAACAACACTTTATTTGTACCCCGCTACCATCTCCCAAGGGACTCGGTGCGGCTTACATGAGGCCGAGCCCAAACACAACTATACAAGCAATAATAACAATAATACAAGCAATATTTTAAAGGATGTTTTTAGATGAATCTGTGTTTTAGCAATGTTGTAAGCCGCCTTGAGCTGTACGGAGAGGCGGGCAAGAATAATAACAATAATAATAATTATTATAATTATATATTTATATAATATAGGCCAAATAATATACATTATACAAATAATGTATATTATTTGGTGTCATGACCTTATTTATATATAATATAAAATATTATATATATTATATATTATATATAATAATAATAATAATAATAATAATAATTATTATTATTATTATTATTATTATTATTATTATTATATCTGCCCCCCTGGTGGCGCAGCAGGTTGAACCGCTGAGATGCTGAACTTGATGACCAAAAGGGCAGTTCAAATCCAGGGAATGGGGTGAGCTCCCGCTGTTAGTCCCAGCTTCTGCCAACCTAGCAGTTCAAAAACATGTAAATGTGAGTAGATCAATAAGTACCACTACTGCGGGAAGGTAACAGCACTCCATGCAGTCATGCCAGCCACATGACCTTGGAGGGGTCTACGGACAATGCCGGCTCTTCGGCTTAGAAATGGAGATGAGCACCACCCCCCAGAGGTGGACATGACTAGAGTTAATGTCAGGGGAAACCTTTCCCTTCACCTACTATATCTAACCTCCAATAACATAAGGAAGAGATAATGGGCTACACTGTCCTTCTGGGAGCAAAACTACCTGGGGATTTTTATATTCCAAGCAAATTGCAACTCGCTCTTGGGGCAAAAAAAGGAATGACAATCAAATGAAGTGTTTGCCAAAGTCACAATAAAACAAAAGTCCCATTGGCTTTATGGCCAGGGATTCAGTTGCCAAGGCTGTCAAGAGATAAGAGGGAGGAAGGGAATCTTCCTGAAGCAGAAGTGAAATGTGGGAAAACCAAGGAGGCACAAACATGCTGTAATTATTTCCCTTTTTTAAAAAAAAAATATTTAAAAAAGTGGGGCAGGCTCTTTCATTCCTGGAAGTCTGAGTCACAGTTACCAGCAGGAAGTTGGAGAGAAAAATCTAGGGGAAGTTTTTCGAGAGTTGCAAAGCCAATTGCTCAAGTCCATAGGTGGCCAGGGATTCATTGCCATGTGGCACCCATAAACCCAAGAAAGGCTGGAAGATTCAAATGGATAACTTGGGAGCTCAAAGGGGAGAAGTTATTTTTTTTCCCCAGGATGAACTTTTGAGGTTGAGCTGAGTTTTTTTCCCCAATGCTTAGAAAGCACCTTTCAAGATTGATCTTTGCCCTTGGGAGGGTTGAAAACGGAGGGACGAGGGAGAAAACAGAAAACGAAAGACAAGATGGTATTTTTGTATACAGGGCTGACCTCTGTTTGGTTCTGCTGCTGTGGGGTGCTGACGTCCCATATGGTTGGCACGCGACTGAGGCTGTCAGCGGGCAGGAATTCCTGAGCATCGGCAATGTCGGAAAGGGAGTCCGCAGGGGAGGAGAAGAGGGAGTTGCTGGAGAGTTCATTGAGGTATGCAGAGTCCTGGAAAGGGGATGGACAGAAGGAGAAACAATTAAAAGGAGAAGATTGCAGATACCTGTGAGCTGTTAACAGTAGCAGCGGAGAGGCGTTTTCGTTTTCATCATCACCATCATTACCATTATTATTATTATTATTATTATTATTATTATTAATCTTTACACCCCGCCTTTCTTCCAGTGGTGACTCAAGGTGGCAAAGAATCCACACTAGACAAGTTTAGAAAGAGCAATACAAAAGTATCATTTTCACCACATTCAGCGTACAATGCAAAAGTCAGACTCCATTACACATAGACAAAAGAAGGATGTAAGGAATGAAGGATCGAGCTATCTATCTGTTTGTCTGTCTATCTACTATCTATCTATCTTCTTCCCTATCTATCTCCATGTCTATCTATCTATTTATCTTCCTCCCTTGCTTTCTATCTAATCTAATCTATCTCCCTCTCATCTATCTATCTACCTATCTATCTCTCTCTCTCTCTCCCTCCCTATCTATCTATCTATCTATCTATCTATCTATCTATCTATCTATCTATCTATCTCCACCCCCACCCACCCACCCATCTCCCTGTCTGTTTGTCTCTCTCCCTGTCTCTCTGTCTGACTATCTATCTATCTATCTATCTATCTATCTATCTATCTATCTATCTATCTATCTATCTATCTGTATATCTATTTATTTTTCTCCTTCGCTTTCTAATCTAATTAAATCTAATCTATCTCCCTCCCTGTCTCTTTATATATCTCCCTCCCTCCGCATCCATCCATCCATTCATCCCTCCATCCATCCATCCATCTACCTGTATGTCCGTCTCCCTCCCTCCCCCTTCCACCAATACATTTCTCTATTCATTTGTCTTTCCCTATCTATCTGTCTGTCTGTCTATCTATCTATCTATCTATCTATCTATCTATCTATCTATCTATCTATTTCTGTATCTATCTATCTCCCTCTCTCGCTTTCTATCTAATCTATCTCCCTCTCTCCCTGACTATTTATCTATCTCCTTCTCTTCCTAGCCATCCATCCATCTATCCCCCTGTCTGTCTATAACAACAACAACAACAACAACAACAACAACAACAACAACTTTATTTGTATCCTGCCACCATCTCCCAAAATGGACACAGGGCGGCTTACAAGCTCACGTTAGTGCAGTGGAATATACAAATACAGTAAAACACCATAAAACACATAACACAAAATACAGTAAAACACGTAACTACTGTAAACAATAAAAATGTCAATAACATAAAACAGATGTACTTAAAACTGCATAAAAGCCTCGTTAATTAAAATACTCAATAAAATGCAGTGATAGCTGTGGATAAAATGGTTGTATAAGTTCAATCACATCAAGTGCCCGAGTCAAAGAAAGTGCTTGGTCCTTAGGTATAAACTAATGTTTAAAACTGTTTGAAGGTCTGCTTGAAAAGCCATGTTTTAATGTTTTTACAAAAACATTGGAGTGTGGGGGCAAGCCTAAGTTCCAGAGCCAAGGGGCCGCCACCGAAAAGGCTCTCCCTTGGTCCCACCTCTATGTTTGAGACAGAGGGCCAAGAGGAGGCCCTCCCTGGCAGATCTTGGAGCCCGTGCCACATCATAGGGGGAGATGAGGTCACGAAGACAGGAAGGACCTGAACTGTGTAGAGCAAGGATCCTCAAACTAAGGCCCGGGGGCCGAATATGGCTTTCCAAGGTCATTTACTTGGCCCTTGCTCAGGGTCAACCTAAATCTAAAACTACTTGAAAGCACACAACAACAACAACAACAACAACAACAACAACAACAACCCTATCTCATCAGCCAAAAGCAGGCCCACACTTCTCATTGAAATAATATATTCTTTAAAATTGTTTGTTAAAATTTGTTAAAATTGTTCATTTTAATTCTTTTTTAATTATTGTATTGCTTTTAAGTGTTTTTGCACTACAAATAAGATATGTACAGTGTGCATAGGAATTCGTTTATTTTTTTTCCAAATTATAATTTGGCTCTCCAACAGTTTGAGGGACTGTGACCTGGCCCTCTGTTTAAACATTTGAGGACCCCTGGTGTAGGGCTTTGTAGATAATGACCTGCATTCTGAATTGGTACCAGAAACTTGACAGCAGCCAGTGGAGTTGCTTTAATAGGGAGGTGATATGCTCCCTATACCTAGCCCCAGTTAGTAATCTGGCTGCTAACCTTTGCACTAATTGCAGTTTCCGAGTCGTCTTCAAAGGCAGCCCCACATAGAGTGCACTGCAGTAGTCCATTCTAGATGTAACTAAGGCATGGACCACCGTGGCCAAATCAGGCTTCTTGAGGTATGGTCACAGCTGGTGCATCGGTTTTAACTGTGCAAAGGCCATCCCGGCCACCGCCAACACCTGAGCATCAAGCGTCAGCGTTGAGTCCAGGAGGACCCTCAGACTGCAGACCTGTGTCCTCAGGCGAAGTGTAACCCCTTCGAGCAGAGGTTGCCACCCTATACCTCGATTGGTCTCACAACTGACCAGAAGGACCTCTGTCTTGTCTGGATTGAGCTTCAGCTTGTTGGCCCTCATCCAGCTGTCAGGCACAGATCCAGTATACAGGTAGCTTCCTTGGAACAGAATGGGAAAGAGCATCTTGAAAATCTATCTGTCTATCTATCTATCTATCTATCTATCTATCTATCTATCTATCTATCTCACTCCCTATTTATCGATCAATCTATCTGTGTGTGTGTACATATGTATGTATGTTTATTGGTTTGTAGCGCAAAGGTTCCTCCATGGCTTGATGGATCTGGACCAAATCTGGCACACACAGCCTTCAATCCCCAACCTAAAATAATGGAGGGGTTTGAAGTCAAAGAACTGTCCCTCTTGGGCCCAGAGCAGAGGGAAAGAAAAGGAATAAAGCCAATTGGCTGTGCTAAGCGAAGAAGGATTGACTGTTGCTAGGTGGAGTGTCCCCTTGTGATGTCAGTGGGAAAGAAAGGGATTGGCTGCTGCTACGACAGGTGCCGTGTATGAGGAGAAGGGAGGAAGGAAGGAAAGAAAGATAAAAAGAAGGGAAAAGGAAAAGGAAGGGAGGGGAGAAGACAGAAAAAAGAGGGAGAGAAGGAAGAATGAGAAAGGACAAGGGGAAAGTTATAAAGGGAGGGGAGGAAAGAAAAAGAAGGGGGGGAAAAGAAAGGAAGGAAAGGAAAGGAAAAGGAGGAGAGGGGAGAAGAAAGATAAAGGTCTTTCAAGACAAGGCCTCTTTCTGACACAAGAATCAGGAGCAAAATGAGGACAGCAAAGCAGTGGAAGATGGTGGTGGATTTTGAAAGTTATAATATAATAATAAGACTTTATTTATAACCCACTCTCTCACCCCAAAGGGACTCGGGGTGATTTCCAAAGTATAACAAAAATGGCAAAAATTCAATGCCAGAAACAAACAACAATCAAGAAAAAACATGAAATAAAATAAACTAAATATAACTCATAAACAACTGAAATTAAAGGAAGATAAACTAAATAAACATAATATATCACAAGGAGTCAAACCAATTAAAACACAATACATTAAAAGCGTAATATAGTATATCACATCAGTCGGCTGAAGTTGGTATGCAATGTCAAGGTGAGGATGTGTGTAAAGTATGCTAATCCTCCTCCTCTCCATAAGATAGATTGCACAAATAGGTCTTTAAAAGTTTTTTTAAGGAGAGGAGAGAGGAGGGCCATTTTTAGTTCTTTAGGGAGAGAGTTTCAGAGGCGGGGAGCGACCACAGAGAAGGCCATGTCTCTCGTCCCCGCCAACCATGCTTGAGACGGGGGGTGAGACCGAGAGCAGAGCCTCCTCCACTGACCGCAATGCTCATACTGGTTTGTAAGTGGAGATGCAGTTTTTTTAAATAGTCTGGATCCGAACCGTTTAGGGTTTTATTGGTAACAGCCATGACTTTGTATTTAGCCCAGAATGGGACCAGTAGCCATGACTTGTATTTAGCCCAGAAGGGAACCGTATCTTGGGAAGTCTGACTTGGCCACGGTGGTCCACACTCTGGTTACATCCCGTATAGACTACTGCAACGCACCCAATGTGGGGTTGTCTCTGAAGGCTGCCCAGAAACTGTAATTAGTCCAACGCTCGATAGCCAGGTTACTGACGAGAGCGGGGTACAGGAAGTGCACAACTCCCTTGCTATGCCAACTCCACTGGCTGCCAATTAGCTTCCAAGCACAATTCAAAGTTCTGGTATTAACCTACAAAACCCTGTACGGTTCCAGCCCAGTTTACCTGTCCGAACGTGCTCTCCCCTACAAATCACCAAGGACGTTAAGATCTTCCGGAGAGGCCCTGCTCTCAGTCCTGCCACTTTCGCAGTCGCGGCTGGTGGGGATGAGAGACAGGGCCTTTTCTGTGGTGGCCCCCCGGCTATGGAACTCTCTCCTGAATGAAGTTAGATCTGCCCCCTCCCTCCTGACCTTTAGGAAGCAAGCGAAATCCTGGCTGTGGAACGAGACATTTGCAGAGTGATGGCTGAGGCCGGTAAATGACCAAAGTTATTGACCAATATGTGTGGACTGAGTTGGACGTTGTTTTTATCCTGGCGAATGGTTTATATGTTTTTATCTTACATGTACTTTTAACCTATTGTTTATGTATGATGTTTTAAAAGTTGATTACTGTTAGCATTGAATTCTTGCTGTTAGCCATTCTGAGTCCCTCTACAGAGGAAGAGAAGAACGGGATACAAAAGTAATAAATAAATAAATAATAGCCAGTGGAGCTGCCGTAACATGAGAGTGGTTCTCTTCCTGTATGCACTCCACTTAGTAACCTGGCCACCGATCTCTGAACCATATGATTCCCCCCGACTAGTTGCAGCTTCTGAACTATCTTCAAAGGCAGCCTCACGTAGAGAGCATTGCAGTAGTCCAAACAGGATGGACTAAAGCATGGACAACCATGGCTAGATCTCAAGGTATGGGCACAGATCTTTGCATGTTTTAACTGTGCAAAGGTGCTCCAAGCC